ATATATATATATATATATTGATTTCCCCTGCTTTAACTGTATTTTGATTAGCCGAGCAGACTTGATATGCATAGGTGTCTGATGGGCATTTGACAACAATGTCGACCATGTACACTATGGTATTCATTGAGGGGCATTGAATACACCCCCAGCCCAGTGCTGGGGATTGAACCCAGGGCCTCACGCATGCTAAGCTCACACTCTACCAGTGAGCTACAATCCAGCCCCTATACGACTCTTAAAAAGATTTCTCTTTTATTCTCTTTCCTTTCTTGGAGTCCATCAGACTTAATTTATGGGGTGTCAGTGTGGAATAATGCAACACCACTATGCTCATAAATTAAGCAACCTAAGTCCTAACTCTAAACCTGGGTGGATCAATGGGTTTGATCCTCTGTTCCACAAGGCATTTCTCAGGACAGCCACATGCCTGGGAGCCAGGGAACTGGCTTTGGAGAAATTCAAATAAAAATGGGCAAGAGGGGAGCCTTAAGCTATCCGAGTGGCAGCACTGGCCTCTCGAGCCTGACTGCTTTAGTGCAAATCCTGGCTCTGCCACTGCCTGAGGGGAGGCCACACACACCCTGTCTGTTCCAGCTGCCCTGCTAGGAGCTACCACAAGGGTTTCATGTGTTACAAAGTGTAACGTGATTACAGCAGTGCCAGGCGCAGCGTGAACCCATGCGAGTGTTCGCTCGCGCTATCGTTATTGTTATTTATCACTCTCTTGCATAATGCACCTGGGTGGCTCTTGCCCTAGATATCCATACTCTATCATTTATCGACCTACTGGGGGTTGAACCTGGGCCACATCCCCAGCTCTTTTTATTTTGAGACAAGTTCTCAGCAAGTTGCAGAGACGGGCCTCAAACTTGTGATCCTCCTGTCTCAGACTCCCAAGTCGCTGGGATCACGGGTGTGCTCCACAACTCCTGCTTATCCTAAAGATTTAAAATAAATAAAATAGCTCATTTCACTCGGCACAGATATGCCCCCATCTTTGAATGAAGAGATCAGAGGGTCAGGTCCTGGACTGTGCCTGGGCCCCACGTGGCTCACAGTGGGCGTTTGGGGGAACAGATGGCTTGAACATGACACTGGGCTAGGTGTCCCCTTCCCCTGCTGGGGAGGAAGAGAATGAACGCTGCTTCAGAACTCCAAAACAAAAGTTTATTTATAAAATACTGACAGTTTGACAGGACATGGGACTTCTCGTGGTATATATTTCAAATCAATTTAACCTTTCATTTAAAAAATAAACCTGCTAACAAGCTATGTGACATATACATATATATTCTTCTTACAGATAGACACCTGCCATAATGAATTCTCTCCCATAATTTTTCTTTTATATCTTTTAAATCAAAAAATAAAGATCTGTATTGATTTCGTTTTTGGAGTCTACATGGGTGAAGAAAGGTAACACATTTAAATGCTTTTGGTTATTTTTATGGAAACAGAGAAGAGGGGGTGGTCCTAAGGGGGGCACCTGTGCTCAGGGTGGTGGTCAGGGTGGTGTCCCTGGACAGGACCATACAGAGGCACTCGGGAGCTGGTGGCGGCTGCTCAGAGGGTCCCCTGCTCCCCTCCTGCCCGCTGGCCCCTCCGCCAGTGTGGGTACTTTCACTGTGTTCTCTGGGACGGTGAGGGGAGCCCCTGCCCAGAGAGTCCAATCGTTAGGTACTGGCACCTTAGGGGTTCTGCCCAGGAGGCGCGGGCAGCAACAGAAGGCCTCTAGAAGCGCGCATGGACGAGGCAGCACCTCTGTGTCCTCATATCTCCGCCTCACGGCAGTGTTAGATTTGGGGAGGGGGCAGGGGTGAGGGGGGCAGCCTGGGTTTACAAACTTCTTGGAGCCCTAGAAGGAAGGTGCTTCTGGAATCCAGGGCTTCTATTTGGTTCTTCTTGGCAGTCTGGGTGCACAGCTCACACAAATGCAAGAGGCACAGCCAGGAGGGGGAGAGGTCAGCCTGGCGAGCCATACTTGGGCTCCTGGGGACAACACCGGAGTCCCTTGGGGCACAGCAAGGCAACACCAAAGAGGCCAGGTGTGTCCAGGTGTGAACCTGCGGCCAGCAGAGTTGCACAGGTAGGGTCCTGGCATCACTGGCTCAGGAAGTCGAAGCCAGGAAGGCTCCCCGTTACCCCTGGGCAGTGCCCACCACACCCTTCCGACGTGGCCAGGTGTCTGGGAGGAGGTGCCAGGAGCCTCCACGCTCCACCGGCCCAGTAGATATGTAAACGAGAGCAGAGAGACGTCTCTGTAAGACGAATCTGAGTTCCACAGCTGGAGACCCACCTGGGCTTCCAGATGTGGCTGGGGCAGTGGAGACACCACTCCTGATGGGTGGGCGTTGACGAAGGGGGATGTCCACCTTGGGCCCAGCCTGACTTCCTGGACTCTCCTAGTGGCTGTGACTCACAGTGTCCTCACCCTCTTGGGCAACAGATCCCAGTCACATCCCCAGCACAAGTCACCCAGGCCATGTGCGCCTCACGGGGGAGACGGCCTCGGCCATCAGAGGGAGTTGCCAGAGCCCCTTTGCGGAAGTGGGTGTGTCCTGTGCACATCAGTGTGGTGTGCGAGTGGGTCAGCACGGGTGTGCATGGGCACGTCCTGCACGGGCACGTGGGTGGCAGCAGAGTGTGCAGGGAGCAGGGGAGATTTTAGTGCACCAGGTGATTCATTAAAGGCAAAGGACGATCAGCCTCATGTGCGGATCATACACAGGATAAAATTTCTCAGCCCTGCCTCCTCCCCAGAGCTCCCTCACTGGGTTGGGCTAAAATAATTCCCAAATGCAAACTGGGAATTTCTTTAAATGGTTAAATGCTCCAGAGAAAGGGAAAAGGACGAAATTGTTAAAGAAGAGGAAGAGGAGGAGGAGGAGGAGGAGGAGGAGGAGGCGGCGGCAGAAGGGGCAGTGGCATGATCACGTGCAGCGTCTGAAGATGCACTGCTGGGGGGCAGATGCTGCAGGGGCCACGGGTCCCTCTGACTCCAGGGCAGCCTCCAGACAAGGCCTGGGGGCCTTGAGCACCTGACTCCCTAGAGGAGCTGAGCAGCCCTTCCCAAGGCCCCCGCACAGAGAAGCCCCTGTCTGCACCTGGGGTCAGCCTCCCACACCGCCCCACTCACATTCCTTAGGGGCCAAGGAGCCCACGCAGCCTGGGCGGGCTCTTCCCTTCTGAGCTCTTGACCCTGACTTCCCTTCCCGGTTGCCATTAGCACAGCGGCTAACTTGGGGCCGGTGGAGAGGGGTCTGGGCTCTCTCCCCTCGACTCATTTCTCAATCCCCGCCTAAGGCCTCCCCTTCCTCTTCTCCTCCCCCACCAAAACAGGGTATGGCCCCCTCTCCAGCAGGGCAGGCAGCGTGGGTCGAGCACTCCACTAAGGGGCCCCGGGCCGAATGGGACATGCCCAGGCGGGGCCAGTTCCTCTGAGAGGCAGCCGTCCACCCACAGTGACGAGCTAGTCTTCGGCAGACTTCACAGGGCTGCTTGCGGTCACCTAGGGGACACAGATAACCCAGGGAATCTGCTGGAAAGGCTCCTCCTTAAACTGCTGCGGTAGAAGGCTCAGACTGATGGCAAGGTGAGGCCACCAGAAGCGGCTTTTTAAAGAACATTCCTTGGAGCAGATCATGTGTGTGAAAGCCTCTCCTCCCGCCAGCTATTCTTGTCCCTTGGTCCCATCTGGCCCGCCCTGCTGGCTGGGCTCACCATGCATCTCAGATGCTGTGTCCAGTTTAGACTGGGCTTCCTGACCAGCCCCTCCGTGCTCCCGGCTCTGGCCCAGCCAGGAAGACGTCACTCGGGGTTGGGGCATCCTTCGGCTCTGTAAACCAGGTGCTGGGCAGACTGAGCATATGGTGGCTGCTCGGGCCTCTGGCTCTGGGCCCTGAGTGCTGCGCTTAGCAGGCGACAGCAGAGACAGAGGGACACAGATCTGAAAGTGATCGATGCTGCGGGGCCAGGAGGGCCCAGGGGATTCTCTGGGGAAGGATCCTGGAGCCTTTCCTTGCACATGTGAACAGGACACGTGTGCACTCAGGTACACGCACGTGCGTGCGGCCGGGAGGAAGATGTCCGCTCAGGGGAGAGTGGTACGTCTGTCCAGGCAGTGATCCTCACCCTGCCTGACCCCTCAACCTATCTGACTTCTGCAACGTGTAGCACTTAATTTTCCCCGGGGGACCCCAGCAGCCGCCTTACACCTCTGCTCCCCAGGTGGAGCCTTGTCTGTGCTCAGGAAAGGGAATCAGGTAAAGGGAGGCAGGGTTCCGTTATACGGGAACTCTCCCCAGCCCACAGGCCCTCTTCCTTGTATTCACAATAAAAAAATAAAATATATATATGTAGGTACAAGAAAGTCGCTAAGCAGATTCTCACCCGTTAGTTTCTTTTCCTTTTTCTAAATAAACCAGATGTGTGGTGGACAGGCTGAGCAGGGAGGGGAGCAGTGGAGGTGGGTGGCAGGGCGGGGGTGGCCAGGCCATGACATCCGGCCAGGCAAGGTGCAGAGGGAGAGACAGGCTCTGGCCTGGGATACCTGTCCTTTCTGCAGAGGAGCGCGGCGGAGGGCCCAGGAACCAGCCCGTGTCAGAAGGGGGCAGCTGGCCACACGTCGAGAGGCTTCTCCATCCTGCGGCCTCGCCTGCTGTTCAGCCTGGGGTCCCTTGCCCTCTCTCCCTCTCTCCAGGGGCACGACCCCCTCTGCCCACTGCCTCAGTGAGACAGCCGCGTCCCCAGCCGTGCAGATCCTCAGAGTAGTGAACCCCACCGTCTCCACGCTCACAGCGGACTGGCCACGTCCTCTTGTGATTTCCTTCTCCCTACTTCTCAGCACCCGCTTCGCTGGCCCCGCAATCCCTGGAAAAAATAAGCTCGGGAGTTGAAGAGTTGACTGGGTCTCTCGGTGTTCTGTTTTCTGGCAGGTGGTTTGGGAAGCGTGAAGGAGGAGTTTGGTATCATTTTTCTTTCTTTTTCCTCTTCCGACGTCAAACAAATGATGAGAATCCCGCTATAGGTGCCCGGGAGCCAGGGGCGAGGCTGCTGGGGGGACGGTAGAGGGTGCTCTGTTGACTTGGGGGGTTCGGTGGGTTTTGGGGCGTTGGAGTCCGGCTGGCCTTGGGCCGGAAGAGGCTGCCCTGCTGGGCGCTGTTGCTATTGGTGACGGTGGCGTGGTCCGGCTCACCGGAGTCACTCTCAGTGTAGCTGTACGCCTGGGCCCGCGAGATGCCCTTCTGCTGGCGCCTCCAGGAGTTGTAGTACGTGGGGTCGCTGATGTAGTGGTTGACGAAGGAGTGGGCCTTCTGGGGGTTGGGGTCGACCTCGTACTCGCTGTCACTTCCCTGCGAAGACAGAGGATTGGGACATCAGTGGCCTTGTGGGGTCAATTCAGCACGACCAGGGCTGGAGGGCACAGGGTTCTGAGGCACCAACGTCTATGCCGCCCCTTTCCAGCCTTAAAGGGGGGAGGTGCCCTCACTGCCAAGTGGGCCCTGCACCCGGATGCCCTCTTCCTGCTTCTTCAGAGCAGAGACTGGACAGAAAATCTGCACCATAGTGTTGGCTCGGGGCTGGTGGACACAGTTGTCCTCTGTTATCTACAGCCATGTTCCAAACCCTCAGTGGATGCCTGGAACCTGAGATGGTCCCGAGCCCCACGGATGCTATATGTTTCCCTACATCCACATCCACGGTAAAGCTTAACTTATACATCGGGCACGGTCCAGATGAAGAACTACAGCCATCAAATGGAACAATTAGAACAACATGCTGTAAGAAAGGTTATGTGAATGTGATCTCTCTGTTTATCTCTGGAATTTTCCACTTCATACTCTGGGGTCACAGTTAACCACCAGCAACTGGAACCACAGAAGCAAAACTGAGGGGTAAGGAGGAGGGATACCAGAGTTCCCATCTTTTTTTTCCAATCCAGGTGCAACTCACATTAACATAAAGCTGCATTCTTTTCAGTGTGCAACTCAGGGTGTTCAGGTTTGCTCTCTATGTTGTAGACCCTCCCCTGTACTAGCTCAGAATGCTTCCATCACCCCAAAGTAAAACCCAGTCTCTCCCCCTCCCACCCCTCCCTCTGCAACCACAAATCTGTTTTCTGTCTTCAGGGATTTACCTATTCTGGACATTTCCTATTAACGGAATTATATAACATGCAACTTTCCATGTCTGACTTCTCGACTTAGGGCGAGGTTTTTGAGGTTCACCCATGTGTAGTAATCTGGGTTCAAACTGATTCAGGGGACCAACAAGAGCCAGATGAAATCTTTGGAGGCTGCTAGTGAACAATGTAAGTGCCTACCCAGTTCCAAAATAAAAATGACACTTCGTTACAAAATAAGCACAGGAAAATATCAACAAAGGTTCTGGATTTTCATGCGGTGACAACTGCGGGCCCCACCCCCCCTTTGGAAATGTAAAATATCAAGTTGTTCTTAAATGCCTTTGGGTACTCTGCTGCTCTAGGTACAGGCCTTATCCTTCTCCTGGGGATGGAGACAAGAGTCAATCTGGGGTGTAAAGTAAAATCCGACTCAGGGAACTAAAAATATGGCGCACCCTTCCCCCACCCCCTCCCAGCAATGTTTTGAGAACTAAAAAGACAACAGATGGGAAGTCTTTGGGAGAGAGGAGCCTGATGTTAGTGAAGGGCGCACTCCCAATGAGAGCTACCCGCTTTCCTCACCCCCTGCCCACTGGTGGCAGCCTGGGTGCAGTTAGCAAGAAAACCCAGTTAGCCCCAGGCAAGTGCGTTTGGGACGCTGCATGGAGTTCTGCAGCTGGACCTTTTCCCGAGGGTCCCCGCTGTGGGAAATGAAATGCACAGTGTTCCAACTTGGGCCCTCTGGGGACACTGGAGCAGGCCCTCTCCATGACTGCCGACTCGCTCCTCTCATTGGTTTGCACACCTCTGCGCCCAAGCTACCAGAGCACAGATCTGTTTGAGGACTGAGGAGGACCCAGGGCAGAAAGGGCGTGGCTGGAGGCCACGTCTAGCTGGGCTGCCGCACTGGCCTGCCGGGTTTTCCCCAGCCCAGCAGGCTCTGCACTCCTGCACTCCTGCCTGGAGGCCCCGGGAGCGAAGGACCCTCCCTCCCCCAGTGGGGCTGAGGCCTCCCAGCCCATCTGCTAAGTCGTGTTCTCTGGCCCCTCTCCTCACCCCTCTGAGCCCCTGCCATCCCCTTACCAGCCCCAGCAGACACTCCCCACTGCCCAAGACAACAGAGAGCCCTGCCCCCAAGGCACAATGCAAGCCCCCCTCCATTTTTTTTTTTTTTTTTGCCCATTGCCCAGCTGCTGTCTGGGGAACAAAAGGGACACACGGGCAGGAGAACTCCATATGCTGAGGGTGGGCACCTGAGGCTGGGGGTCCCTTCTGGAGGAGCCGTGAGGGGCTAGAGGAAAGGGGCACGAGGGGAGCCTGCCCCACAGGCTCCCTCCCAGGTCCCGTCTCACAGTGTCCAGCATTTCTAGAGGTTCTAGGATTCTAGCCAGCCTAGGTCCCAGCCTTGGAGAGGAGACCCAGGTCACTCGGGCTGCTCCAGAGCCAAGAGTCTCTGGGGTGAGGTGACAGCGACATAGTCAAGTCTGCTCTGGCCCTTGCCAATGGGGAAGTGTGGCCCACGGCTCTGGCTCCCTCAGCCTCAGTGTCCTGTAAAGTGGGGGGACCCCCACGGTCCACAGGTGGAATGAGGTGACAGAGGAGAGGGGGCTGGGAGAGAGTGAGTGGTGCTGAGGGGAGGGGCAGACCTGTAGTGAGGGGCCTTGAACACCGCCCCCCCCCAGGGGTCCAAAGGGAATAGGGAAGCTGTTTACTGCTCAGGCCACTGGGAAGTAGGACAAGGTTCAGATTCTGTCCCCTAACCTCCTCTGCAAAGTGGAGCATGTCTGGTGTCTGGTCTGGGGGCAGGATGGGGTCTCTCTGCCCGTCCTGGAGGCCCAGATCTCATTCTTGCAGATCATCACCATCCCAGGGGCTGCTCTCTCTTCAGCACCTCCTGGGTGCTAGGCCCTGGGCAGAGCAGGATCCCTGCCAGGGCTGGGAAAGCCAGAGCCTGGGAGAGTCTGGCCCTCCCCCTCCCCCAGCTCTCCAGGGCCAAGGAGCAGGGTCTTTGCATGAGCAATGGCTGTCCCGCCTCCATCGCCCAGAACATCTGTTTCTTTTCGGGGTGGGGGTGGGGTGAGAAGAAAGAGAGCTGGGGACGGGCTCCTATTGCAGCTTTTGGCTCTCAGGGCCTCTGCGGTAATTGAATGCAGCTTCCCAGGAAGGGCCCAGAACAAAGGGGCCTTTCAGGGGCCGTCCTAGCCAGGCCACCAGCCACTGCTTCAGCTCCTGGCCTCTGAGCAGCAGTGACTGGCCTGGGAGGGGGAGCACGGACCCAGGCCTGGCCATGGGAGTGGGGAGGCCGCGAAGGCGGTGGGACCCCAGAGAAAAGACCAAAGCAAAACGGAGGGGACAAAGCCAAGCTCCTCTGCTTTCTTGTTCATCTCCCGAACCAGACTCAGCAGCGTGGGAGTGAGGAGCCACCCGGGGCTCCGAGACAGGATGGAGGGGCCGGGCAGGGGTCGATAGGCTTGCACCCCACGTGTCTGGGAAGAACGTGTGGCCTCCCGGGGAAGCCTGCTCCGTACCTGTGGTCCCAGGGGCTTTCTGCCCTGCCCAGCCCTGTCCCTTGGGTACTCTAACCCCTGAGCCAGCCGGCCCACTTCCTGCAGGGCTGCAATGCAGCCTCTTGGAAATTAGAGCCAGGAAGGGCTGCCGTCCCATCTCCTAGGTCTTTTTGAAGGACTTCATTGGACGTCCCCTCAGAGTTCTGGACTCTGGATGCTACAATTCTCCCAAGAATATCCCATGAAAAATGCCAGCGCAGATACAATGTCATACATGCTACCTGTGCCCTTACAGGTAGTAATTAATGGCCAATGCCTGCTCACCCCTCAGCTGGCAGAGATGCCTGGGGTCAGGGGTCTCAAGGGAGGTCACTGAGGTAGGGTTGGGGTGACTGAAAGAAAATCTCCTTCAATTCCCCCTGTGCTGGGCAGCTGGGTGAGGCCAGGCTGCAGTGGACACAGCCCTCAGAGCCAGCTGGATCTCATTTGAGGCCCAGCCACCTGCCCTTCTGAGCTCTGAGACCAGAGCATGCTGTGGAGTCCTCTGAGCCTTTGTTCCTGTTGTGGGAACAAAGTGGGGTGCTTAGATGTTAACCAAGAACCGTCAAGAGCACGGAGCTCGGAGCTCGGCACTCAGCAGGTGCCCATGTGTGGTTTTGCCTCCCTCCCCTTTCCCTGGACTCTCTCTGGGGTGCTTCTCCTCCAACCTGGCTGCCAGGGCCTGGGTGGGCTGGGGTTAAGGAGAAGCAGGAGACAGGGCCCAGCCTGTGGAGTGGTGGCCCAACCTCATGGACAAGAGGCAACATGGAAGAGACCAGAGACGCTCAGCAGGGTGCAGCGCTGCTGGGCAGGCAGGACCACCCCCGAGGCAAACCCTGCTTCCTCATGTCCGACCCAGCCCTGTTCAAGCCAAATGAATACCACCCCCTCAAGGCGGCCCTCCCTGGGCCTCTGCGCGGACCCAGCAGCCTTTTCCTCAGGACTGCCCCCTGCACTGCCCATGCCCGACGCCACGGAACAGAGATGCTCATGCCACTTTCTTCCTGCAGCTACTCACTGTGGTTCCGCGACATCTTAACGAGAATGAAACAGGATTCTTGGCACACACGCGGTCTCCCCTCGTAGATCACAGCGCGCAATAATGGAGGGTCTGTCCTGCCCCCTCTGGAGCTGCCACCAGCAAGCCGCGTCTGGGGCTGTCCCGTGGCGCGAGCAAACAGCTCTTGACGAAATGCACCACGGAGTGAGTGAGTGGAAGAGCCCCAGGAGGGCAGAGCCAGTGCCAACCCAGGTGTGCGGGGCGCACGCAGGTGTACTGGGAAGATGCATGGAGGCCCCCCTCAGCCCCCTCCTCATCTCAATCTAGAAACAGCCATAACCCCCTCAGTGGCTCCCAGGGGCCCTGAGGACCAAGTAATGTCACCTCCCCAGCAACCTCCAGCCATCCTGGCTCCTAAGGACCCCGGGCTCCGTGGGCTCCGTAAATAGTATCCCCAACACGATTTGTCCTGAATGTCTTCTTCGTACTTTTTTTTGGTATTGGGCACTGAACCCAGGGGCACTTAACCACTGAAACACACCCCAATCTTTTTTTTTTTATTTTTTTTAGTTGTTGATGGACCTTTATTTTGTTTATTTTTATGTGGTGCTGAGAATCGAACCCAGTGCCTCACACATGCCACTGAGCCATGGCCCCAGCCCACCCTCAACCCTTTTTATATTTTATTGAGGTATAGGGTCTTGCTAAGTTCCTGAGGCTGGCTTTGAACTTGTAGTCCTCCTGCCTCAGCCTCCCGAGCCGTTGGGATCACAGGCGCGGGCCACCACGCCCCCGGCTCTTCTTACATCTTTCAGAGAAGCTTAATGCCATTATAATGAGGGGCCACCCATGACACTGCCCAGAACTGAGTATCGAGATTAGAAGGCGGATGCCATGGGTTTGGCCTTTTTTCCCCCATTGAGATTAATTTCTGTGCTAAAGATTTTTTTTTTTTCCTACCAAACTTGGGCTGTTATTTTGAAAACGGAGTTGGAAGGCGGCCATAAGTGCATTTTTAGAAGTTCCGTCAAATGAGCCACAGGCTCTTTAAGTCTCATCTTTGGGCGTGCCTCCCTCTGCCTGGAGCCCCTTCTGCACCGCTCCGAGCACAGCTCTGGGCTCCCCACTTTCACTGCTGGGGGAGAGCTGGCCCCTCCCCTCTGTCCCTCCGCACATGGCCCCATTGTGGCTTCTCTCTCAGGGAATCACGTGGGCTTGTTTATAAGTCAAATTGACTTTTTGTTTATTACCATATCACAGGAAAGCGGCTGCACAGATTGCCTCCAGTTTGGGAGAGTGAGATTTGGGTGGTCGGACTTAGAATATGAACCAGGTGGCATATGCCCAGCTCACTTGGAGGGGGACTTCAAAAACGTAGGCGGTGATTCTCTGGAGCCACTGAAACTTTGGAGGAAGCTGCTGATGGTCTTGGGGGACATGTGGCAAGACACGAAGGGAGACTGGCATCAGCTCCACCATCTTCCCAGAACGACTTCACTATGGTGGGGGTGCCACACTCTAGACACCGCCTTGGAACACAGTGGGCTTACTTATGTGTGGACGGAGGGTACTGGAGGGGGCCAGCTGCTTTGTCTCCAAGTATCTCTGTCTCCCAGGACCACGAGGAGCTCCTTGGTCTCAATCACCTCCATGTCCTAAGAGTGAGCTCCAGGAGCGAGCCTGGAGACGTGTGTGTGTGTGTGTGTGTGTGTGTGTGAGTAGAGCCCTTGCCTAGCATTCGCAAGGACCCAGAAGACAGGGGCACCCGCGCTCACTGGTTGTGAGCACAGAGGAACATTTTCTAGCTGCGTCAGGGTCCTGTCTTGCCTGTAGTTGCAGAATCTAGGAGCTGTCTGCCCGGGGTGACTGACACCTTCCCAGGGAGCATCCTGGACGTCCTTCCCAGGACCACTGGTGAGCCGGGCCCCCACAGCTCCACTGCCCTCTCCCAGTAGCCCTGTGGCTGCACCATGCTTCCACCTCGTGAGGGTGAAGGGCTGCCGAGGACCCTCCTGGTCACGGGGTTGATACGGGACAGAGTGCCCTCCTACGCCAGGCTCAGCCACCGGGAGCCACCTTTCCATGCATGTGGCCACAGCAGCCCTCTGTGGCCACAGCTGCAAGGGGGTCTTTTGGGGAACACTTCAATGCCTAGAGCTCCCTCCTCTGAGTATCTTTGTTCTTCAAGGACAGGCTTGAATTTTTTTTTTTTTTTAATCTATGGTTATTTGTCAAATGTATCAAGTTAGCGAAGTGGCAGGAATGCTCCCTCTCCTTAAGTGTGTCATTGACGGGTTCTGAAGACTTTTCCAGAAAGGTCTGCACTGGCCTGTGGGTGGGTCCTGGAGACAGGGCTGAACCAGGACCCGGGCTCTGCAGCCAGGAGCTGGCATCTGGGGCTTGCACCTCTGGCTCTTGGACCTAAGCTACCCCACTCCACCTCTGATCCTCCTGTGTACAAAAAGATGACACCAATGCTTCAGAGGGTTGTCACTATCATATGGTGAAACACGAGGGACATGGGGGGGATGGGGTCACCAGTGTGACTTCTGATGTGTGAGGTAGGAGTTGGTGAAAAATAAATGATAACTTTAAACCACGAGTCTTTGTTGTGGTGTCCTGGGAACCTGTACTTGGCCTTGAGTCTGCTTTGGTTGATTAGTTTCCTAAGTGTCCTTTGATTTCATTTTTAAAATTTTTTTTTTTTTTTTTTGGTGGTACCTGGGGTTGAACCCGGGAGGCCTCTATCATGGAACCACACACCCAGCCCTTTTTATTTTTCATTTTGAGACAGTATCTTGCTAAGTTGCTGAGGCTGGCCTCCAACTTGTGACCCTTTTGCCTCGGTCTCCGAGTGGTTGGGGTTACAGGTGTGGGCCACTAGGCCTGGCTGATCTTTAGCTGTTTTAATTAAGTGACTGTTTATGGAGTGCACAGGTCCCAGCCCCTGTGGACACCACATACAGGGACTACGCGGTGATCCGGATGGCTGCTTTTCTGGAACAAGGCCTCAGAGCCAACGGACCCAAGACAACATGGCTGAGCCCCAACACAAACCCGAGCTATCTCCACCTCCCCAGGCAGGCACCCAGAGCCTGGGCTGGATTGACCAACCCCAAAAGGAGTGTGGGCATTCTGCTGTGACAACTGCCTTCTGGAGCCTGGGGAGCCCCCTCTCCCAGGGCAGTGCTCCAGGGGAGTGACTGGTTCCCAGTTGCTATGGGAACAGTGCTCAAGTGATGGGCTTCTTTAAGCAAATCAGACCAAGGGCTTAGCAGAGGGAGGGTTCTGGGCACTCTGGGTCCACCCTGAGGGGACTTCTGAGGTCAGCTGGTCTGGAGCACAGGGTGTCTTTCTTTAAGGCTAGGAGGCCCTGGCATGATCTCCTGGCCATGGGACTACTCTGTCCCCAGGAGATTCCTCCAGATTCATGCAGAGCCGGTGACAAAAAGGCCTTGAGATATGCAGGCAATCTCTCCTGTCCTGGAGGGCTTGTCCCTGAGGTTGAACCCAGGCAGTAAGGGTGGGGTAGTGATGTGCTCTGCAGAAGGTCAAAGCCACCAAGCAAAGCAACACAGGAAGCCCCTCTTGCCGGCTGCTTCTAACCACAGGGTCCTGTCTTGCACCCAGGACTGACAGGAGTCCCATGCAACTGCCCCATGGTCAGAGAAAGTCCCTTTGTCAATTCTACCTTGGATGTCTAGAATCTAATGCTGGTCAGCATCTTTGGGGAAAAGAAAGAAAAGTCGTGTGTTAGGGGAAGGACCCAGCCTGTGTGTGCTCGTGAGTCCCCCTAGTCGGTGTGGCCGCACGAAGTTAAAAGCTGCCACAAGCTGAATCACAAGGCTTCAAGCAGCTTTGTCCCCCACCAAGTCCCAGGGAAAGCCAGGCTAAGTTGGGGTCTCTGCCCACCAACTGTGAGCTGTGGACGTAGGTGGGCCTTTCCGGCTCCGCCAAGCCCAGCCGTAACCCTGGAGCTGAGCAAAGCAGCGTGGTTCACCGTTGCAGTGCGTGGTCGCACCTCCCCACAGGTCAGCCTGCTCCCTCTGGCACCTCTTGCTCCTCTTGGAATGTCCTCAGCCCCCTTAGCTGAGTGTCTCCATTGCCTGGCCCACCTAATGACAGCTCTAAGCTCTGTCTTCCAGAGTTCGGGTTCCCCTACCCCAACATAAAAGGCAGCACTGATTGAACAGTTGCTGTGTGCCAGTCCTGGGCCAGACTCTCAGGGAAGTCCCCCAGAGTACCATGAGATGGCCTAAGACCACCCCTGCCTGTTCTACGGGGGAAACTGAGGCTCAGAGAGGTAACCTAGCACATCCAGAGCACCCCAGTTCAGAGGCAGAAAGTCACCGACCAAAGCACAAAGTCTCATTGGTCTAACTGCTTCCTGTCCTAGGACCCTGGACCTGGGATCTCCTTTGACCTCAAGGAGCTGGGCTGAGCAGCTGTCCAGGGCTCTGGCTGCAGGGCCAGGTAGAGCTCCTCCTCTCCTGCCCCTTGCCTTCAGCATGCTCCTCTGCTGCTGAGAAGCTGGTGGAGGGTGACCCCCGCAAGTCTAGGGGACCACGCTCTCAGGGGATCTCATGCGATCTAGAGCCTGTCAGTCCTGGGGGCAAACTATGAGCAGAACCGGGGGGTGGCACCTGACGTACAAATGACTTCTGGTGAGTTCTTGGGCCTTCTTAGTCTCTCTGGCCCCAGGTAGGGAAGGAGGGAAGGAAGAAACCCATGTGACGGGCCATCTGCCTCCGTGTGTGCTGCAGAGTCCTCTCCCTGCACTGCCCCTCGCTGGGAGGGCTGCTCCCCTGCCCTGCCCAGGGCACTCAGCCCTCTGGCCCCTCACCTGAGAGTCGGAGATTTCCGAGGGCTTCTCTGTCAGACTGCTGCTCTCTGCTGGGATGAGGTCATTGTACTTGGTGACATCCTCATCCGAGTAGTGGAGGCTGCCGGGGCTGGGCCGGGGAGGGGACCTGGAGAGAACAAGGAGGGGCTGAGAGATGGCCTCACACAGCGCAGCCTCCCAGGCCGGGGAGATGCAGCCAGGCCCCGAGGAGCCCAGGCCACATGGGTTCCTCTCTTCTGTGACCACATACCTTCGGCTGGCCCTGGGGAGAGGAGCCTGGAGGAGGAGGGAAAGAATGGGCACCGTGCTGAGGCTGCCCTGGCAACATGCAGGGTGCACCGACCCTGTGGCTGCCTTCAGGGCCCTGGAGCCTGGGGCTGGTTTGGTGCAAACAAGATTCTCTGTGTATTCACAGTGGGCAGGGGACACACAGGGGCCTAGATGTGCACCCGGTGGGCGGGAGATGTAGGGAGAGGCAGGAGGTGAGGCCATTGGTGAAATGGCCCCTTGTTCCGTGAGGCAGGGCCCTGGAGCCAGCCTGGCGGGCTGCTGTGGCATGCAGGGCCCGCTGGGCCTGCCACACAGCCTCCAGTGGCCCTTTCTAAGGAAGGTCGGATTTGGCCAGGGATGAGAGCCTGTGAGCCCCGCCTTCCGTCCTCCCCTCTGTCCCCCACCGTGAGCACACACATGGCTTGTCCCTCCAAAACAGAGACAGAGAGAAGCTTTGTGAGTCCACCCTGAGAGAGGCTCCCCCCTGCTTGCTGCGTCCAACGAGCCAGGAATGTCAATAGGGCCGAGGCTGGGGACAGGAGCCCCTGGCTGCAGTCACAACCCCCCTGGAGCTCCTGGGGGTAGAAAGTGACCGCATCCTATCGGCAGAGGCCCCAGCGGTGGCCCCTGCCTTGGAAGAGGGCAGCCTGGCAGCAGCGGGGCTGGAGTTAGAGAGGAGCCAGAGCAGCAGAGGCCGGACAGGTGCCGTCGGCTTCCGCCTTCCCTCGGCTGCCTTCAGGTGCTGCAGCGGGTGGCAGGTGGGCGGCTGCGGCATTAATACGGACCAGGGAGGGGCTTCCACACTGTCCCAGATGGGGAGGGGATAGGCCACGAAGGACGGGGTGGGGGTGCACCTGGCAAAGGTCCCCAAGGAGCCGGCTAGGTGCCTCAGCGGGCCCGGCTCACCTTGGGTCATGTGACCCCCTGCAGGCAGGCACTGGAGCGGCTCGCCCTGGGTTAACTTGCAAAAATTCCAAGTTGCTTACATTCTGCTGCCACTGAGGGGTCCACTTAGAACCCACCTCCTCGTGAACTCCCCGGTGTGCCCTGGGCTGTGGCTGCGCCTGGGGAACCCATGGAACTGTCTCTGTGTCATCGCTCCCAGCCCCAGAGTTTGAATGCGGCTTCCCGGGACCGAGGGAGGCCAAGTGGGCAGCGCCTGCTTTGTGGTCTTCCCAGCACGCCCCCAGCCTGCACTGCGGGGCCCTGAGCTCTGGCCCCCAAGTCCCCACCCCGCACCCCTCCCCGCGCGGAAGGCCCACTACCTGGTGTACAGGCCGTTCTTTCGGCAGAAGGAGTTTTTGACGGACAGCCGGCGGTTGTTGAGTTCCAGGGCGGGGAAACTGCTTTCGTCCAAGCTCATCATCTCCCCGTGGCCCAGGGCTCCGGACTTGGCACTGCTCCCTGTGGTGGGGGGAGAGGTAGACACCTCTAGACCCTTGGCCTCCCAGCCCACCTACTCCCTTACCCGGCAGGGCTCCCCTCTTTCTGCCGAGTTGAATAAGAGACTGAGATGGCGTCCAGGAGCCCGATGTTCCCTACCTGAGCAGGGCACTGCCAGGAGAGCAACCTGCCCACCCTGCCCTGGCCAAAAGGGAGACACGCGAAAGTCCAGTCCAGCGGCAGGGCTGGGTGCCGGCTCACTCACCCGAGTCTGTCTTCTTGGCATATTTCTTGCTCTGGCCTCGGATGATGAGCACAAAGACCAGGAGCAGGATGAAGATGAGGCCCACGAGGGCGATGACCACCAGGAACCACCACTCCTCGTAGAAGGGGTTGGCCTTCTGGGCTGGAATGAGGATATGGGTGTCAGGTCCAGGGTGCTCCTGGCCCAAGCCTCCCGCCACAGCTGGGGCCCTACCACTGCTCATGCAGATTAGGGTCGGTGGGTCTCTGTCCCCCGAAGGGGGAAGAACGTGAGACAAGGTGAAGGACTGTTTCATCTTTGGCGAAGGACAGCCTCGGGGGCCGTTTTACAAAAGGCTCTGGGGTTGCTTCCTTAGGTAAGAGCTCTGGGATTGACTCATGATGTCTGCCAGGGACACAGGAACTGGGGCAGCAGAGTGCTAGCTGCTTGTCCTTCTCCCTCCTTGCTAGGCAGACTTGAATTTGTGTGGGTGCTTCTCTGGCCCGCAGGAGACCTGGGTGAGTTTCCCCAAGGTTCCGTTTAGATGGAACTTTTATCTGGTGGCAGAAAGCAGGGACTTGGGAGGCTGGACCATGGAGCCTGAGGATGCTCTTCCTGGTCCGGCTCCCTTCTTTCAAGTACTGTGCTTCGTGCACCCAGCCAAGAGGAATCCGGGTTGCTGCTGGTGAGGGGTTGCTCTTCTGCCCCAGTCAGAGCATTTCTAGCCCTTGACTCGGTTCTAGCAACCTGGGCGAAGGAGCAGGTGCATGGGGGTAGGGGGGAGGCTGTGTTTCTGAGCTCATCCTGTGTGTAGGAATTTTGAGCTGCCTTTGTGCCTTGGAGAAAGGGGCTGTACAACTCCAAGTAAAGTTAGTGATCCGATCTGGATCCTGGGTGTAGACGTGGTCCTGTGTGAGCTCTGAGATATGCCGGCTGGGAAGAACAAGGAGTGGGGGCGTCTGCCTATCTGAGCTCACCTAGACGCTGCTGAGTCAGGTCCTCGAGGCCCCTGGGTTAGCTGCTGTTCTACAGGATGCTGGCCCCGTCTATTCCAGGAAGCAGTTTCCGTGGAAACAGTTTATGGCCTGGCACCCTCAAACCTCCTGGGTGGTGAGCTCCTGGAAGTTCTCATCTGGGGTCCACTGTTTTGCCCTATCCAGGGCCTCTGAAGTCCCAGGAAGGGAATCCCAGAGCTCCAAGGCCCTCAGCTTCCCCCAGAGATTGCAGCTTTGGGGAACTGATGGGACATATCATTTTGTAGCCACCCCAATGTTTCTTGTGCCCTGGTGTGGGGTCTCTCCTCTTCCCCCACTGCCCAGTCACTGCCATCAAGGCTCTTCCACGGGACTCCCCTGCTCCCTGTCCCACAAGCCGGTACCTGGCACAGACTGGGAAGGGCTGCTAGGGGTGCCGAAGCCGTAGTCGTTGACTGCGATGACCCGGAAGTCATAGCTCACGCCCGGCCTCAGGATGTCCATGCTGAAGGTGTAGGAGCTCACCTCCTTGGGGATGTCTTTGATGAGGATGTCCCAGAGCCCCTCATCTGCAAGAGCACAGAGGGGGGGTGCCACAGGTGAGAGGAGCCTCGAGTCCTGCCCAAACCCATCCCGCCACTCCCCAAGGCATTGGGTGGCCACTGGCTCAATGCTGAGGGTTCAGTGCTTGGTGCTGAGGGGTCCCCAGTGGGTGCTTTTTAATGACACAGTTTGGAGTGTGTCTTTTATTCTTTGTTATTAAGACATCTGTGAAACATTAATAAAATATGCACAAAGCAGAAAATACAGCATCAACCAACCCAATCCAGGTTGAATATCCTTAATCTGAAAATCTAAAATCTGCAATGCTCCAAAACCCAAAATGTTTTGAGCACTAAGAGACAGACCACAAGTGGAAAATTCTTCACCACGAAAATTTATTTCATGAGCAAAATTATTAAACTATCGTGTGAAATTATCTTCAGGCAATGTGCATAAGATGCATAGGAAACAGAAATGAATTTTGTATTTAGATTTGGGTCCTAGCCCCAAGATATCTTATTATATATAAACAAATATCCCAAAATCTGAAAAAAAAAATCCCAAGTCTAAACCACTCAGGTCGAGGAATTTCGGAGAAGGGAGATCCAACCTGTACCACACCTGGAGAAATAGATTCAACCTCTTTACCCTTGCATAGAATGAGCTCCACCTCTTGTGTTTTCTGAGTTACTAAAATGGCTGGTAACTCTGATGTAAGAGGCTAAGATCTTGTCATATGGGAATATTCTACTTCACCCAACCGGGCCCTTACCTTTCCTGATCCCCTTTCTTACTGAAAACATGGAGTGGCAGCAGGTGGAAGTAAGATGACCCACCCCTACACCCGTTTTTCTTTTTCAGTAACCCTGCAAGGACGTTTCAGGTTTCTTGAGAGGGTTTGGTCAAGTGGCCTGGAGTGGCCGGGATCATTCTGGGCTACCTCTTCTCTTGTTTTTTTTTTTTTTTTTCTTACCAGGGATTGAGCCCAGGGGTGCTTAACCACTGAGCCACACGCCCAGCTCTTTTAAACTTTTGAGACAGGTTCTCACTTAGTTGCTGAGGGCCTCGTTAAATCGCTAAGGCTGGCCTCAAATTTGCGATCCTCCTGCCTCAGCTCTCCGAGTTGTTGGGATTATAGGGGTGCACCACCAAGACTGGCTCACTTCCACTTTTCTTAGGAGCAGAGATCAGAGAAGAAAGAGGGACGATGTCTCTTGGCCCCTGTCTGTCTGCCCCATGAGGCGAGCTTTGCCAGGGCCCTGTGGCATCCATCATGGTGGCAGGGAGGCCAGAAGGGGCCCTGGCCAGATGCTCTGTGTGGGGTACAGGGACCAGCCTGGCCTCTGGAGGGAGGCACTTTCCTGCTGAGGTTAGAGGAGAGATAATTGGAAATGTCTCCTTGGAGTAAGGCCCCTGGGGCCCTCGTCTGACCCCTTCTTCATGGGGACAAGGGGCCAGAGGTCTTAGAAGCACCTTGGGGGACTGAGCTCACATGTCCTCCCCCAGTGGCTGGCTCCAGGTGTTCACCCAGTCACCAGTGGGCCCTCCAGGCTGCTCTCCGGGAGCAGCACCTCCGGCTTCACCCCCACAGCCCCTCTGGACAGGCTCCTGAACTCCTTCCGGAGAGAGCTGCCCCTAGGCTGAAGCCGGCTCCCTGCTCAGCATCACGTCCCTGGCCTGGAGGGGTCAACGTTTCTAACAGAACCAGCGTCTCAGTCCAGAGCGCCAGCAGAGTTGCCCGGGGTCCTATCGCTGTTTCTGACTTTTGGACCAAGTATGTGGCAGGACCAGCTAAGGGCAGCCTGTTCCCATCCAGTGTGGACCTTGCTGACTTGGGGAAGGTGACAGGGGCCCTGCCAATCTTCACAGCTTCTCCTCACCCAAGGCCCAGCGTCCTGAGCTTCAGCCTCATGGAACAACAGCCTCTGATGTTCCTGAGTCTCTGCTTGTACACATCCTATCTTTTGTTCAATCTCTTTCTTGTTCGGCTGCAAAATTCCTCTAGGGCAAGGCTCTGGCCTTGTTGGTCTCGGTGCAGACTGAGCCCCCAGCACAGATGCCTTCTAAGTGTTTGCTGAATAAATGAACCAAGTCTTTCTCCCCTGGCCTGTGCCCAGTTTTGGTGCTTCCTGCCTTGAAAGGCCAGAATTTGGGGCAGGTGACTGGGTTCTCTTGCTCACCTTGCAGAAGCTATTGTGAGGATAATGGCAAGGACACCCTAACTCCCTGCTTTCCTCTCCACGCAAGGGCAACGGTGAGAGGAAGGAACTGCTATCCCCTTTTTCAGATGAGAAAACCAAGGCTCAGAGACCTTAAGTCATCTTCCCCAGGTCACTCTGCCACAGGGGCAGAGCTGGAGTTTCCGCCTGGGGTGGTCCGGCTCCTGGCATTGAACTTCCTCTGGTGCCCAGGACAGTGCCTGGAGCAATCAAGGGCTAATTCACTGCCCGCAGGCTTGTGGGGGACCCTGCTGCTGCCTTCTAGAAGCTGAGGTCTCCTGCCTGCTGTCTCTCTCCCCTTATTCTACCGCAGACAGAGACAAAGGGTGGGGCCGGGGCAGCAGGGCCAGGCCAGAAGCTTCTGGAACGTGTCACGGTGGCCCTGGCCTTCAGCCCTGGGAGCTGGCTGGTCTGCAGGGCCAGGTCCACGGGTCTTTAAGTGCCCAGAGTGAATCCCTCCCGGCCATGCCAGGTACCTCCCCAGCCTGTAGAAAGTGGGATGTTCTGCTTCTTCTGTATAACACAAAGCACAAGCCAGGCAGGGACGAGGTACGAGAGCTATTTTGTCCTGAAGATAAGGAGCTTGGGAGCAGAGAGGGAGCATGAGAGGTGGGCAGCAGGCTGGGAGGACAGGCGCTGCCTTATCCTGGAACAGGAGGCTTCTTGCCAACAGCCTCAGGGGACGGCCAAGACACTTCCCCAGCCCTGGCTCCTGCCCCTCTTCCCCGTGGGTGGAAGAGGGCTGCCGCGGGGCTCTCTGGGGCTGCTTGGCCCTGGCCTTTTATTAAGTCTTGTCTTGGTCCTTCCTTTTCTGCTCAGTCCTCGATTCCACCTGTGCCGGTACAACGGCACCAACTGCCAGGGCTGGGAGGGCAGAGACGAGCTGATGTCATGGCACCCAAACTTAGAACTCCAAGGCCCGTGCTGGGCCTCCCTAGGGACACTGGAAAATCAACAGGCTGGAGTCCAGGGCCAAAATTCCATAGCTGGCAACCAGGTCGGCCAACGTGGTGGGATAAACAGGCGCAGGCCCCAGTTGGGAGAAGCACACAGTGGTCTCCTGGCCAACTCAGCTGCCTGCACTAGAGGGGCAGGGAGGGACCATCTGGAGCGGGGACTGAGCCAGCACCATGTGAATCTCAGGCAATTTGGTGCATCTGAGCTGCTAGATGGATTAGCTATTGCAACTGTGATTATTAGCAGAATATTAAGACAATGGCTGGTGGCAGCGGCCTTGGGAACCCCTAGAGTTATTAACTCTGCTTTTGGGGATGACTAGCCCTCGACTCTGCAGAGGTGGTACTGATTTGTCTCTGGAATGATTCGATATTCCGCATGGGAAGCTTTAGCTATTGATCCGCTTGAGGACTTCTCATTATGATTATTATTTGCTATCGGGTTAGAGCAACAAAGTCTTTCCTTTCCCGGATTCAATCTCACAGCCACAGATCCGCATGACACCCCAAAACAAGCCTGCCGCGCTTGGCTGCCCGTGGTGCCTCTGATTAACCTGGAAACCTGACGACCCAGGAACAGGGGTCCTGTAAGGGGAGCCCAGGAAGCAGGGAAACAGGAGGGGACAGAGAGCAGTCGCCCCGAGTGACTTATCAGCTGCTCATCCCCTGATGGCTTTGGAACTTCTTGTGATTGGATTTCAGGCTTGACAGGAGAGGCCGGTGCAAGGGCACGAACTGCCAGGGCCAGGATGCAGAGACGAGCTGACAGGCAGCGGGCCCTCCTCGGCCAAGCAGCGTCCGCCAGGCGCTCGGGAGGATGTGGGATTTAACCACCGTGCGCCACATTCTTCTGGTTTCTGTGATCATCCTCAACCCAGATCAGACCTTGCCTAGAACTAAGAGTCCTTCTCTGGTGGCTTCTCACCCAAGCAAGAGTCCAGCTCAGAGGAGCCCCAGGCCCCTGTTTCTCCCTCCCCAACAGGGCCCCGGCAGCCCCCCATCCGCAATAGCATGATGTGGGGGCTCAGGAAGGGGCAGGAAGAGAGCTGTGGAGACTCGGCCCAGGGGGAGGGGCAGCCCAGCCAGGCAGGGCCCATCCCAGTGTGCGCCCACCTGAAGGCCTGGCCTCTATGACATAGCGGGTGATGGGCCCTTTGCCAGGGTCTCCGCTGGACCAGTGGATGGCGATGGCAGAGCTGTACCGCACGAGGATGGGCACTCCTGGAGGTCCTGGGGCACCTGCAAACCACACAGTGGGCGAGGGGTTACAGAACCCAGCAGCCGTCCAGCCCCTCAACCTGGGCTGGAGGAGCAGGAGCCGGGCGGCCAGCCCACCCCGGCCAAGAACCGCCAGAGCCGCGATGCTGAGGCCCGAGGAGCGTGCTTCCTTCAGGCCCGCCAGGGTGCACCCTGCTGGTCACCCCTGCACCCCACTTCCAATCCCAGGGCAGCACAGGCATGAGATAAGCAGGAAAGAGTCAAAGGGGTTTGGTCCCAGCCCAGAAATGATCGGATGGGTGACTTCGATCACTTTTCATGTCCCTCCAGTGTGCCTCAGTGTGTCCATCTAGAAGGGCCTCCGGGAGGCTAAGGCTTGACGGGATGTGTCCTGGGGGCGGCAGAGGTGGCCGCCGTGAGAGCAGATGGGAGTGCTGGCTGGGAGGGGGCTGAAGTGCTCCCACTCTCCTTTCCTGGCAGGTGATGGTGACATCGCCCTACCTCCTGCTTGAACTTTCCCTGCCCCCAGCTGCTCTTGCTGCTAGGCCAGGTGAGGAGAGAGGAGGCCCCAGGAGCCTGGGCAGGCGGAAGGAGGAAGAACTGAGCTCCCTGCCGCTCTTCTGGCCTGTAGGTGTGTCCAGAGAGCAGCCTGGGACATCGCCAGCCAGGAAACCAGAGCAGGAGACAGGAGGTTGCTTCTGTAGACGGAGGAGTGTCAGGCATCTGTGTACAGAGGGCCCCGCGCCCCTTCCTTTCTTGGGGAACACCTGCCAGGGCAAGTGGGGTACCCGTCCTCTGGGTTGTTGCTATCTCCAAGCCCCCGTCCCTCCTGCTGTCATCCACCAAGCCTGCTTCCCCCAGACATGAGCTTGGCCTCTCCAGAGCCCGGCACATAGTAGGTGCTTCCTGGGTGCTTTTGGGACCCAGGAAGGTGCTGGAGTACAGGCGGCTGGGGGCTGCCTGGTGAAAATGGCAGAGAGCCCAGCACTGCACTGAAGCTCCTCCAGGCCAGCAGAGCATGTCGGCCTGGACAGGAGGCCAGGGACTGGTCACACGGCTGGGCAGCTCACTGCTGGGCCTCTGCGTCTGTCCTGCACTGTGGCCTTGGAGGACTTTATCTCCTTCCTCCCTCCCTGCCCTGAGGAGCATCCTGCCTGCAGGACAGGGGACAGTAGAGCTGGATCTTTCAGGTGTGGAGGGTGGGGGTGACCCTGGGACAGGACAGTGCTCAGGGCTGAGGGAGGGGCTGGGGCACTGCCCGGGGCTCCCCGCAGGCTCCTCCCACCCGTAAGGGCTGGGCGGCCATGTTCTTTCTTTCTGGGTGTCTCTCCAGCCTCCTGCCTGCATCTCCCACCTTCCATAGAATAGCTACCCTCCGGGTGACCCACTCCTGTCCCCAGCCACTGAGTAGCCCTCCCTTTGCTGGCCAGGGCCCTTCCTGCTTGTGGTTCCTGGGAAGACTCAGGTGCATGCGTCTAGGGTGGGGCTGGGGTCAGGTGCAGGGTGGAGCTGGCCGCTGCCTCCAGTGCCCTGCGGCCTTTCTCTTCAGGGTGCCCACAGACAGGTCTGCTCCTCGGCAGAACCATTCCCGGGAACAGAAAGTGACCAGAAAGGAAAAGGGAGGAGTGGCCAGCTGGGGCCGCCAGCGGGAGACAAATCCGCTGCACGTGCAAGGACAGGAGACCCCCCCTAGAGCCCAGGCCTCCTGGGGAGAGGTCTCCGTTGTGTGGGTGGGGAGGGCGGAGGGAGGGCAGGGGACGTCTGGGATAGGCTGCGGACTTTCTGAGTTAAGGAGGGGGTGGGCAACATGGCCGAGAGGTGGCTCTTGTGTTCAGGATGGGCTGGGCCAGGACTCTGGAGCCTAAACCAGGCGCCACACACAACTGGGGGAGGACGCCAGAGAAGGGGGATGGTTAAGGGGAGTGATCAGGGAGGGCTTCAAAAGCAGAGAGTTCAGACATGCGTAAATACAAAACGGCATTTTGTGGCGTAAAGGTGGCTGGGCGGAGGGTGAGGGGCTTGGCTCTTCAGAGGTTGCCTGCTCCACCAAAATTCCCAGAGGTGCCAAAGTGGTCACACCCTCCAGGTATTCCTGTGATTGGTGCAGATTGCTGGGCGCCCCCTCCGTCCCAGGGAATCAACATCTCTGAGCCCGCACCCTGGAGTGCACACTGTAACAGGAGCTGAGGGGACTCTTCTGTACCCACTCTGAGGGCATTGGTGGTTCTGGGGTTGGGCCAGGCCAGAGGCAGGGGACCTACTGACCTGCGTCCTTCCTGGAAGGAGGTGATGGAGGCTGGGAGGGACAGAAAGGGGCACGTGGACAGGACTGAGCCCTGAGAGGAGGGTCTGGGTTTGTGACTTAAGGATCCTAAGGACTCAGATGCCATTAACCACGTACAGAGCCCAGGAGGCTGGAGGAAGGGAGGGGATGGGCGGGGGAAGAGCCAGCTCTGCGCTCCCACTCTGTCTGCAGGGTCTAGCACAGCTCTTGACACCTGGGGGCCCCCTCTGATTTGGGGTGCTGAAGTGCTTATTGCTCCCCTACCTTCTCCTGGGCCTGTGGTGACGTTGGCTTCAATCTCCGGCCCGTAGGTGAAGGTCTTGGCTCTGATGCGGAACCTGTAGGTCATGCCCTCGGCCAGGTCCTTCACCTTCAGCCACAGAGGGCTGCTCCCCTTCACGTCCACTGTCACGATCTTGCTGACCCCTGGGGAGGCACAGTGAGCAGGGGTTGAAGAGCTCGTAGGAGCGAGGCCACAGGGGCCACTCGGAGCTGTGGGGCAGGGGCAGCAGCCTGAGCCCCCAGACACAGGCTAAGCCTGCACCCCTGGAAATCAGGCTGAAATGTCACCAGCCCCATGGCCACTCAGTTTCCCAGAGCACAGTCCTCTAACTGTTCTTGGAGAGAGCGCGTAGTGGTCAAACCTTGAGAACATCTGTGACCTGAACAGGGTCCGGTAGCACCCGGCGGGAAGAGCACTCACCATCCTGTTGCACTTACAACGGTACCCCACACTGACGTCACCCCACTTTTATCTCCTATATAACGTCCTGTGGAACTTGAATTCTAGGCACTGTCAGGAAAGCCTTCTGTCTTTCCATGAGCTGGAGGGGACACCGGTGACCGGCTCCAGACCCCACCCTGGCCCTACCCCCAGTCCCACCTCTAGTCTCCTCTGTCCTCCAAAGGGAGCTGAGATCCCCCAGGGCCTCCATCACCTGCCCCTTTTTAGGACAGAAATGAGGCTGTCCCGGCACCCCAGGTCACGGCAACCAGAGGGCAGGCAGGGGGCTGCTTTCAGGTGGGGGTGTGTGCTCTGAGTCCAGCCCCTTCACTGCCAGCCTCCCTGAGGGCCAAGTTCCTTTCCCATTGCAAGGCCCATGCTGGTCACCATGCAGGGACAGGTTTTGCAGTCCCTGGGCTGGGCTCAGACCCCAGCGCTGGCCCTGGGTGTCTTTGGGCATGTCTCCCAGCCTGGCTCCAGCTGGTTCTTCTATTGATCCAGGGGATTAAGAGCCCTAAACAGGGAGCACCCTAAACATAAGAACAGAGCGCCCAGCACACGGGGGGGGGGGGTGCCTGGTCGATTCATTGAGGAGGGAACAGTGAGAGGGTGGGACAGCGGGAGTCAGGACCAGGACACGGGGCACCTGTTCCCTGACACTGCTGGACACACCCCTTGCCTGCTGGGCCTTGGTTTTCCCTGCAGGGGAGGGGGCTGCTGGAGTCCTGGGAGGCTGGTTTGCTGCTGGCCCACACCGGGGCTGGAGCAGGACCTGGGCAGACATGGTGCTGGCCGGACAGGGCTTCGTCCAGCCTCATGGTGAGCTGGGATGTGACGGGGAGGGCGGGAAAACGTAAGCAGATACAGCTCAGCCGGAAGTTTGTACTGAGCCCCTGCATCTTGTCTCTGTGACCTCCGTCCTGGGACCTGTCCCCAGGTCTCCTCCTCAGGCCCCACTCCCCCTTGGTATCATAACGCACAGGTCCACTCTGCGGGACAAGCTCCTGGCACCCAGGTGGTGGCCGGGGAGACTGAGGGTCATTGTTCCCTCCACTGACCCAGAACTGCTGGCAGCAGAGTGTTCCCAGGCTCCGCCCCTTGTGCTTACCAGGCTCCATTGTTGGGAGGCATGAGAGCAAGAGGGATGACCACAGAAGTGGTCACCTCCTGCCACCAGAGCACCCATGGCAGGCCAGCCACTGCCCAACAGCTCGCTAGAACCAGCAAGTCCCAGGCCTCAAGCCACCCAGCCTCCTCCCTGCCTCTAAGACCCCGGTCCCCAGAACATGGGGAACAGCTGTTTCTGGGCACCCTGCTCAGCCGAGCTCGCTCACACCCCGTGTCTGGGCAGCCTTGGGGGGAGGAAAGCAGGCAAGTGTCTGATGTCCCCTTCAGGGTCCAAAGAGCCCTGCCTGGGGCCTGGAAGAGGGGCCTAGAGGGAGGGCAGGAGGGTCTGAGGGCAGCTTTGATGAGCGGGGCTCAGGTGTGAGGGGCATCTGTGGGGCAGGTCTCTTGATCTGCAGCTGGCAGATGGCATTAGGGGTGCAGTGACCCCCAACTTGTGCATCTTCCTGGGGAGAGGCTCCGAGGCTTTGAGCAGATTCTCAAAGGGGTTACTGACCCTCCAAAGGGCAAAGAAGGACGGCCCTGGAGGAGGGCTGAGAACTCTGGGGTTCGGGAGGCGCTGGGGTAGGACAGGACTGCCAGCGGTCCCCTTCTTCATGGTCCCTATACAGACCTGTCCACCTTGGAGACCAGGTTTCCCTGGCTGCTCTGCTTTTGGTTGACTGAGGGGGAAGAATGGATTTTAGGATTCTCTGTCTAGAAGTTGGGGGGTATAGAATGCTGCCCTCGACCCCTCAACTTGCTGGTATTCAGCCTTGGGAACACCTCTTCCTGGTCTGGGCCTCAGTTTCCCTGTTCCTGTAAGGGGGGGAAGACTCTCACTGCTTCTAACCAGTGCACAGCGACTGTGGCAGGGACCGCGGAGGACAGGGGCTGTGTGGGGCAGGTCCACTCACCGTCCACGGGGGTGCAGGGCTCGTAGACCACCCTGTAGCCCTCCAGGACACCGTTGGGGAGCTGCGGGGCTTCCCAGGACACGTTCACTGAGGTCGTGGTCAGCTCGCTGAACTTGACTGAGCTGGGCGCGCTGGGGGCTGGGGAGACAGCACAGGGCTTTGTTTTCTCCTTCTGCGGACGGACGTTCAAAGTGTTGGGTTTGGCTCCAAGAAACTAGCGGGAGTGCTTGGGCCCGGGCCCGGGAAGAACAAGAATGCCCGGCTTAGAGCAAGGCTGCAGGAGGGGTCACCAGAGGCCACTGGGCCCCTTCCCCGCCTCCCTCCATGTTAGCACTCGAATTTCCCAGATTGAAGACCCTGGAACAGGAAGAAAAGGGAGCTGCATTTCCCCCTCAGGTTGGAGAATTTGGACTTGTCCCTGAGGAGCGGCTGTGAGCCTGGCTAGCAGCCCGGGGCCAGCCATCGCACGTCCAGGGTCACCGTGGGGCAAGGCTACTTCCTGGCTTTGAGGGGTGCAGCTTTCGACTTTCCTGGTGAGTGAGGAGGTGGGGTGTGCGGGCCTCAGACCACAAGGAGGACACTAATCAAGGAGAGGCCGGGACGTAGCCGGCAGAATGGCCTTCCCCTTGCCCCAGCTCGTCCCAGAGACACCATGCTGTCAGGAGGAGCCAGAGCCAAGGACGGTCAAAGGCTCCGGAGGGGCAGGGATGTTTCTCAGCCGCTGTCCTGAAACATGGGGTGGGGGGCCTCAGAGGGGGGCCGAGAGGAAGGCAGGAAGCATCCCCCTCCACGTGTCCCGGATGGACAGGCTATTATTGTCCGGCGCTGCCTCCCCGCAGGGCTGGAGCTAATCTGGACGGGCTTCCGGCTCCAGAAGCGCCAGCTCGGGAGGCAGCGTGGGCAGCTCCGTCCTTTGAAGGAGGGAGGTGAGCTCAGGGCCCTTCCTGCCTCCCCTGGGTAGAGACGTGGGACAGAACGTTCTGTCCTGCTGCCGCAGCCACGGGAGCTTCCAGACTCCTAGAGCCTCACATCCGGCCCCAACACGCTGGCCGAGAGTGGCTGGGACGGGCAGACAGACAGACAGATAGACGAGAGACCTGCACATTCGGATGCTCATAGCCCAGCCTCAGCCTGGGGCACCTGCTCCCTGCAGCTGTTTAAGAACAAACATGATCCGCTGCAAGGAGAGCGCTGGGGTGGAAGGGGCTGTGGGGAGGCAGGGGCAGAAGCCTGCAGTGGTCCTCCGTAACCACGGGGACAGGTGCTAGGAGCCCCATGGATTTAAAAAGCCCAGGATCCTCAAATAAAATGGCACAGCATTTGTGTAGAAACTATGCCCCTCTTCCCATGCCCCAGATCCTCTCTAGGTTCCTTACAACATCCGACACAATGGACAGGCTACGCAAATAGTTGTCATACAGTATGTTTTTTAGGAAACATTGGCCAGGAAAGGTTCCTAGTGTTCAGTAGCAGTGAGAACTCTTGGTTCTCCCAGGAATCCCGGGTTCCAGCCTCTGCTCCCCCATGACCAGCTGGAGGACCTTGGGTAACAGATGTGTTTTATGGGGAGACCTTTCCCGAGTATTGCCCATCATGGGTACTGGAAGGAGGATCCAGGGTGGTTCTGCCCAGGAAGAGGCTTTGGGCCCTACATGGCTGGCTCCACATTTGCTGGCCACAGAATCCCTTCCTGATCTACCCTCCTGTCCAGCCTCCCATCTGGCCTCCCTGCCTCCAGTCTCTCTCCTCACAGTCTGTCCTCTGTCCGGCATTAAGAGCAATGATTTTCAAAATATTAACCAGATCTCATTGCTCAACTGCTTAACCCCTCCAAGGGCTTCCGTGCCCCTTAGAATTCACCCCTATCCCCCAGGCCCTCAGAGGCCTCACCTTCACCCCATTTTCTTGTGGGCACTGGGCTTTCTCTGTGTCCCTGCACTGTCCTCCAGCCGCTGGGCCTTTGCACCTGCTGTTGGGAACCTCCCCCTCAGGTCCACCTGCTCCTGAACTTCCCACAGCTGGCCTCTTCTCAGCCAAGCCTCAGCTCGGATGTCCCCACCTTCCTGAGGCCAAGTCACCCACTGTGGCTAACTAATCTATTTGCTTAGATTCCCGCCCCTCACCAGGGTGGGGACTTGTTGGACCAGTTGTCCCTGGCATCAAGCAGTGTGGGCTCATAGAGGACGCTCAAATATTGGCCGGATGAACAGAGGCAGGGGGATGAAGGGAGGAGGGGAGAGCCAGGCAGGGGGTAGTAGGAATCTGGGGCCGGGGTGAGTGCTGGTGAGACGTGGGGGCTTTCTCACAGCTTATGGGGACAGCTTCTCTTTTCTGAGCTCTCTTGTCTGGGCCCCTCTTTGGGGCTGGGTTCTCGCACCCTGAGGATGTCTTGGGGTCCTGAGTGCCCAGCCCAGATCCTCAGCGGATCAGGCAGCCGCCCCTCTGAGGCAGACCAGCCTCTCCCTGGGGTCTGTCCCCACCTGCTTGCTGGGTTTGGCCCCAGGCGGGGGTGCTCCGAGGCCCGTCTCCTGCGGCGTTGAAGGCCGCCACGCTGACCATGTAGGCAGTGTAGCCGGTCAGGTTCTTGAGCTTCACGCCATTCTCAGCCAGGAAAAGCGTCTTCACGCGCTCCGTTAGGTTCTGCCGCTGGGCTTCCCAGAAATATATCTGTGGGCACAGAGGACTGTGGGAGTGAGGGGGACAGAGACACAGGGCTCCCCTCCTGGCCCTGGCCCACCGGGGCCTTAGAGACACATTCGCTGTGTGAGGCGTCCAGGAAACAGGAGTTTCTAGGAGATGCTGTAGAAACCTCGCCAGGGCCTGGCTTCTCCCAGCCAAGGGCCCCAGTTGACAGTGGGACTGTCAACACCACGGGGTGCAGTCCCTGGCGGCTCCTTCCGCAGTCCCTGTAGGGCCTCCCACTGGACATCAGCCTCTGATTACAGATCCTGGAGGAATCTGCCAGCTGTCAGGCAGGAAGCTGGGCCGAGAGGTGAGCGCCAACAGAGCCCCCCACCCCGGCTGAAGGGGGTGCACGGGCAGCAGCACCCCACCTGGGAGTGGCTGGGAGAGGGTGAGCCCCAGCCACCGGCCCCCAGACCTGCTGCAGGTTACCGAGGACTCCAGGGAGCACGGGCCACACTGGTGTGCAAAGCCTGCTACAGAGGAAGGCCGGCTAAGAAGGCAGTGGCCTGGGCACGCTGTTTACTAGCAGTGACCTGGCCAGGTGACTTCTCTGAGCTGCAGTTTTGTCATGTATACAGCTCCCGGTTGTCATGGGAGGTGAAGGTCATGAGAACAGGTATGGCCCAGTGCCTCCGGGGGCGGGCGTGGGGGGCGTGGCTGGCTTGGGAAGGTAGCTGTCTACAGGTTTCGGGCCAGGAGCGCAGCAGGTGCCCCATGGTGCTTCACTGATCTCGCCTCCAGCAGGGGCCGATACTCCTGGTTACCCAGTCTGGCAGATTCTTGGACTAGTTTAGAACTTTGAACCAAGGGCACCTCTTGGAGGATTCGAGATCATTTGGCGCCCCCTGCTGGCCGGAGGGGTTTCCGCACGCTTTCCATGTCCGGCTTTTCCAGGTCTCAGTTTACCTGGAGGAAGCCCATGAAGGTGAGCCTCTTCTTACATGGGTGGATGGGCAGGAGTTGAGGTGGTCATTCATAAAGCCACTCATTCCTCCCTTGTCCATTCACAGCAACGGGGACGCAGGGCTCCTGGGTTGAGGGGAAAGGTCTGCCCGTAGGTGGGATTTGGAAATGCACACCAGGAGAATCGACAGACTCCCGTAGATAGAGGGCCTGGGCACTCAGCGTTGGGAGGAGAGTTGGAACAGCAAAGGAGAGTGAGCGGGAGCCTCTGGCCAGAGAAGCCAGAGAAGCCAGCCGCCCTGGAGGAGGGAGGGACGGCCCGTCCAGCAGCTGCCAAGTCAGGACGAGACCCGAGATCTGAGCACGGTGACCAGGGGTGAACGCTTCCTTGGTGATGGATTGAGAACCTACTCAGAGGAGGTTCAAGAGAGAATGTGCCAGGCACCGTGGTGCACGCCTGTGATCCCAGCAGCTCGGGAGGCTGGGGCAGGAGGATCGCAAGTTCAAAGCCAGCCTCAGCAACTTAGTGAGGCCCTATCTCAAAATAAAAAGGGCTGGGGATGTGGCTTAGTGATTAAGTGTCCCTGAGTTCAATCCACAGTTAGAGAGAGAGAGAGAGAGAGAGAGAGAGAGAGAGAGAGAGAGAGAGAGAGAGAACACAAGAGGAGAAGAGTTGGATGGAGAAGAAATTCCAGGAGAAAGTTTTTTTTCCTTTTTTTAGAAAAATTGTTTTTTTTTTCAGTTGTAGTTGGACACAAGACCTTTATTTTTATGTGGTGCTGAGGATTGAACCCAGCACCCTGCACTGCTAGGCGAGTGCTGAACTGCTGAGCCACAACCCCAGCCCCTCCAGGAGATTCTTTTTGAAGAATTATGCTGCCAAGGGACCAGCCAAAGAATGGGGATGACTGGAAGAAAATGTGAGGTCAGAAAAAGGCATCAGGAGGGAAATAAGCTGGGCACAGTGACGCACACCTGTGATCCCAGCTACTCAGGAGGCTGAGGCAGGAGGATCACAACTTTGAGGCCAGCCTCAGCAACTTAGTGAGATCCTGTCTCAACATAAAGAGGAAAGAGGACTGAGAGTGTAGCTCAGTGGTAGAGCACCTGTCTAGCACGCCTGAGGCCCTGGGTTCAACTGCTGGTCACACACACACACACACACACACACACACACATCTCAGAATGTGTTTGTGCCCTGTCAACAACAGCTTGGAGAAAGGACAGCCGTGGTGCAGGGCGGGGTGGGGTGGGGCGGGCGGGAGGGTGATGGCTGGCCCCTGGCCCTTGGAGAGGACCAACCAGGGGTGGCATACACACAGACAAGCCTTCTTGTCTGGGCACTGAACGCAGCTGGCTTCGGTAGACGATGATTAACAGCAGGAAGGACTTACGCAAAGTACACAAAGGGATTGAGCCAGGTCCAGGTCCCCAGGGGGCCGGCGGCTGAGTGGCAGTGCCAGGACGCCTGCTCCAGAGGCAGGCGCCGGGGCCCCTTTGGCTCCCCTGTGTCCCAGGTGCCCAGGGTCATGCCTGGGACGTCGCTGGTGCTGGGAAACACTGCAGGCGAGGATGTGCCTCCTGTAGACAGGGCTGGCTCAGGAGCGTGTGACGTGCCACCACTGTCCTCTACCTGCTCAGTGTCCTGTCCTTGCTTTTCTTAAGATTTATTGAGGTAATTGACAAATAAAAATTGTCTGTATTTAAGGCCATGCTCCGCGCACCGACCCCTGCAACCAAGCGCATCCACACACCCATCAGCTCACAGTTACTCTTTTTCCCTCTTGATCCAGGGGATTGAACCCAGGAGCACCTAACCACTGAGTGACACCTCGAGCCCTTTTTATTTTGAGACAGGGAGTCCCTAAGTTGCTGAGGCTGACCTTGACCTTGCGATCCTCCTGCCTCAGCCTCCTGAGCTGGCCTGAGTCATTTGAGTTGCTGGGATTACAGGTGTGACCACTGCTCCTGGCCCACCCTTTCTTCTGTGTGTGCTGAGAACACTTAAGGTCTACCCTCAGCAAATTCCCACTGTGTGGTTCTATAAGCTATTGTCACTATGCTGCCGTACACGAGACCCCCCCAGAACGAATCTGTCGGTGTAACTGGACTTCTTAGGCTCTAGGCAGTCTCCGTTTCTCCCTGGCCGGGCAATCACCCTTCTCTGCTTCTATGAGTTTGACTATTTTATTTTTCCCTCACCACTGAGTTAGACTCCATGTGTAAGAGAGCTCAAGTAGCATGTGTCTTTCTGTGTTTGGCTTATTTCACTTAATAGAATGTCTTCTGGGTTGGTGCAGGTGCGAGCGGCAGGCTTTCCCTCCTGAAGGTTGGGTAACATTCCCTGCCTGTCTGCATCCACGCTGCGCTTTCTCCACCCACTCACCCACGGGTCAACATTCAGGCTGGTTCCACATCTTGGCTGTGATGGATCAGGCTGCAATGAATATGGGAGGCAAATATCTCTTCAAGATTCTGGTTCCAAGACGGGCGCAGTGGTGCACCCCCGATCCCAGCAACTCTGGAGGCTGAGGCAGGAGGATCTAACGTTCAGGCCAGCCTCGGCAACTTAGTGAGGGCCTGTCTCAAAATTCTAAAAAATTAGAAAAGGGCTGGGGATGTAGCTTGTCGCGAGCCGTCCATGGGCCGTGTGTGGGGACCGTTGCGCACAGTAGCCAGATGAGGGGTAGTCTGGCATGGCGGACTCCTGGTCAGGGTGATGCAGGTGAGCCCCCCTCAAGCTCTGCCTAAGATCCCACACAGCACCTGAGATGGGTGTGACCTGCTAAAAGATGTCATCAATCTGCTGACCACTAGACATCAGGAAGCAAGACTCCGCCTTGAAACCTTATCCCTGCCTTTGATGTCCCTGTTATAAAATAAACCAAACTCAGGTCCTGTCTCTTTCCAGCGAGGAAGCGTGACCCTTAATGTCAAAGAGCGTCCTGCCCTGGATTTAAAAAAACTACTCTGTGTTGTGTGATTTTTTTTTTTTGTTCTCTTGTTCTTAGCTTAATGTTGCAGCCAGCCCGATTGAACCCAGTTTGTTTCCTCTGCGAGGGGCGCGGTCGAGAGTAGCTCGGTCACAAAGTGCTCTGGGTTTAATCCTTAATACCAAAAAAAAAAAAAGGAAATCTTGATTTCAGCCAGGCCTGGTAGCACCTGTAATCTTGGACTGGGGAGGCTGAGGCAGGAGGATCACAAGTTCTAGGCCAGCCTCAGCAACTTACTTAGACTCTGTCTCCAAAGAAAAATAAAAAGGGCTGGGGATGTGGCCTAGCGGGAAAGTGCCCTTGGGCTCTTATTCCCCAGTCCCAACCCCACAAAAAGCCCAACGGATTTCACTTCATTTGGATACATACCTGGAAGTGAGGCTGCTGGATAATATGGCAGCTTGGTTTTTAACTTCCCGGGGAACCTCCAGGCTGTTCGGCACGGAGGCCGGGCCATCTGCACCCCGCGGACAGCGCACAGGGTTTGGGTTCCCCAGGTCCCCCGCTATCTGTGACTCCTGGATGACGGCCTCCCCGACAGGTGGGAGCCGATATGGGGCCCTGGCTTCCCCCTGCACTTCCTGGTCGTTGGCGATGTGGAGAACCTTTCCACACCTGCTGGGTATTAATGGGTCCTCTCTTGAGAACGGTCGACGGGGGTCCTTCGCCCCACTTTTAAATCGGGTCACCGGTTTTCTTGCTCTGAGTTGAGTGAGCTCCGTGTTCTGGCTCCGAACTCCCGATCAGGGGCACCGTCTGCAGGTGTTTCCTCCCATCCTGCAGGTCGCCCCCTCTGTCCACTCATCTTTGCTGTGTCCCTGTCCTGTCCTGCTGCACCTGAAACTGGCTGAGCTGCAGCCAGAGTGAAATCCCCCCGCTGGGCGCAGACCAGCTGTCTGGGGAGAGCCGGGCTTTAAGGCAGGCGCACGGCCCGGGTGGGAGGTGGCTGGGCTATGGTACCTTGTCCCAGCCCTGGATGACCCTGTCCTGAGTCCCTGGGGATTTCAGAGGCCGAAGTCCGAGGGTACTCAGGTCTCTTCTCTTGGGTGCTGTAGTGTTGCATTCAACCTACGCACATCCTCTGTGCACTTCGCCATCTCAAGGTTGGTAATACTCCCCCACGCAAAACGCAAATGCTGTGGCAACCGTGGCTGGTGGGTGGGTTTAGGAATAATGACAAGGTAAAGTCCATAAGTGTTCAGATTCTTCCTGGAAAAAATATAATTGGCACTGGGGATATATGTGTGCATATATATTATATTTTGGTGCTGGGGATTGAACCCAGGGGCGCTTTACCACTGAGCTACATCCCCACCCATTTTTAAAACTTCTTAGTTTGAAGCAGGGCCTCACTAAGTCCCCCAGGGTGGCCTGGGACCTGCCATCCTCCTGCTTCAGCCTCATGAGCTGCTGGGATCACGGCGTGTGTCTCCGCACCTGGCCCCGTAAGAGTTAACTTCCAGAAGGTGGTGTCTGGACAGGCTGGTGGGCCGTGCTCTGCCAATCCCACTAAGCCGAATCGTCTGGCCGGATTCTAGAATCTTAAATAAAGCAACCAAGACCTGCAGAACGAGATTGGTGTGATGTCCTCTTAACGTCACGTGACTGCCTCCCGGGTTGCACCTTGCTCCTCTCCCCCAGGCGGTGGCCGTGGGGTGCCTCCCTCCAGAAGGGCCTTCCTGTGGACTGAGCTTTCTCAGGTCAGGCTTAGAACCTCCTTTATGTCTGTTAACCTCCGGGCCTTAGCACCGTCTCCCCGCGGAGGGCTCCACAGTCCACATCTGCAGCTTAGAGCCAGCTGGAGGTCCGTTGTGTCCCCAGCCTCTCTGAAGGGTCCTGCAGATGTCCAGCAGAGGTTTTGCACTGGACATAGGTGGAGCTGGACCCTGGGTCCCCTCCGGCCTCCTCTTGGGTCCCCTCCTCCTGGGTCCTGGAGTGTCCGGTGGCTCTCCTAGGCCCCCAGTTCCTCTGGCTCTGTCTTCAGTGCGGAGCCCGAGGCCACTGTGCCTCACGGCTGCTCTGCCTGCCGTGAGTCCCAGGGTCGCCTCACCTGGCTGGATCAGTCCCTCCTCCAGTTTCTGTCCTTTCCTTTCTCAGCACAGCAGCCAGAGTGACCCTCCAAGTCCACGATCCCAGTGTCTCTCCTCTGCCCAGGCCTTCCGGGGCTGTCATCTCTCGGGGTAAAAATCCAAGCCCCCGAGGGCCCTCGGTGCCTGGCCTGCTCAGCACTCATCTCTCGTCATGTTCCCCAAGTCACTCTGGGGGCTCACAGGGCTCTCCGCTGCTCTGTGGACACTCCAAAGCCTGGCCTACCCCAGGACCTTTGCTCTTCCTGGAATGTTCCTCTTCTGGGTCTACGTGCCTTGTGCTCTGTATTCCTTTAAGTTTGGTTCAGGTCTCACTTCCTTATTAAGCTCTTCCCTAACAGCCCTGTGTAAAGTTTCGAGGTTCCCCCTCGGATCTCAGCCCTCCCCTCGACCTGCCTAATCATCTGGCAGTATTACTTATTTTGAACATTGTGATGTCCTCCCCGCTAAAAACTCAAGCTCCTATTGTCTCTTTGCTCACTGAGAACAATGCTGGGCAGAAAATAACTGCTCAACGAACACCTGTCAACCAATGACTGAGAGATGGTGCTCGAGGCCTGCACACGAAGGTGCCCGTCCACGCACACGGCACCCAGCCTGACCCAAACGCAGGATCACTTCGGCCGCGCTTGCTGGGCGGTGACACGAATACGTGGCTCCCCCTAGGTGAACCAAGGCTGAGGTCAGCCCGTGTCCGGTTCCTCGGTTTGGGCCACGGCAGCTGCTCAGGTTTGGAGGTGTTTTCTGGAACCGGTGCCTGTCCTCGGTGCTCTGTGCGGTGCCTCGGCGCCCACACGTTTCCTGGATCTGTGTGTGAACTCACAACTTCCAAACCTCGACAGTCTGGTGGCTGCCAGCCTGCGCTGGCTCTGCGCGGCGCCCTGCCCGTTCCTTGGGAGGCATATGCTGGGGTGCAGTATTGGGTTTTCCCAGCTGGCGCGCCTGGGCAGAGCCTGGAGGGTGGGATCCATCTTGGGAGCTTCCTTGGCAAGATGCCTCCCTCCCTCCTCCCTCCGCCCTCCTCCCTCCTGGATTCTGCCTTCCCTGGGGCTGCGTGGGAGGCTTGCTGGGCCTTGGCTGAGACTCAGCTGCCCCTGTGCTGGGCCAAGGGGTCACCAGGCCCTGCGGCTCATGCCCTGTGTGCCCACACCCCAGGATGCTGCCCAGGGCTTTTCTCTGGAAGGACATGTACTGACCAGGAGCCAGCCAGGTACCAGAGTGGACCCGACCCTGGCTGGGGGTGGGGCAGGCCTCCAAGCTGGCCAAGGCTACGTGTCCCAACGTCTCCAACTAAGGGGACGTGCTCCTTGGCCAGAGGCCTGAATTCTGACTCTTTGCTATTCTGTGCCCTCGACAGGCTACCCACGCAGGGTCTCGGTCTCTTCACCCGTACGGGGGCCTCTACACAAGGGGTCACGTCTGTATAATGGGTTTCCTCCTCTGTATCAAAGTCACCTGAACGGGCTTGGTTTCCTCATCTGTGTGATGGCGACTGGTATCAAACCCATCTGTCTAATGGGCTTTCAAGAGGATTGAAGAGTTCCAGAGGGCTCCATGAATTTTAGGGACCCATTAGAACACACGCCACCATCCAAAATCCAGAAATGATTTTTGAGCAGAGATTTCAAATGACCCAGCGGCAGCTTTCCCACTGGGCATCTCATTAGTATCAATGTTGCGATCAGGTGACCAGATAACTCCTAGGAGGGGCCATATGTCTGGGGCTGGGCTTGGCAGGGCAGGGGTGCCGCTCAGGGGTGCTAAGAGCAGAGGTGTGGCTGGATTTCTTGCCCCTGGGTCCAGCTGCCCCCGGGACACTGGAGAGAACGAGCGTCAGTTGGTCCCAGCTGTACAATGTTTGTGTGACTTGGGTCACAGCCAAGGTGGCAGTGCACGGTGGATCCCATGGGAGAAGGAGGGGCCTGGGACCTCTCGGCCTGCACCCAGCCCCAATCCTGCCTGTGCCCCTCTGTACCCCCTACTCTCTCGGAACCCCTACCTTGTAGCCCTGGATGTCTCCGTTCTGGCTGTCCAGCGGGGGTGGCTCCCAGGTCACGTCCAGTTGCGTGGCTGTGGTGCTGTGGACGGCCACGTTTCGGGGCGCTGCTGTGGGTACTGGGGGCAGAGGGGTGGTGTGTTAGTGAGTGGACTCCAGGGAGAGCCGGCGGTGGGAGTGCCTGGGGCTGGGTGGGTGCACTCACCTGCCTCCCCCACGAACACCTCTTGCGGGGGGCTCAGGGGCCCCTCGCCCACGGCGTTGTACACGCTCATCCGAATCTCGTAGCGCCTGTGCTTGTTCAGGTCTGCGGGCGAGAGTGGGGAGGGGACAGAGGTCACCGTCCCTGCCGAAAGGAGCCCACCAGAGGCACGAGGCCCCGCAGTCCCAGCCCCTGTGTGAAGGCTCAGGAGGAAACAGGTAGGAGGCGCCCAGGGGCTCTCGGACTCCCCCTGCAGACTCTGACGTGAGACGCGGCTGCTGGCCTCCTGGCCGAGGGTGACATGGGACATTACCCGACTGGGCACTTGAGATTGAAAGGGCTCTGTTAACATTCATGCTGGGACAACTGTGTAAAACCAGCCTGTCCCGGGTGCCCTGGGCAGGGGACAGGCGCTCCCTGCTTGTCCTATGTCCTGCCACTGTGAAGGCCAGTTCCCAGCCCTGCCCCACCTGGGGCCCCGTTGTCCCCGTTGTCCCCGTGTGCCGGCTCTTTTCCTGGGGGAAGTGCTGTGGGTGGACTCGGGGCCCTTGGATGCCAAGCGCACGCTCTGCCCCCAGCTGCAGCGCCAGCCCCCACTCGGCCCTAGAGGGAGGCTTGTCAGACGGGACTTCTGGCCTCGGGAGCCCCACGTTTTGCCAAGTTTGGGGCTTAGGGGGACACGCCTGGCAAAGCTGGCTCCATCCTTCCAGGTGGGAGACGCCGTCCCTGTCCGGGTGGCTGAGAGGTTCCCCGCCCTCTGCACCCCTCCCTCTCTGGCTCCGTCCCCTCCCCCTTCCCCAGGTGGAAGTGCTAGGCACTGGGGGAGTCTCCTGGCTGACCACTGCGCAGCCGTGGGCCCCGTGGAGCAGAGGGGGACAGTTGAGGGCGTCTGGACTGGACAGGTGTGGCTTCCGCACACACGGCCCTGTGAGAGTGGCCTTGGGAAGAACCCTGCTGGGGCTTCAGGAACAGTAGGCACAGGGTGAGCCGTGGCTGGGCCCCGCTGGGGAGCCGCAGCCCAGCGCTCAGGGCAGGAGCGGCCTGGGGCAGGGAGATAGCGGGTGAGAAGAACCTCAAACTGGATGGATTGGGCAGCATCGATGGACACCTGCCCACCTGCCCAGCGGCCCCCAGAGCTCCTACCTCGGACCTGCACCATCTCCCACCTGCAGGAGGCGGTGGGCTCCTACCCCACACCCAACAGGGACGGGGTGGGCCGCCTGGTAACGGCCTCCTGCTTCCTGGGTTTGAGTCACTTGTGTGGAGGGTGGTCCTGTTCCTCAGGCACCCTGGGGCGCCTTGGCCTGGGGCGGGAGTTCTGCAGGACCCACTCCCCATCCCTGAGGAGGCCTGGGCCGCCCCAGGGCCGCCATGCAAGACTTACTGTCCAGCTCGCACTGCGTGAGGCTGGGCCGGCTCAGGTTCCGCACGGAGTACAAGGCTACGGGGAGCGGGCAGGGGGCCAGAGACAGCAGACAGAGGAGTTAGTGCCACGTCCCCGCCCCCAGGAAGCCGAGAGGGGAGTAGGGCCATGAGGAGTGGGCGAGAGCTGCGCCTTCCTGGGGCGCCGGAGCCGGGTGGGAGTGCTGCTGGAAGACGCAGCTGCAGGTCAGCGCTGCCCCGACCCGGGGGTGCTGGCCCAGGGTCATGAGGACCCCTTGGAGCCCCAGGTGGCGTCCCTGGGGACAGCTCTGGGGACCCTGTAGTCCCAACCCGCTCTCCTGTTTCCGGGTACAGCCCCTGGTAAACCACCTTGAAATACCGGGGTCGTTAGTTTTCTCAGATGAACCAGAAACAATTTTACTACCAGGAAATACGGGCGCCGTGCGACAGGGCCAGGACCAGCCCCTGGACCCGATGCTCCTAGTTCTACACTAAGGCTCCTTTGCTAGGGGCTGCACCTGGCGTGCTCTGCTAACGGCCACTGGGGACACAGTGTGTGGGGGGGACCTGTGGGGGGCTCGGGGGTCGGGCAGGTCCCAGGCACCTCTCTTGGCGAGTGGCCCCACCAGGCCTGGTACCCTGGTCCTCTGCGCCCTGCCTACTCCTCTCCCCTTCCATGAGTCCCTGTGGAGCCCTGTGGAGGGGACACCCGTGCCACGTCCTCTCCAGACTGGCCGCCCGCTGCGCCCCCCCCGCCAGCCTGGCTCAGCCTCCTGCTTTGGCTACTTCACTGCAACAGACTCCACTGGCCTCCCTGCCCCTGGCGCCCCCGTCCCCTCAGCCACCAAAGCGGCCCTCTTAACACATAGGTCCAACCCTGGTGTCCCTTGCTGATGGCCCTGCAGGGGTCTCTCACTGGGCCCTCCAAGGGCCTCTTGCTGCTTCCTGCTCCTGTAGGGACAGGCTGCAGCCCCAGGGACCAGGGCAGGGCAGGGACTCACTAGGGGTGACAGGGGCCTTGACAGCCGCTCTTGGGGAGTGACCTGGCTTCTGTCCCTTTGGCCCTTAACCTGGAAAGCTCAGATGTCCCTCCCGAGCCTGCTCGGGGTCTCCTGGAACGGCCTCCCTCTCTGCCCTGCCCAGGGCCTTAGACCCCTCTTTTGGGGCTACTCCAAGAGGCAGGGACCTTGTCTCCATCACGGTGTGACCCGGGGGTCTTGGGGCGTGTAGAAGGTGCTCAGTAAACAGTGAGTGAAAAGTGGGGACAGGACAAGGCACACACGGGAGGAAGGCAGGGTGAGGTTAGGGGGCTTCAGGAAGCCGAGGGCTCGAGCAGGAGGAGGGTGCCCCCACCCTCAGATGTCACTCACAGGTGAGCTCCGCCCACTTGGCCCCAGGGTTGTTGATGCCTCTGAGAGTGAAGCCTCTCAGCCCCTCGTAGAGCAGCTCCCGGTACCGGATGCGGAAGCCCAGGAGGATGCCATTGACCTTGTCCTCAGCTGGGGGCTGCAGGGAAGGGGGTAAGACATGAGTGGGGCCCGGGTCGCTGCTCACCCCACGCCGTCCTCTCCCCCATCATGCCTCCTGCAGCCCAGAGGGAGGGTTGTGCCTCAACATGAATAAATCAAATTAACATGGTGCATCTTTAATTCGCAAAGCGTTTCCAACGAGGCGGCTGAGTCACCCAGTATTCCCTGTAAGGCAGGGAAAGGCAAGAACCACCATGCATTTCCCTCCAACAGGGAAGGAAACCGAGGCTCAGAGACGTTAAGGCACTTGCTCATGATCACACAGCCAAGGAAGTACACCTCTGGACGTCCAAGCTGTTCCTGGGCCAGGAAGCCCTTCCACGGCTCTCCCCAGGCCTGCTGAGCCCTCCTGACTACCTGGCCAGCACTTCCTGCCAGCGGAGCCCTCTCCCTGCTCCTCGGCACAGGGGAGGGTGAGTGTGCCCATGTGTGCTGCCCCACCCCCCACCATCATTTTCTCCTTTGCTCTCTGCTCCCGTCCGAGCTGAGTTGGAGAAGAAGCTTCCAGAGAAGGTGGGAGCTACTTTTTTATGACACCTCTTTTACAAAACCTACTGAAATGGTTCAGCCTTTTATCAGCCCCTTGATTGCTTTCCTGGCTGCTGCCTGCGCCTCCCTACCCCCTTCGCCACGTTGGCCCCAATCTGCTCTGGCCCCTCCTGTCCCTTGCTCCTGGGTGTACCAGGGCATTCCCACTGAAGGGGGTGTCCCCTCCGCGGGCCCGTGCCTCAGCCACACACGGGCACAACCTGGTGCCCGTCCCTCTGATCCTGAGAGGCAGGGACACAGCTTGCCACCTTGGGTTCTGCGGGGGACCTGCTGGGCCAGAGGCTGGCCTGCAGAGGGCGCAGGAGGGTCCCGACGGGCAGGATACCAGGGCCGGCTGGTCGGCGAGGTTTGCCCAGAATCCTCCCCAGGCCTGGCAGGGCAGCGGTGCCCGCCAAAGAGCAGGCAGCTGGAGGAGAACGGAGGAGGGGCGCTTCCTCCACGGGGGCAGTGGTCTCCTGCTCACAGTCACAGCACAGGCTGCTGTTAGGGACCCCTGCCCTGGCTGCTGGGTCTGGGGACCTGAGAGACCCTGGGAGTCCCAAGGACTTTTCTGCCCAAGGATTTAGAAGACATGGGTTTATAAACCCGACCCTGCCACTTACAAGCTGTGTGACCTGGGGCCCTGTGCGTCCCCTCCTGCATCCCCGCCAGCAGTACGGGGTGCAGGCACCTGCCTGGTGTCTCTGGAGAGTGGAGCAGGTGTGTGGGGTGTGCAGAGTGTCCTGTTATGGGCACACGCCTGCTTGGGTCCCTGTGTCCTGCCTTTCCGTGTGCTCTAGGGCAGCCCTGGGGGGTCTTGGCTTTCTGTTCCCAGTGCAAAGCTTGACTGAGTCCCTCTGGGAGCCCCCCCGCTGCTGCCCATACCTGCCACCGGATCAGCACGGAGGTGGTGGTGTGGGGTGTCACCGAGAGGATGGTGGGCGCTTCATCAGGGGCTGTGGAGAGACGGACAGATGGCTCTGAGGGCTGGAGCCTCAGCCCTAGGGAGCCGTGGGGCCCAGACTCCACCGACTGCGGACTGAGTCACTGCTGTGTGCCCACCAACCCACCTCCGCAGAACAAAGGGCCGGTGCACAGGGAGAGAGGGACCCAGTCCAGACCAACAGTCCCGAACCTTCCACGCTGCCCGAGAGCCACAGGCCTCCTGGGCTGCCCCTGCCCCCTCCTCAGAAGCTTGTGAGACATCTGAAGGATGCATTTGAATGTCCAGCTGGGTCTGGGACCTGAGCCCCTGGCAAAGGCTCCTCCGGCCCTCACCACCTGGGGGTTCTGCCCTGGAGGTGGAAGGGCCCAGCAGCCCGTGGCCTGTTCCCCCCCAGAAGGGGCCCCCCAGTGCCAGGAAGCAGCCGAGGGCCAACAGCAAGAGACCCAAGTTGGGGAGGAGGCACTGACCGGCCTGCAGGGTGGTCAGTGATTCCGACTCCTCGCTGAATTCGCTGTCCCCAATGTCATTGGTGGCCTTCACTCGGAACTTGTAGGATGTGAAGGGCTTGAGCCTGTCGGGGGTGGGGGGTTGGGGTTCAATGGCGGAGGACCCCCGAAGACCCTGCCCAGCCACAGTCTCACTGATCTATCTCTGCTCAGGGAAGCGGGGCAGACCCCCCAGACAGATGGGGACACTGAGGCTCAGAAAGGACCTCTGTTACAGAGGGGTCAAGTTGGACCAAGAGCCCCGGCCATGCCTCATGGGGGCCCTTTAGCTGCAATGATAAGCCACGGGTCCCCAGGCCCAGCTCAGAGGCCCAGGCAATCACAAGATCACCCAGTATCCCTCCCTCCCGGTTTTAAAGGTCTCAGGGCCCCTCCAGACGGCCCTTCCTGTCCTGAGCCGGGAGCTGAGGAGAGCGAGGCTCTCCAGGGAGAACAGAGTGGCCTCTGGGGGTCCATCTCCTCCCCCAGCAAGTGTCTGTGTTCCTGATGGAGGGCGGGCGGGAGGAGAGGCAGCCACCGGGAATTCCACGGAGCCAGAGTTGGGAGGGAAGCTGGCCCTGGCAGAGTCGCCCCGAGGGCTGCAGGCTCCTCCTTCTGAGGGGGGGGGGACGCCAGGCTCCAGAAGTACCCAGGAGGTGGCCCCGACGGGGAGGGTGGGGGGGAGGAGTGGGGGCAGTGGCCCTGCTGGGGGGACCCTCCTCACCTGTCCACGGTGAAGCTGGAGGCGTTGTGGCTCACGGAGGCCGAGTGCAGCGCCCACCTGCCGCCGGGCAGCTCGCGGGTCTGGATGGTGTAGTAGCGCACAGGGGACAGCCCGTCGCTGCCCGGCTCCCAGGACAGCAGCACGCTGCGTGCCTTCACGTCCTCCTGCTGCACGGTGGGCTTGCTGGGGGGCTGCGGGCGGTCTGGGAGACGGCAGAGGGGCAGGGCAGATGAGCAGTGCCACCCCCGTTTCCAAGCACCCAGACCCTGCAGGGTCCCCTCTCTGCAGCCAGCACCTCTGCCTCTGGTCAGGCACCTGCCAGGCTGCCCGAGTCCCAGGAGTATGTCTCTGGGCCAGACTCGTGTCCTTCCTTCCTTTACCTAAAACCCAGGGGCCCTTGACCACCCAGCCACACCCCAGTCCCCCCTTTTTATTTAGAGACAGGGTCTCAATAAATTGCTTAGGGCCTCCCTAAATTGCCCAGGCTGGCCTTGAACTGTCGATCCTCCTGCCTCAGCCTCCGAGTGCTGGGATGGCAGGTGTGCCACACCCACCTGGCTGGAGCTCACTTGCCATTCCAGGCCAGGACCTGGCTGCCCCCCACCCAGGCCTCCCCGGCCCCCATGGGCGGTCGGTCACCTCTCTTCTCGGTGGTCACCACCAAGGCCTCGGCGGCCTCTCCCCAGCCTTTGCGGGTCTGGGCGGTGATGCGAAACAGGTAGACGGACTCTGGCTTGAGGCCGGTGGCTGTGTACTGGCGAGCGCTGGGGGCCAGCACGTCCACGGTGGCGGTGTTGGCGGTGGTGGCGTTGAGCCTGTGCGTGATCTGGTAGGCTGTGGGCAAGGGGGAGAGGGTGGCCCTGGAGGCAGGTCCTTCCTTCCTCAGCCTCAGCAGTGTCTGCACCTGGGCGCTGGGCAGGGCCCTGTCTGCCTGGAGCCCTGGGGTCACTTACAAACCTCAGTGGCCCTTAGGGTGTGAACAGTGCCTGGGCTCCCACGTCAGCCCTGAGAGGAGGCCGAGCCGGCTGGGAAGCGGCTGAGCTGGAATTCCAGCCTGGGTCTCTGGGCTAAGGGCTTGCGGCCCTGCCCACTGTCTTGTGAGGCGTGGGGTTCCCCAGAGCATGGCCGGCACAGGCCCGGCACGTCCAGGCGCCGTCTGTGCGTGTGCACGTGTGAGTCTCTGTTTCACTTTTAATTTCTTAGAAACTGGGTCTCGCTATGTTGCCAGCCGGCCTGGAGCCCCTGGGCTCAGGACATCCTCCTGTTCAGCCTCCCGAGTGGCTGGGACCCCAGGAGGCCGTGGGCCACCATGCCTGGCAAGCCACCACCGTAAAGGTGAGAGTGCAGAGGTCGCGGGGGAGTGGACTTGCTCAGCCCTGCCTTCGGCTCTGGGAGTGTGTGTCCAGGGAACCTGGACCTTTGGTCTGTGGCCTCCCTCCCTGGTGCAGGCCCAGCTGTGAGCATGGCTGGGCTGGACTGGCCAGCGCGTCCCCCAGGGAACAACCGTGGAGGTTTACGAGGTGCTCAGAGGCTGAGGACTGGAGTCTGGAGGCATGGCCCCAGCCAGTGTCCTTGGGGCCTGAACTTGGTCTTGTCCTGCAGCAGATCATGCAACAGGCAGGAACTTGCAGCCGGGGAAGCGAGACCCGGGTCCCACTCTCAAGGGCCGCGGACACTTGTTGCCCCTGCTCCCCTCTCGCCGTCACTGAACGTGCCTCCCCCTCCTTCCTGCAGACGGGGCTCTGGAGGGGCCAGGCTTACCCAGGATGATGCCGTTGGGGGCGGCGGGGGGCTGCCAGATCAGCCGCACTGACGTGGTCCTCACCTCCGGGAACAGGATGCCCATGGGTGGTCCTGGGACTGGAGGGGACACAGGGGGAGAGGCTGACAGGCTCTGCTCAGCCTCAAGCACGTCCAGCTGCAGCGGGTGGAGGGGGACAGGGCCACTCCGTGCGGCTCAGTGAGTGCTATGGACAGCTGCTCGGGCCGGTACCAGGTCAGGGACCAGTGACACAAAATGAGCTCGGGGAGGCTTCTGTCCTCAAGATAGGTGTGAGCTAGAAGGTGGAGTGAGGGTTCTGCCCTCCCAGCAGGTGATCCTGGCGGCACCCGGGGCTCCGGCTTGGTCTGTGCACACCCTTAGAACCTGGCAGACGGCCCTGGCCTGGGGCTGGGCTTCATTTTTAGATCTTATTGACTTGGTTTTGCAGTGCTAGGGGTGGAACCCAGGGCCTTGCTTGTACTAGGCCGAGCTGCGTGCCAGCTGGTCTGGGTTAGAAGCCCCTGCTCTGACTTCGGTCCACTATGGGGCGGCGGTGCAGCGATGGTAAGTAAGCACCACCCTGAGCCTGCACATCTGTCTCTCTAGATCTCGCTCTGGAATTCCTGCTCAGACCACCCCAAGCGTGCTTCCAAGGTCCTCAGAGCCACCTCCTGGGGCAGACTGTACCCTTGAACCCAGGGATGGTCAAGGGCAGCTCTTCTGGGGGTATGGGTAGAGACTGAGGGGTGTGGGTGGGAAGAGGGTGGGTGGGGGTGTGGGGGGGTGATGCCCCCTCCCAGCACAGGACGCCAAGAGGTCCGAGGTTTCCAAGCCTGAAGTGGCCCTCCAGGTCACTGTACCCGTGGACTTGTCCAGGCAGGAGGACAGGGTAGAGTTAACTTAGCTGTCCATTAGCTTGATTTATGACTTCAGAGGACCCACACCTGGTGCTGGCTTCCTCCCACACTCCTGCTGCATCTGGGCATTTTGTGGTGGGCAGGGCGTGAGGATGGGCGAGGGAGAGGGAGGGCGCAGGACCCGTGGGTCCACCTGGCCCCAGGGCTTTGCTGGAGGAGGGACGAATGCTAGTACTTGGCTCCTGGAACTTTTTTTGTTGGAAAGAGAACCAGGAGGCTCCTGCCCTGGAAAAACCAAGACTTTCCCTTTCACAGACGTCACTCAAGCAAACCTGCCCCCGGGCAAGACAGAGATCAAACAGGTGCGAAGTCCCCGATCCTACACTTGCCCTGGAGAGAGACCAACAGACAGGACCAGCTCTCTGCCCATCCTCACGACGTCCTTTCTTCCTTAGGGACACGCAGGCTGTGATCAGTGTCCCCTTGCAGAGAGTTGGTAGCCCCTAGTGACCGGTTCCCCACAGGAGGAGCCTGAGGCCACGGCTCCCGTGGGCAGAGCGGGATCCCGGGGTGAGGCCGGGCGGGCAGAGGAAGGCGGCCCCCGCAGGTGTTCCCGGGGCTCGCTGGGACTTGGACTCACCATCGTCCAGCGTCCGCTCCAGGATCGGGGGGTGGCTGGGGCTGCCGTCCCCGATGCGCGTGAAGGCCAGCACTTGCACCTCGTACAGCACGTACTTGCCCAGGCCCGTGAGCTGGGCACTGCGGGACGCGTTGCCCTCCACCAGCCAGGACCGGGGCTGGGAGTCCGAGTCCTTCTCCTTGTACATCACCTGCCAGGGCCCGGCACAGGGAGGACCTCAGGAGGGGCTCGTGCCCAGGAGCAGGCCGTGTGGGGACGGGGCAGGCCGACTGGGGCACCTAGCGTGACCCAGGGGGCCCAGGGTGACGGCAAAGCTGTGCACCCAGAGGGCCGGGGCACGGGGCTTGCACGGCTGTAAAGCTGGACGGCCCCTGAGGAGCCTCGGGTGGGCACAGGGGCTGGGAGGGAGTGTGGCCTCCTCAGGCTCACGGGAGGAGGGGCACACGGAACAAGGGGTCCGCCAGGTCCCAGGTCAGGCTGGAGCAGCTGTCAGAAAACCCCAGAGGCCCTGGAAGGCTGCGGTTTGGGGCTGCTTTGTTCCCCGAGGGCCCATGCATGGGTGCTGGGTCCCCGCCTGATGGGACCTTTGAGGGGTGCACCCTAGGGGGACCCTGACCTCAGGCAGGACTGATGTAGTTCTCATGTGACCCCTTGGGAGCTCCACAGGAGACTGTCACAGAGGCCCGAGCCTCGCCTTGCTCAGCCCTCCCCAGTTTCCTGTACCTAGATGTGACCACGACATGACCACCTTTCCAGCAAACTCCTGCTGTGGCCCTCTGCCACAATGTGACATAGCTGAGAGGGCCCTCACCAGAGCAGAGCCTATGCAGACACCACGTCCTTGAGCCTCCCCAGCTGTGAGCTAAACAAACCTCTTTATAAGCGAACCTGTCCCCGGTGCTTTGTTACAGTAACGAAAACCTGACTAATACAAAGACAGAGCTGAGCAAGGCTGGGCCCCCTAGCGTGGCCTCTTGGAAGAAGGGGCACAGCCCTAAGGACCTGGCCCTGGCTGTTTCCCCACCCCTGAGGGCAGGAGACTCCTGCTGATGGGAAGCCAGGCAGACCCCATATCCACTCTAGAAGGCCGAGGCCTTGAGGGTGATGGATGACAGGACACCTTGGGTGGAGAGGACCCCACCCCCTCCTCTGGTCCTGACACTCACCTTGTAGCCCAGCACCAGCCCGTTGCGGTCTGCCTCGGGGACCTCGTTCCAGCGAACCAGCATGCTGCTGGAGGTGGTGGCCAGCGCGGACACGTTGGTGGGGCCAGAGGACGGGACTGAGGGAGGGAGGGAGCGGAGAGCGAGAACTGAGCCCGAGTCCCTCTATGGTAGAGGGAGGGGAGCAGGGTGGGGGCGGAGGAGCCGGCTCCAGGTGGCCGGCTCCCTCAGAGGACAACCCGCGGTCACTCTGCTCTGAGGTCTTTGGTTTGGGCGTGTCCAGATGCTGTTCTGGTTTCTGATTTGCCTCCCTCATTGTCCTCTGCTCTGACTGACCTCAGTGAGCTGTGCAGGGACGAGGGGTGGGGACAGGGGACCCGGAGGCCCCGGAAGCTCCTGGTCATGTAAAGGGCCAGGAGAAAGCCCCAGGTGGTGACCTGGGTGGACACAAGGGCTCCCTGAGGCTGGGGCTCCTGTTCTATGGGTGACCCCTGGGCAGGCCCCATAGGAGCTGCTGGTTCTGTTTCTGGAATGTTCTGAGGGTGACCCCTTCCCTGGACTCCATCTTGGGCTCTTTGCAGCACCGCTGGGCGTCAGGGCTAACGCTGAGGGCGGGGAGGGGCAGTTTGCCCGGACGTGTCCCTGCAGTGGGGACGGTCCTGGGGAAGGCGCAGGCCCCGGGGTCTCCCGGCACTGGGCAGAGGGAAGCTGCTCAGGCTGCTTGAGGACGGTCCCCGCCTGCTGGCCCTTGGACAGCCTGAGGGCAGAGGGACAGGGACGGGAGGTGGGTACCTGACTCCCGGGTCCTGCCCACCACCGTCTGGCTCCAGGGCCCGCTCCCGATGGCGTTGAAGGCCTGGACCTGGACGCGGTACTCCGTCCACTCCTCCAGGTCCTCGATGGTGTACTCCCGCTCCACGCGGTCCGGCACCACGTGGCTCAGCGTCTTGCCGTGGCCGTCCGACCGGCTGTACTTGATCTTGTAGCCCACGGACTCGGGGTTCCCGTTGTATTCCATCTCTGGAAGAGGCTGCGGCCAGGTGGGGCAGAGCGCCATGAGGCCGGGACACCCGTGCAGGGAGAACTGGCCTCTTCCTGGCCTGCAGGATGACCTGGTCCACCGACCCGGCTGCCAGTGTCCCCGAGAGGCGCTGCCCTGGCCTGGCTGGGGGTGTACATGGTGTCTCCAACTCCTCTCCTCTCCCCTCCAGGCTCCGAGGAGGAGCAGGGCCATCTCCACTGTGTACGTGGCTAACTTACGCCCCTGCCCAGGGACTTGGTCCTGTTTAGGAGACTGAGCACCTTTGGCTCTGGTTGTCTCACTTGCCTAACTCACCTGGCCTCAGCGCATGCTGCCCTTGGAGGAGCGGACACACAGAGAGGACATTCCCTGGATATTCCCTCTCATTTCCAGCAAGTCCTGCTATCCAGCACACCTCAGTCTCTCCTGATGCATGTTTAGCTTCCTGCTAGTTCAAGTCTCACCAAAGAGAAAAGGGAGATTCTGTTCCCAGGCATTAGCACCAGGCCAGAGGGCCGTGGTCACTGGCTCAAGGTTGTTTGGTGAACCTGGCCAGTGCTGATGAGCAGAGGAGGTGGGTGTCTGTGGCCTGGAGCCGAAAGCTGATCTTCACTGCCTTGTATTGGACAGAGTGGAGCTGGGCCACCCGTGGTCCCCTCCTCTTGGTCAGCCTCCCCAGGGCCTCCCAAGGACGCGCGGTCCACAGCTCACCACCCTGGAAGCCACTTAGTCCAGCTCCTCCCCGGGCCTGTCTCAGTGGCTGACACACACCCCCACCCTCTGCAGACACTCAGTGAAGTGGACCAGAGACTATTAGAACTGAACCGAGGGTTCGGGGAGCCCGAGGTGGGGTGGAGCCCCACCTGCTGCGGAAAGTGACGGGTGTGCACCGCCAAGTGGGTCTGAGAGGTGCCGGCCACAGGGCACAGCCATGGCTCCCCACCCTCCTGTGACCTTTCAGTATTTGGAAACCTCCAAGTGAGACTCAGGAGGTGGAAGCGGGGGGCAGGTGGGGAGGGAGGCCACTGGCTGACCCCATAGTCCTCTCTGGTGCTAGTACTGCTAATGCCTACCCAGGTGACCGCCATTGGCACCATCTGCCAGGCCGTGTCCCAGGGTGAGAGGTAGCCATGCCCCGTGCTCCCTGCCACCACAGTGCGGCAGGTCCGTGCAAGCTGTTTTGCACAGTGAGTTGAAGACCTCCGTGGGGACGAGGCGGGGTGGTCAATGGGCCCAGCAGAGGCAGGCACCCTCGTGAGCTCCTTCAGTGCAGGGCTCTGGGTTCCCTGAGGAGCCCAGGAGGCGGGGTTGCCCCCCACCTTGGTCTAAGAATTCTCCTTTCTCCCCGGGCCTCTGGGGGCTGGCCGCACAGAGGAGGCTGCGGAGAGACTGTCTCTAACACTCCCTGGACCTGGAGGCAGAGGGCTCGGTGGCTGGGATGTGGATGGAGGTGGACTCCCTGGGTGGGACCTGGCTCTGCTGTGAAGTAGGGGTGCGGGAGGGTGTGAGGGCGCTGGGCAGGTGGCAACCTCGCTCTGCCCCAGTAGGGGGTGCAGGAGGGTGTGAGGGCGCCGGGCAGGTGGGCAACCTCGCTCTGCCCCAGTAGGGGGTGCAGGAGGGTGTGAGGGCGCCGGGCAGGTGGCAACCTCGCTCTGCCCCAGTAGGGGGTGCAGGAGGGTGTGAGGGCGCCGGGCAGGTGGGCAACCTCGCTCTGCCCCCGTTTCCTCTTCCGCTAATTGGGGACCAAGCTCAGCCTGCTGTCACAGGCCTGCTGAGGTTCAAGGCCTGACTCTGAAATGAAGCACCTGGCAGGAGAGGGAGCCCTAGCCGCTGCCTCCTGTAGGACCAGCAGGGTGACAGCCTCATGCTCTCCCTGGCCCCCTCCGGCTCAGCAGCAAGTGCTCACTCTCTGACTGAGCGCAGATCCACTGCTCAATCCAGACCCACTGAGAGAGCTGTGTGGCCAAGGCAAGTTCATCACCTCTCTGAGCCTTGCTTTTTTTTTTTTTTTAAGCTATACATTGGGAGGATAACGTGTCCTTTGTATAGTTCCTGAATTGTTTAAATGTGCATTTGGCCAGTGCTCAGTAAAAAGTGTTCTGGCCTCTCCATCGCTTGGGGGGCGTTGGCTCATTCAGCCATGGTTGATTATCGGGCAGCTTATCTACAGAAGTAAAAAGTATATTTTTTTAAAAAAGTTAAAAAAAAAAGAAGCAAGGAGAAGGCGGATAGGTCCTCTCTGCAGGCCCCCTCTGAGGCCAAGACGGCTTCCCAGGGTGGGGGTCAAGGGGACACCCCCCACCCCAGTGCCCGCTCCCCGGGGGGGGCCTCACCATCCAGCGGAGCCACAGGCTGGTCTCGCTGGCTGTGCGCAGGGTCACGTTGGCCGGGGCCATGTCTGGGGGCGCCTGGAGGGTCTGGATCTTTCTGGAAGGCTGGCTGGGCGGGCTGGTGCCCACGATGTTCACCTGGCGCATGCGGAAGCTGGGTGGGGCGAGGGTGTGAGCAGGACCGGCCAGCCGTCCCCCCCCCCCCAGGGCCCCGCGTGGCCGCGCCTCACCTGTAGTAGGTGAAGGGGTTGAGGTCGGGCACCTCCATGGAGCGGGCGTCGGGCTCGTTGCTGAGCTGGTGGACCAGCAGCCACTCCTCACCCTCCCCGACCACACCCACCTGGAAGAGGGGTGACCCTTAGACGTGCCGAGTTGGGGTGCCCCGAGCCCCAGCGCCTGTGCGCACCAGCTCTGCCCAGGGGAGGTCCTGGTCCCAATGCCAGGGCTCCGCCGAGGGTGCCGCGTGGCGCCAGCATCTTTCCAGGACCCCAAATGTGACTGCAGAGGCCTCGGGAGCGCGGCCAGGGATGGCGGCTGAGGCCCGGCCCAGCAGAATCCCTGGAGGTGGAGCCCGGATCTGCGCCCCAGCGAGTCACCCGTGGGCTTCCGGCCCCGCGGCCCCAGCCCCGCAGCAGGCGTCACCTGAGCTTCCACCAGCCAGCGGGAGATGGAGGTCTTCCCGTCGTAGCCCGGCCGGAACTGCAGGGTCACGGAGCGGGGCCCGATGTTGGAAATGCCCAGGTTGGTGGGGGCTCCTGGGAGTTCTAGGAAAGGGGGACGGCAGAAGGGCGCGTGGGGCGCTGCTCCCCGTGAAGAGACTCGGCCTGGAGCGGGCTGTGCGTCCTCTGTTCCTGAGAGGCCCCAGGGTCCCAGGGGAGGTGTGGCCCACACGGGGTGTCTGATGGGGCACCATGTTGATAGCAGGGAACTGACAGGTTGGGGACTAAGGGGACCTCCCAGGGCCACCTATGCCAGAGGCCACCCTTGGCAGATCTGGGTGTGAGTGAGATGCTCGTGAGGGAGTCAGCGGCAGCACAAAACCAAGCCGGGCTCAGGAGAAACCAAACAGGACCCATCCTCCCCATCCTTCCCCACCCTTACAAAGCCTCTCATACTCAGTAGTGCTGACGAGGTGAGAGGGACACGTGGGGACCGGAGGCAGCTCCTATTTGCCAACTGAGAACCCTGGAGGTGGACTGAGTTTGAATCCAACTTCACCACTTATAGGCTGTGCATCTTTGAGCAAGTTACCCACCTCTCTGTGCCTCAGGAAAGTGGAGGTGATGCTAACACCTGTTTCAGGGTGATTGTGAGGGCTGCACGAGGTTGATGTATATGAGGCCCCTTAGTGGGCTCTACAGAAATCTCCGTCAGTCTCCCTGACCTACGTAGTGCAGAAGCCCTGGTGCCTCAGCTATCTCCATGGGCAGGTCCAGCGATCCTGGCCAGGTCCCATGTGGACACAATGACAGGGTTGTCTGCCCACCTCTCCATGTACACAGATGGGGAAACTGAGGCACGGGGGGCTACTTGGGCTGTTCCAGGTTGCGGAGCTGTGGACCCCAGCTGGCGCTCCATGCCCACCCACCATGCTCGGCCATCCCTGCCCAGCCAACCCTTCCGTGGCTGGAAGCAGCTGGACTTTCTGGGTGACAGTGATAAATCCCCTGAATCAGAGAGGCCACGGCCTCATGGGGAGCCTGGCGTGTGGGGTGCGGGGCCCACGAAGCCTCCGCCTTGTTCAGAGCCGCGGGGAGGCGCGGTGGGCCAGGGCCTCCATCTACAGCCCTGGGGCCACAGGGGCTGAGCCTGCTCAGGGGGGGACCCCGGGTCGCGGGACCATAGGGCGGGGAGGGCTCTGGGGGAGGGCGCCAGGATTCCCGCAGGCAGGGCGCTCCCCGGCAGGCTCCTCTCGGGAGACCAGCGGGGCCGGCTCCACCTACCTGGAGGCACCCCGGAGGAGATGGTGGAGGCGGACACCTGGCCCTGGCCCTTGGAGGTCATGGCAGCCACCTCGATGGTGTAGGTGGTGAGCGCGGTGAGGCCCGTGACGCGGTACTCCAGGGTCACGTTGGGCAGGTAGTGGGTCACGCGGGTGTTGGTCCGGTTGTACTCCTCCCAGGAGATGCGGTACCCTGGGGGAGCCCCGCGGTGGCCTGAGCTCGGGGGACCCTCAGCCCCCCTCGCTGGGCTTCCCACTTCCCCACCCACTGGGAACAGTGAGGCCAAGGGAGGTGGAGCTGCTGGCCTTAGGCTCTTTGGGCTGCCACCTGGGTGGGCACCGCTCTGGAGCGGGCACGTCCTCACGGCAGCCCCCTGAGGCCCCAGAGACCTCTAGGGCCCCATGATCTGGGACAGAGACACCAGGATGGACTGGAGACAGAGGTGCCAAGAGCCTCCCCCGAGGGCGCCTCTTGGTCCAGGTGGGGACTAGCTCTGGGGAGGGACAGCTGGCCTCTCCTCGCCCGTCTGCCCTCTGGAGGGGGCAGCTGGTGCCTACCTGTGAGGATGCCGTTCTTCTCCCCTGGCTCTTGCCAGCTGACCTTCAGCGAGGTGTCCAGGATGTCACTGAAACTCAGGTGTCCCACGGGCCCCGGCACTGTTCCCCAAGAGGGCCAGTCAGAACCGGAGCGCGGCCACCGTCGAGGGACAGTCCGCGGTGCGGCGGGGGTGCTCGGGTGGGGCTGAGGGGCAGGGCTGCCGGAACCTACCGTCCTCATGGGTGCGCACGAGCTGGGGGCTGCTGCGGGGCCCGTCCCCCGGGGTGGTGAAGCACAGCACGGAGGTGAAGTACTCCGTGAACTTCTTCAGCCCCGACACGAAGCCCACGTGGATGCTGTCTTGAAAGTTGGGCCGCGCCGTCACCATGGTGACCTCCTCTTCCTGCTCGGGCTCCCAGGCGATCAGCTGGGGACAGGCCAGCAAGAACGTTCGAGAAGAGGCTGGGCCAGTGGACAGCGTCCAGGAGCCCAGGTCCAGGGGTCCCTGGTCCCCAGGAAGGGATAGCCCTCAGGCTCCCGAGGCCCGTGGCCCCGTGTTCACTCTGAGGTACTGCTCCATTTCCTGAGCCTCTGAATCTGGGCAAGGTACAGGCTGGGTGCTTCCTATGAGTGTCTGTCCCCGATTTTAACAGGGACCCCACACGGGAGGCATTTTACCAGGACCAGCTCGGTAACTGGCAGGCTCAGTACAAAACTAAAACGAAGAGATCCTTGTTCAAAAGGAATCCCAAGATGTTTGGGCCAATGCGCGGTTGCAGACCTAAGAAGACAGACCTAAGAAGACGCCCTTTACTTCACAGGTGAGGAGACCAGGCTCAGGGGCTGAGCGACTTCCACTAGGACCTTTACTAGGGGGAGTTCAGGTTCCAGTTCCAACCTTTCTCCCTGGGGCTGAGGCAGCTCTTCCCTAGAAGGGTCCAAGGGTCACTTCCCATAAAACTGAGAACTTATCATTTGTGGGGTACTGGGGTTGAACTTGGGGCACTCCGCTGCTGAGCCACACCTCCAGCATTTTTGATCTTGAAACAGGATCTCACTCAGTTGCCCGGGCTGGCCTTCCACTGGACCTGCTTCTGCCTCAGCCCCGCGAGTCACTGGACTGTAGGCCTGGCCACCCGGCCCTGCCACTCGGCTGGCAACTTGGTTTGTGGGTGTCCCTCTTATGCTCCCACAGTTGCTCCCCATCAGGATTTAGTCTTACAGTCACCTGGAGGTGGGGCGTCCGCACCTGGGAACGCATGCTGCCTGCGAACCCCCCGTCGGCTGCCTCGGCCTGGCCCCCCTGGTCCCCCTCCTGCTCTATCACCCCACGCCCTGTTTCCTGGCCCTTCATCTGTCTCCCACAATGACAGCTGGCCTCAGAGATTCCTCGTTTATTTGAAGTTGATTAAATAGCAATTAATGGTGAAAAGCTACACTCGATGAGTTTTAATAAGCACGGGTATTTATAGATATAAAACAATACCACGCCAACGTCTCCGATTAACTCACGCCCGTAACAATGCTTAATCTTCTCCTTTTCAGGCCTGAGTGTTTACAAAGGATGTTTTGAAATTTAATTGATATTGTGAAAAGATAGCCTATAGCCAGTTAATTAGACACTAATTAGACCCTAAAAATACTAATCAGAAATACTAAGTGGCATTTAATAAGTATGTTAAATATCCTCTTTATTTCAGTTATCTTGTTTCATAGCAATTAAATTGCCGAACTTCTTTGGAGTAGATGAAGAAACAAGTTTAATGTTTTAATTTAATTTAATTAATGTAAATTTGAATTAATTACGCTGTTGGAATTAATTGTGTGGTGTGTTCCCTAGCAAGTGTAAAATTTGGGTAAATATTATTTTATTGGGCTCACGCCAATTAAAATTACTACTATTTTTTAAAAAATAAAAGAAAAAAATGTCTTTAAAAGGTGCCTTCCGACAATATCATGGGGCCTTGCCCCCCAAAATGGCCCACAGAAGGTGCACAGGAAAGGAGAGTGTGGTTTTGAGGACTGACGATATGGACTTCATAGCTGGGCCTGGTGGCACACGCCTGTGAGCCCAGAGACTGGGGAGGCTGAGGCAGGAGGGTCTCAAGTTCAAGGCCAGCCTCAGCAACTTAGCAAGACTCTGTCTCAAAATTCAAAAAGGGCTGGGGAAGGAAAGAAGAAAAAAGAAGGGCGCTGTGAGGTGGCTCAAAGGTCCAGCCCTTGCCTAGCGAGCGCAAGGCCCTGGGCTCATTCCCCAGTCAAAAGGACTTGGTGACCTACAGTTCCACATCTGAGGTCCTAGCCCACGGCAGTGGCAGATTGGTGGCAGCTTCTAACCATCTACTCTGGGGTGTGGAGTGCAGGAGACGGTGACATTCCTGAGGTCCCTGGCAGGTAGCCCCCTTACAGTGGAGAAACCCTGTATTGGAGGACAGCGTGTAGGGGACACAGAATGCGCAGCCACCAGGGGGAAGGAAGGGGACTGGCCTTGGAGGTGGGACCCGTGAACCCGAGCCCAGCTCTGTCCCTTACTGTGTGACCCTGGGAAAGCCACTCCTCCTCTCTGAGCCCTGGCAGGAGGCGGGGATAGCGTTGGCCACCCTGCTGGGCAGGGGGCCTAGAGGACAGGGAAGCCTCTTGCTCCTGGTGCAGGGAGCACCCTGGGGGGCGGGTACAGGATGTGGGTGGGGAAATCTCCCCGGCTCCTCCACTGCTCCCCGAACCCCATGGAAGGACACGCGGGAAACCAGCGGCTATGGTCACGGAGAGAGGGGAGCTTTGGGAAGGGTGAGTGGGTCCAGGGAGATGGAGGACGAGGGCAGGAGGCGGTTTTCTGATGTAAGCTTGGTTTTTTGAATCATAGATAGATTTCCTATTTTCTTTTTGGTACTGGGGATTCAACCCAGGGATGATTAACCATCATTGAGCCACATCCCCAGCCCTTTTCAAATGTTTTATTTAAAGACAGGGTCTCCCTGAGTTGCTTAAAGCCTCACCAAGTTGCTGAGGCTGGCTTTGAACTTGCAGTCCTCCTGCCTCAGCCTCCCAAGCCGAGGGGATTACAGGCGTGCACGGCCACACCTGGCTATTTCCTATTTTTTTTTTTTTTTTTTTTTGAGTGTGTGTGCAGTGCTGGGGATTGAACCCAGGGCCTTGTCCATTCAAGGCAAGCACTCTACCAACTGAGCTATATCCCCAGCCCTATTTCTTAATTTTTTCTTTTCTTAAATATTTATTTTTTAGTTGTAGTTGGACACAATACCTTTATTTTATTTATTTTTATGTGGTGCGGAGGATTGAACCCAGGGCCTCTCAAGTGCTAGGCGAGCACTCTACTGCTGAGCCACAACCCCAGCCCCTATTTCTTAAATTTTTCAAAACAATAAATTGAAGGGGCAATATTTGGCAAAAGTAGTCAAATGACAGACACACTTACCCTTTGACCTAACAATCTCATTTCTAGGCATCCATGTCAAAGCTATGCCATGAAAACAGAAAGAGCCGTATGCACCAAGCCAACATCGTGGGTCAAGTAGCAATGGCCCAAAGTAGGGGTCTGGTTACCTAAGGACACCATGGGGTAGGTGGGGTACCTGTGGATTCAAAGAAGGACCAGGGAGACGGGCATCCGTATGCTGCTGTGGAGGGACCTCAGGGGCATTGTAGATGACAATCATGTTAAAACACAAGGTGGAGAGGGTGTGGAGAGCACACTGTCACTTACCAGGAAGGAGAGGGCACACAGTGATATATATGCACGCTCCCGCTTTAAACATAAGCAAAAGGAAAAACCAAACCAAACAAACCAGAACACTCCAACCTCTGGGGAGAGAGGGCCGGGGCGGAGGATGGCGCTCTCGGCATTGGCTTTGTAGATTTGATTTTAGAGCCGTGTAAATATTGTATATAATTATGGCACCAAATTAAATTAAAAAAAAATCAATCCCCCAAAATCGAAAACAAAATGAATTCAATGAACCTAATAGGGTATGGAGCTGTAGCAAAATCATACCCAGGGAAACTGCTTCAAAAACATGTGAAGCGCATCCCTCTCGGGACAGACCCTGAGAGCAAAAGGACTGCAGATTCTCCAGCTATTTTCAGTCTTCAACCTGTTCCTATTACTATTCTGAGACTGCCGTGTGTGCTTGTGGGGTGAAGTAGGTGGGTAATGACGCTGCTGGTTCAGGAATTGAATTTTCAGTGTGGAGAAAAGAGTTATGAGATTATTAAAAGACCAGTGAGATTATTAAAAAGCTTGTAGTCCTGAAATTGAATAGGAAGTATCAGTATGCATTTTATCCTAAAAAAATGCATTTCCTTCTAGCTGACCATGAACAGAGTCTAGATATGATAGCCATCCTGGAACAAGTAGAACCCCAGTGCCCGGAGTGTGGCATCTAACTATCCCTTCCTTCTGAAAGGAAGCAAGGTAGCTGGGTGCGGTGGTGCACACCTGCGATCCCAGCAGGTCGGGAGGCTGAGGCAGGAGGATCGTGAGTTCCAAGCCAGCCTCAGCAAAAGTAAGGCGCTAAGCAACTCAGTGAGACCCTGTCTCTAAATAAAATACAACCTAGGGCTGGGGCTGTGGCTCAGTGGTCAGGTGCCCCTGAGTTCAATCCCAGGTACCCTGCCCCCCACCAAAAAAAAAAAAAAAAGGAATTAAATTGTTGTGAAGAAAGGGCTAATCCAGGGCACAATGAAGGAAGTTTCTATAGCTTGGAACATCTTCTCATACCAGACAGCAAAGAAGCCGTCACAGACTCCTGGGGCCATGTCCAAGGACTGAGGAATGGACATGAAGGAGGGTCAATGTGGCATCTATAAGAATAATAATGGCAGTGGACGGAAGCACATCAGAGGTGTTAAAAATCCTTACGTGCATAATAATATTACAAAAAGCAAAACAAAGCCAGACCGACACCCATGTCCAGCCGTGACTCACTTGTCACCTTAGAGGCGACTAAGGAACCAATTCATTATACTGCAAATTGGTAAGCAATCAGAAAGAATGGGGCCGGCACTCGGCTTCTCAAACTAAATGAACTCAATGTTCAGTTGGCCAAAAAGTCAATAAAAGGAACATTCTTTTCTAAAAAAAAGCATTTCAGCTAATAAATCAAAAGGCAACGATAGCATTTCCCTATCCCATTTTGCAACCCCTGCTGAAATAATAGATCATGTGAGGGCCATTGACAGCCACCGACATCACAATGAGAGACAGTCAGACTTGGTCTTCGACGAAAATACACAAGGCCATCTAGGAAGCAGTATTGAAAACAACAACAACCAAAAAAAAAAAGAAAGAAAGAAAGAGAAATCGAACCTGAGTCCGACCAGCCCGTGGTTGAACATTCCAATTTACTGCAAATATAGTGTTCAGAGGAACGTGTTAAATGACCCCACGGGATGCAATCAGCAAAATCCAGGCTGTGGAAAATTCCACAGGACAAATGACTCAGTTTCTTCACCCAATAAATTATAAGAAAAAAGAGAGAGAAAGAGATGAGAGAGAGAGTATATAGATCAACCGAGACCTTAAAAACAACCCAACTGCCTGCAACCGTGGGGCCCTCATTTAGATCCTGGAGCAAATAAACCAACGGTTTTCAGAAACGAAGTGGCAGTCCCAGAACCTGCAAGGCTGGCCGGGTGTCTAAGGACGTGCAGGGGCTGTTGACATTTTTAGGCATGACGATGATGATGGGTCTTGTTCTAAGCGGAGACGTGATCTACGATCCTCATCTACAAGAGCATTTACGGAACAGAACGGGCCCGGGATTTGCCTTAAAATATTCTAGGGGACGGGGGAGGGCTGGGGAGTCCCTGGGACACATGTGGCTATGAGCTGGGACCGGGGGAAGTTGGGGCTGGTAGAGGGGCATTCATTAGCGCCTCCCTCTACTTTTGTAGATGTTTAAAATTTTTCACCATTAAAAGTGGACAAGCAAAGTCCATTGTTATCACAGGTATATATACAAGAGACAGACACTCCTCTTTTTTTTTTTTTTTCTTTCCCTCTCTGTAATAGACACACTGAAAGCCAAAGAAGCAGGAGAAAAAAATTCCTGCCTTTAGTCATTTGTATTGAAAAAAAAAATCAAGTGGTAATCCTTATTTTATAATAAAAACATAACACGTGTTTTCTTTTTAAGGGAAGAAAAAGCACTGCTCTGATTTGAATCTCAGCCTTAGCAATGACTCCCTTGACCTTGAACAAGTGATTTCCTTCTTGAGCCGTCGTTTCTTCCTCTGGAAAGTGGGGTGAAGACCAGGACCGTCATTCCCCGGGGCTCTTGGGAAACGGGCCCTTCTTCTTCCACCAGCTCCAGGGCTCAAGACACCAGGCAGCTCATCCCCACTGGTTTTAATTGAACAGCTACTGCGTGCAGAATGCCAAGTGAGGCCTGAGCATTGGCAGGTGTTGGGGGGGCTTCTGCAGCCTTTTCTTGCTCTGGGTCACCCTGGGCCATTGCTCTAATTGTCCAGGCCACTGATTGGCCTCCAGCCTGCGGAGCTGTCTGCCTTACAAGTTTGTGGCTGAGCCCTCCCACATGTGCAATAGAACTTATGCTCAGGCTCGGCAGCAGGGAGCTAATTGTCCCCAGCTTGGTTCCTGGACTGACTCCTGGCAACGCTGGCCTCCTCCTTCCCTCCCTGCCTTCCCCCTTGGGTCCCAATTAGGAGTCTTTTGCAGCCAGCTAGCGCTGGAGCGTTAGGCTGTGACACCCTGACCTCAGCTCAGCCTGGGGTCGCCTGCCTTCCTAGGGAGAAGCTGTGGCCGGGGTGGGCCAGGGGATCTAAGCAGAAATTCTCCTGGCACCTTAATCCCACTCCTGTCCTGTCTGGTCCCCACGCACACACCCTGTAGTAACATGGCTCAGCTGCTTGTCCTAGAAAGGCTCTGGGGTGTGGCACGTGTGGAAACCTAGTGCAGAGAGATACAGGGGGCTCCAGGACGTGGAAGAAGTCACCTCAAGGTCACCAGATCCCTTAGCTCAAACCCAGAGCCTGTAGCTCTCTCCCCTTACCTGCTGGCTTCCCGAGCCTCGCCCCACAAATGCCCCCTCGGCCTCCGTTCCCACAAGGGGGGAAGCAGACAGCCCCTGGATACCTGCTCCAGGATGCTGGGGACAGGCACGATGTGACCTGGCTTTAGTACTCGGGGGTGGGGGCAGGCAGGATGTGCCCCTGGGAGGAGAAGAGAGCCCGGGCCAAGGATCTAAGGTCTGGGTTCCAGGTTGGACACCCTGACTTGGTGCTGTTCCCAAGGTAGCCAGTGCGCTAGCGCTACTGCCACTGCCACTGCGTCAGCTGTCATAGGTTGTCCCCTGCATTCATGTACAGGGTTCCGACCCCAGCGCCTCCGACTGTGACCACCAGGAGATGGGACCTTTAAAGAGGTCCTTCAAGTTAAACGAGGTCATTAGGGTGGGCCTAATCCAACAGGACAGGTGGCCAGGCCACAGACACACGGAGGACAGAGAGGGCAGCGCCATCCACAGCCAAGGAGAGGACTCAAAAGCAAGCAAACTTGCTGACCCCTCGATCTTGGACTTCCAGCCCCTGGAGCTGTGACAGCGTTCCTTGTTGTTGAAGCCGCCTGTCGGGGGCCCTGGATTGTGGCAGCCCTAGGAAACCAAGGCCTGGCTCCCACCCACACCACGCTGAGTGCCCATGACGTCGGCCACTGTGCTGGAGGGACCACACACATTATCCTGCTTGGTCCTCATGCGACCCTGGGGGATAGGCCTCACGGTCTTCACCCCAGAAGGAGAAGCCAGTGTGGTGTCTACAGTTGTTGCTCAGTAAATATTTACAGAAGGACTGAAGCTCAGACCCACTAAAGAACTTGTCCAAGCAGACAGCAGGGGGCAGAGCTGGGGTTTTAGCCTCGTCAGCCTGGGCCCCAACCCCCTGCCCTGAGCCATACTCTGTGTGGGGTCAGGGAGACGCACCCCAGGAGGACGCCCCTTACAGCCCAGAAACGGTACTAAGAAGTTCAAGCTAGATTCTTCCAGTGGGGCCATGGCTGCACCCAGGGGTGCTGAGCCTGGACCAGGTCTTGTTTATGGCCCAGTGTCACCAAGAACACTCCTATCTGTACAGTCCCCGTGCCCCCAGGCCTGTGTGTGGCGTTAGAGAAAGGCTACGCACTGTTTGTCTCTATCCCCGTCTTCCGCTTGGTCTGGGCTTGTGATCTCAGAAGCAGAGGGACCCCACCCCTACCCTAGCTCCCTCTGCAGCCTCCGCCCTCCCGAGACGCTCAGGGCTCCCCCCGGGAGGGGGCGCCCGTGTACCTTGTAGCCCTGGTTGATGCCATTGATGAACTGGGGGCTGGGGGCGTTCCAAGTGAAGCGGATGGTCGTGGAATTGGTGGCCTCGGCGTGCACGTTGCCAGGGGGGACTGTGGGGACTGGAGATCAAGAGATGGGGTGGGCTGGAGGGACCTGTCCACCTCCCTGGCCCAGACGCAGGGCTGGGAGTCCACACTTTGCTGCCCGCCCAACTCCCCCTCCCTGTGAAGACTCGAGGTGCCCTCTTCCTCTTCTGGATTAGTTGGGGTTCCATAAAGGCTGCCCGACCCACGCACAGGGCGCTGATGAGTAGCTGGGGTGGATATGCAAGATCTCGCATGCAGAACTGGGGGGTCAAGCTGTCTCGTGTGTGATCCAGTTAAGTGAGACTCTGCAAAGGTCCCTGTGCCTTGGAAGCCACTGCCCTTCCCCATGTCCCGCGCTGACCCCCTCCTCCCCTTCCTCCCAGCTGGCCACCCTGCAGGAGCTGGACACAGGGGCCGATCCACCCACGGGCAATAGCAAGGGCCTGGGAGAAGCAGGCCTGAGGTGCTCGGGCCTGGACAGGCGGAGGACCCGGCAGGGGCTGGGCCTGGGGGAAGGGATGCATCTGGCCCCGAGGCCACGGTCTGTACCCACCTCCCTGCAGCGTCCACTCGGTGACTTTGCTACTGTAGACCCCTAGGCCGGCGCTGTTGTAGGCCGCCACCTCGATCTCGTAATTGGTCCAGATGATGAGGTCCTCCAGCAGCAGGTTGTTGACGTCGGCATCCGTGATGTTCTTGAACTGGTACCCGACGGGCAGCCCGGCCAGGCAGTACCTGGGGAAGGAGGTGAGGGCACGGTGGACCCCGAGTCCAGCTGCTCGCCACGTACCCAGGAAACTGCCCAGAGCAACACTGTCTGCCCGAACCTCCCGCGGGGCTGGACGCGCTCGGCGTCTGTGCTTCTGACAGGCAGCCTCGGCCCGGTGGCCGACCAGCCCCTGAGCTGGCTCCACGCAGCCGCGGGGCCGGAGAAACTGTGAGCCTTTTAAGTTCAGCAGCTTCCCCCTGAGTGGCACAGATTTGGTGTGTCTGGACGAGTCCTCTTCATGGGGGACAAGGACAGGAGCTGGACGGCTGACCAGGGAGGCTGAGAGTTCCTGGGGAAGACCCCGTGGGCCTCAGTCTCTGAAGGCCATTGACAGAACAGTCCCAAAGGTCGAGCTTGTTTTCTGGTGTTTTATTTTATTTTATTTTTAAATTTCGTGGTTGAGGATGGACCTGGGCCTCGTGCAAGCTAAGGACGAGCTCTACCACGGGGCCCAGCCCAGCCCAGCCCCGGGGCTCATTTTCTCTCTTTAGGAGAGGGGTTTCCTTGCAGCAGTGAGAGGAAAATCCAAGGCCACCTGTGCCACCACCTTCCACTGGAACACAGAAGCCACGAGAACCGAGAACGGTTCTGCGCAACCAGACTTGGGAGGAAGGGCTGCCTCACGGAGCCACGGTGTGCGCCTCTCTTACTGCCAAGGTGCTCCAGGCCCCAACCAGAGGGCTTCTTAAAACAGATCGCCCGTCTCCGTCTCCTTGTGGCCTTGGCATATGGTGGCCCCACCTTCCACACAACCTGGGGGAAGACTATACTACGTCCTCGCTCTTCCATACCTGTTGATTTCCAAACTCTCGCTGATGAAAGTTCTTCTACATGTCTAATCTAAATCCTTCCTACCACAGTGGGTGTGTTTCGTGACTCCTGGCCCTTGGTGGGTGGAGAACGACCTGCCATGAATTTATACCATCTTCCAGTCCACTCCTGGCCCCCACATGTCCCTTTCCCCTTGGGTTGGCTGCTCCTCTTGACCTCAGGATGGACGCCTACCTGATGATGTAGCCCTTGAGGAGGCCATTCTGGTGGCTTTCAGGAGGTGGCTGCCACTGGATCATGATGGACTGGTTTGTCCGGCCACTGGCGATGACATTCTGTGGAGGAGCCGTGGGGGGCTCCTCAGGGAGGGAAACCCTGGCCCAAAAGACAAGAGTGGTGAGCCCTTCGCTCTGGGTCTCTGGGGAAAATGCAGGAGCTTCATGGGATATGAGAAGGCCAAACCCTGCCCGTCCTATCCCCATCAGAGTCTGCACACTTGCTGTGTGCTTTTGGGTAACTCACTTAATCTCTCTGAGCTTGTTTCTGTTAAAAAAAAACCCAACAACTTTGCCTGCCTTACAAGACCGATTGAGGTTCACATGGCACAACCGATAGATGAACCTTTTAAAAACACTATAAAACACCCAATGTACGTGTTTCAGGTGCAGTTGAGGGACATGGGTCTCAGTGTCTCATTTTTCAAGGAAGCTACTGTTGGGGTGATGAGGTAGGTGTTCAAGTGCTTTAGAAGTGGGGGTGCGAGTTGTTTCCCAGGTGCCTCCTGACCTGTCCAGGGAGCCCCCGGATGGGCAGGTGGCATGGGTGTGGTGCCACCCGAAGCCACGGCTGCCTCCCCGCTCCTGCGTGGCGGGAACGCAGTGTTCCACCTGGGTGCATTTTTCACCCGGCTGACACTTATCCATTAAAAACAAAAGTTAATTATTTTTGATGGATGCCGCTCCTGTTTGTTTATTTTTATGTTCTTGCCTCCTGATGGATGGCTCCCCAGCCGCACTGCACCTCCTGTTTCCACGCAGGCTGAGGTGGAGTGACTCAGAGCCCTGAGCATGCAGGTTCATTAGGACGATGACTCAGAGGCGCAGGAAGGCCAGGCAGGCGCGTGGGCGGGTGGCTCCCTGCACCCTGCGTCTCCCTGTTGGGATTCTGGGGCCACGGCCCTTTGTCCACCTCACCACCTCCCTGGCTCCAAACACAGCCTGGCGCATAGCAGGTGCTCAACTAACAGTGAGCCTCTGTAAATTCTCCTGCTCCCCATGCTGGGCTGGCACCTGTCAGGGCCTGTTCTTGTTAGTGTCACCCCTGCCACCCCATGGGGGTGTCACTTGAGTGAACGTCAGAGACTTGAGCCATGCAAACCCACAGTGCTTGACATCAGCCAGGGGTCTCTTCATAGGCACCCAGAGTGTCCTTTGAAGAGCCTGGGGCCCAGCTCTGGTGCGTGTGATTTGTGTCACAAATCACATGAGTGAGTCTGGTCTGTCCCATGACATTGACATCCTTCTCAGTGAGGTGGCTGTTTGTCCTGCGGGGTGGCGTTGGGTAGGATTTCTTCCACGTGAACGGGTATCACTGCCTGAGGCTTTGATAGGGACCACCTGTTGTTTTGATTCAAACTCATCAAAGCTTTCCTGGACCCTCCCTGCTCTGGTGCGATGCGAGGTGTTGGGCCAGGACACCTGTGGGACCCTGCACCCCTCTGGAGCTCTGTGCCCCTTTAACATGGCTGCAGCCCCCGGGGCTGGGGAGCAGAATGAGGGAGTCTCGGAACCGGCAGAGCGCGGGCTTAGGGAAGTTGGCTGGTGCCGATCACGGCCGTCTCTGCCTGGGGCAGCTCACGGTGTCCTCACGCCACCCACGGTGGTCATCATGAGTGGCACCACCCCATCCCACCCAGGGGGAGCAGAGAGGAGCTGACCCAGGAGCTGTCCCTGGTGGGCCGTCGGCAGCCCGGGGAGCCCTGCCCCGTGGAGTCCAGCAGACACCGCAGGGACACCCTCTCCCTCACCTCTCTGTGTCCTTGCTGAACTGTCCTTTGCCCACGTCGTTCACGGCACAAAGACGGAACTGGTAGGAGCGTGCGGGGACCAGGCCCTTGACCATCACGGAGGTGGCTTCCGGATCCACGCTGGCCAGGAGTGTGGTCCAGGGGGCATCTGCAGGGAGAGAGTGGGGCGCAGATGGGCGTCTCGGGGTACGGGACTCGTGTCCTACCTTCCTTGCTAGCAGGGTCCGGCCTCATTCTGGCCTGCAGAGGAGTGAGGGCCTCCCTGCCGGTCCAGCAGCCGCCCACGAGGTCATCATTCTGGGTCCCATTAGCCCAGGATTCTTGGGGGCTGGAGGGGGCTGGGAGGAAGCAAGGGCTCACGGGATTGGGAGGCCCTCGCAGACCGCTGCCCGGGTCACACCTGCTCATTTTGAAGTGAGCAGCTGGGAGAAGAAAGATAAGAGTAAAAGCCACCACCCCTGTGGACTGTCCTGTGCACATCTCAGTCCCTGTCACCCTGACTCAGGAAGAAGCCATGTTCCCTTTGCAAGGGGAGGAAGGACCTACGGGTCCCAGAGCCAGCTGTGGGCAGCCAGGCCAGAGCCACATGTGTGAGGCCCCAGCCCCCCGCTGGCCTGGGCTGCTGTGGAGGGCGCAGGAGGGCCACGGGGACCTTACTGTTCTCAGACATCTCCAGGACGTAGCGGAGGAGCGGGCTGTTGCCGTCGAAGGGCTTGGCCCACGTCAGGTTGATGGCCCTCCTCTCCACGGTGCTGAGCGTGGCCATGGGGTGCTCAGGGGCGTGGGGCAGTTGCCTGCAAGACAGATGTGTGCAGAGGCCTGGCCCTGAGTGGCCCACGGTCAGGTGACAGGGCCGCGCAGACTTGGGTTGGGTGGCCCTGCATTTCCAGGACACCTCGTGCTCAGAGGGAGAGCGTGGCCTCTGGGCCGTCCAGTGGGTGGGGGTCTTCTCTCTGGAACTGAGGCCCACTGCTCCAGACCCCACCAGATGCCTGCTCTTGACCGGGGCCTCGCTGAGCTGAGGGAATGACCTGGAGGACACAGGCTGGTCCTGCGTCCTCTCTAAAGGGAGTGGGTTGGCTCTGGCCTCCCCACTGCCATGTCTGCATGTCCCTTGTTCCACAGCACCGGGGAGGGCTGTCCTTACCTGACACGGAGGTGGGCACTGCGGGAATCATTGCCACCGGCTGACAGCACCCGGCAGGTGTACGTGCCAATGTCCCCTGACCAGGTCTGCGAGATGTGCAGGGAGCCGTTCTTGTCCAGGCGGATGCGGGGGTTGCTCTCCGTGGCCAGGGTGGCCCCGTCTTTCTCCCACACATACCTGAGGGCAGGAGGTGCCAGTAAGGAGGGACAGAGGGGTGGACCCCAGGGAGCCCCTCCCAAATCTGTCCTGGAAAGACAGTGCCAGCCGGGTGGGGACCATCCCAAGGCTGCAGGGGTTCCTCCGGGGCTGGCGGGGCTCAGGCAGGACGCAGGCCTGGAGGGCGACGGGGAGAGCGAGGCCCCAAGCCCGTCATTCCTGCGGCCAGCGGGCACTGCAAACTGAAGTCATTATTGGTCATTTACACCTTGGGTTCAGGTCTGGGTCAAAGCGTTGTTGCTTTTGGCCAGAGGCCACTGCAAAACACGAAGCACAAAAGAGCCAGCAGAAGGGATGCTTCTGCAGAGGGGAAAAGATCACCACTGGAAAAGGAATTAGAGTTCCCACATAGACTGCATTTTGGAATTAGTTTTATGAGGGGGATCATTAGATCAATGCATCACTGTGACAAATTGACTTCAGTGTCCAAAAAATCACTTTAGCTTCGGTCAGTCGGTACAAAGGGGGACTTGAGAAATTACACACGGGCCCGTGCCTGACAGTAAGAAATATCTCCTCTGGAATTGTCCTAGAGGAAATACAGCCATTACCGTCCCCGTCAACACACTTGGAGGGCCAGCTCTGAGGGGGCAGGATGCTGCACTGTCCCCCCAGGGAAGGTTGGCATGGGGGATCACCCGGGGCTCGGGATGGTGGGCACGGGGGGCTAGAAGTATCCAGAGTTGGAGAATGTAAGATTGCTAGAGAGAGCGCATCGGCAATATTTTAAACCAAGTCTAAAAGAGAAATCAACCGAGAAGTGGAAAGTACAGATAAGAAAAAAATTAGTGAAGGATAAAGGAAAAGGACAAAAGAAACTTGAAGGTTTCCTAGGGCCAGGGAACGATGATGAACCCATAAATGATCTTCTAGACTCTTCTCCCTGTGTGCCTGGACAGGTGGTGTCCTGCAGAGGGACAGTTCCAGAGTCAGACCCCCAGGTCAAGGGCTGCCTCCACCACACATCAGCTTTGTGACCTTGGGCAAGTTTCCTTAACCTTGCTGGGCCTCTGTTTCTCACCTGGAATATGTGGGAACTAAAGCCACCCCCCTCACAGGGTGGCCCTAGGATGCGGAGCCATAAAACACTCAGAGTGCTGCCGGAAACATGCAGGAGGTCAGTAAAAGTCAAACATCAATATTTTTACTGACACAGCAAATTTACATCAATGATTTCTAGTGATCCTTCCATCTATCCATCTTTCCATCCACCCATATATCCTTCCATCCATCCATCTATCCATCCATCCAAGCTTGCTTTTATCCATCCATCCATCCACCCACCCATCCATCCGAGCTTCCCTCCATCCACCCATCCGTCATCTGAGCTTCAATCCATCTATCCTATTTTTAAAGCTACCTTGTCCACTCAGCAAAATATCACCTGCTCCTTTGGCCGTGACAATTCCACCATGCTTTTTTAAACCAGAGGAGGGCGTTTTCACACGACCCCTGTCATTGAGCTGATGTCCTCTCATTGAGCGTACAGTTTGGCTCCTTTTCTTCAGAGGCTGTAGTTAATGCTGTGAGGAACATCCTTAATGGCAAAATATGCACATGTCTCCCAAATCCCTTCCTCAAGGACAGATTATCAGCAATGGAATCGCTCAGTTAATTCTGAAGGCTTTCACTACCTAGTCACAAACTGACAACAGTAATAACCTTCCATTCATCTCTTTATCTAGAAAAGAATCCTCCTTGTCAGCAATCCAGGGATGGGCAGGGGTTTCCTTAAAAGCAAATCTAGTTGCAGAGAGTGATTGCTGCTTAGGAAACAACCCGGGGCGGCAGACTCTCTTTGCATCAGGATGTGGCATGTCAGGAGGCATATATCATTGACTGCAAAGGATTTGTGCCAAGCCACTGAACTTAAATCTAATCAGGAATTCAGGGGACAGAAGAACAAGTGAGGACATGAGAAAGTAGTTAGCCAAACCCAGAATATGGAATCTACAGTGGGGTCAGCAAACTTTGGCCCACCATTTGTTTGTGTAAATAAAGCTTTATTGCAACACTCATGTCCATTTGTTGACATGTTGTCTAGGTCTGCTTCTGGGGTTATGACGAAGTTCCTACAGCTCTCAAAGCCTAAAATAGTAACTCTCTGTCTGACCCTTTGCAGAAAGAGTTTGCTGACCTGTGTTATAGAACCTGGTTTCTCCAACAAATAGGTTCCATGAAAGCAGAATGAGAACAAAAACAAAAAGGCAAAAATAAAAGGAAGGAGTCTTATCAACAACTGGTGCTGGAACAACTGGACAAACAACATGCAACAACAAACAAACAAAAACAAAAAGACTCTAGCGGCAGAGCTGACCTTATCCCCTTCACAAACATTAACTCAAAACGGATCACACATGAGATGCCAACCTCTAAAACTCCCAGAAGATAACAGAGAGAATCTAGGTGCCCCGGGGTTTAATGCTGACTTTTTGGACCAGAGGCATGATCCATGGAAGAAATAATTGGTAAACTGGGTTAAAATTAAAAAAATTCAAAATTAATTAGCTATTTAAAAATGAGAAAAAAGTAGAAATGAACAATTTCTGCTCTTTGATAGTGTCAAGAGAGAAAAAAAGGGAGAAACTGCAGACGGGGAGGAAATATTTGTATGAGGAGCACCTGATGGAGCACTGCTGTCCAAAATATACAGAGAACTCTTAACCATAAGGCAATGGTCAACCGGATTAGGAACTGGGCCGACGTCCCTGACGGACAGCCTCCAAGAAGACACAGAAGATAAACAAGGCACGGGAAGAGGCCCCAGCAGAGCCAGCAGGGAATGCGAATTATCACAAGAGCAAGCTCCACCATCCAGCTGCAGGAACAGCAGACCCCAGAACATGGCACCACGTGTGGCCGGGGACTCGCTTGCTGCTGGTGGGAGTGTGAAATGATGCCACCACCCCTTTGGAAAACAGTCCTGGTGGCTTTTTCGAAACTAAGCATATTCTTACCAAGAATTTCCATAAATAAAGGTTAAAAAAACAACAACAACAACAACAAGACAACCCCCAAGTCTATGGGACTCAGATGGGGCAGAAATTTTCCAAAATAATCTGCAATTATGTAATTGCTGTTAAGAAATTTTGATGAGGGCTTTAGAGGCCCTCTTAGCCTTATATAATAATAGTCCTCAGAAAATCAAAGACATGTAAAAATATTCAGTTACAAGGACGTTCATAATGAGATTTCCTCATATTAGCAAACATTTAGAAATAATCCAAATACCCAGGACTAAGGAACGGGTAACAGAAATCACACTCCAGCCACACAATGAACTCCTGAATAATTGAGTAATTGAGTTGATAAAAAAAATATTTATTGTCGTGGGACCAGGTTCTTGAGAAAAAAGCCGAGGAACAGTGTGTTGCTGGTTGTTAAAAATGGTACCCAAGTGGCGCAGGCCTGTGACCCCAGGGACTCAGGAGGCTGAGCAGGAGGATGGCAAGTTCAAGGCCAGCCTCAGCAACTTAGCAAGTCCCTGTCACAAAAGATAAAAACAACTGGGGACAGAGCGTGGTGACAGAGCACTTTCCTAGCATGTGCAAGGCCCTGGGTTCAGTGCCTGGGACCCCCAAAGATGTAAAAAGAAAAGCAGCCAAGCATGACTACAGTTACGTCTAATTAAAAGGAACTGATAACGCTACTTTCCCCCTTCTCTGTCTCAGTTCATCAGCATTTTCTATGTTGGCCCCCTGCAATGGAATGGATTTGTTGTGTAATTTAAATTTTTTCTTTTTTGTTTTTTGGGAGGCACTTTGGAAGAACTCTCAGTGTAAGGAGGCTGGCCTCAGAAGTTGCCCAGGTGGGTTCTGGGAGAGGAGGCGGCAGAGGGAGCTGGCCAGCAGACCAAGGGCCTGTTTACATGACCAGGGCTTGGAATGTGTATCCTAAACAATGATGGGTTGCTGGGTTTTGGGGTTTTCCATTTGTGACGCCTCACCCTGGGGTGCATGGAGAAGGAAGTGAGAGCGTTCCTTGAGGAAGAATAGGGCGTTCTGAGAACTCGGCTGTCATCATCAGCACAGATTATTTCTAAAGACGGAATTACGAGAAAGCAGTAGATATGGGGAGGGCAGAAGGATCCCAGGGCATCCGCCGGCCTAGATGTACCGTTACATGGGTGCAGGGTCAGGCCTGGGTGGAAGGAAATGTTGGATGGATGTACCTGGGGGACATTCAGGTCCACCATCCACACCCTGGGTGCTCCAAGGACGCTCTGCTCCACATAGACCTGTTTGCATGTCACTCAACTTTATGTCCCCTGGAGGAGATCCTGAAATGGGGGAACCTTGACTCAGGACAAATGGGGTCCTTGGTGTACGTGACAGAAAAGAATTTTACCAGGCACCAGAGACAGGGACAGATTTATTTAGGAAAGCAGATACATATTCAAGAGAGAATGCAGGCATCTCCAGAGGGAGAGGCAGCCTAAAAATATTTATTATATAATAAAAATATTAATATTAATAATGGTTAAAAGTGGATTGTTCCAGTTTGGTCTGAATCTGGGGCCAGATTCCAGATAGAAGCATTTCTTTCTAGAATGGTCTTGGAGGATTTCATGCTGAAGCCTGCACCTGCCCAGCCCCTCGAGCCTGGAACCTGGCTTGATTCTGAGCATGTACCACTCAGGGTCAAGTGGCTCCACGTTGCTTTCATCTTATTTTTCACATCCTTTCTGCTCAGGGGACCCTGTTGAGTTTTGCAGCTTTGCAGCTAGAATAGGAGTTTTGGCGGTTTTTTTTTTTTTTTATGATGATACAGAGTCTTGCTAAGTTGCCCAGGCTGGCCTCCAACTTGAGATCCTTCTGACTCAGCCTCCTGAGAATCTGGGATTACACGTGTGGGCCACTGTGCCCAACTGGAACAGGGGTTTCAATCCTGGGGACATGATAAGAATTGTCTGGGGAGCTTTAAAAATGCTATTTTTAAAAAAAATAGCCATTGAGCTATTAAGATTTAGCTTCAGAAGATGCAGGGCCATGTTCCCACCATCTAGACAAGATGGGCTGGGAGAGGAGGTGAAGGCTGACTTTGGGTATCGACTCTGCCACTTGTAGGGTGGGTGGTGGTGGTGAAGGATCAATTCTGCTCTCTCCTCCCATCTTAAAAGATTGTCCTGGCTGATTACTTTCATTCCAGGTGAGGACCCCCTTCTGTAAACTGGAGCAGGGACTCACCACCTGGAGGTTGCTGGCGGGGGGGGTCCCAAGAGGGTGGGTCTACAAAACTATTGCACGAGAGCTTTGAATCCCTTCATGCATCAAGAATTATGTAGAGAATGGGCTGGGTGGTGGCTCAGGGTAGAGCCTTTGCCTAGCACGTGTGAGGCACTAGATTAGACTCTCAGCGCCACATATGAATAAATGAATACAATAAAGGTCCATCAACAATTTAAAAAACATTAAAAAAAGAATAATTTGTAGAGAAGGAGCAAAATATGCAAGTCGCATAGGAGTTGATGACATTTTTATCAATAAATCTGAACTGTTACCAAATCAACGTAACTTTTTGTTATTATAGTTTTTCAATTAATGGAAGCTAAAAATATAGAAAGTGCTACGTGTGACATCATGTCCTTGTCTGAGACTCACAGCAGGATTCTATGTGGCTTCTCTCTGAGGACCTTTTCACAGCTGGTATATTGATTTTTTAAAGAAAAATCTAATAAACCCAGAAATGAAGACAGCCTGGTCCATGGTCTCACTCCGCGTTGGGTTTCCCCTCTGGGGCCGCCATGCGCCCTCTGAGAAGCGGTGCTGTTCAAAGCCAGAGCTCCCTGAACCCCTGGCCCCAGGGTCTGGCTTCCTGTGGCTGTGAAGACCTTCCTGGCTCTGTGGCCGCCAGATGGCGTCCCAGGACGCAGTAGCCTGCTGGAGCAGGGGAGGCCATTTCTCCAGGTCCCTCCCATCTAGGTACCAGTGGCTTCCCAGGACATTGCTCACTGAGCAGAGAAGGCACCGATGGGAACCTTCATTTCTAAGGAAGCAGATTCATCTGTTCCTGGGTCTTCTGGAGCTCAGGGGAGAGCCCAGTGCTCTGTCCTCCTGGTTTCAGTGCATGAAGCCTTCGGGGGGTTGGCCCAGGTGTCACCCTTCCAAGCCCGGGAGGGGTCCTGACTTTTGCACCCCTTCTTGGCTGCTTCTGTCCACAGCTGGCCGTCCCCACCTCTTCCAAAGCAGGACTGAGCCCTGCAGGCCAGGGTCCCGGCTTTCCCATGGTCAGGATGACCTCATTCTGGCACCTCCCCGTCCCTGCTCCCTTGGAGGGTCCCCCAGGGGTCGACTCCTGCCTCAGCCCTACGGCTGCCTCTGCGTCTTCCTACCCAGATCCCTCTGCTGGGGATTCTAACATAAGGTGAGCAGACCCTTCGGGGCTTCAATGAACCAGGCCACGTCACGTTGGCCAGAGGGACTAAAACTCGGGGCACTTCAGGGAGGCGCCGGCAGTGAGGTCGCAGACCACGGAGAGCAGCTGAGCCTTCCTCCTCCCCGTCCGCCCGTCCTCTCCTCCTCCTCCCTTCCTCTTCTGCTCCTGTTTCTACTCCCTTCCTCTATTCCCCCCGCCGAGGACACTGCCTGAACTCAGCGCAAGGCAGCCCAGTGCCAGGGTGTGTATTTAGAAGTCTGCACACCCCAACCCTGTAAGTGGCCCCAGACACGATGCCCACCCCAAGCCTTGCCACCGCCCGGCTACATGCTGTCCCCTCAGCTCTGTTGTCCCTCCTGCCTGGGGCAGACCACAGTGGAGTTCCTACCTGATGGTCACTCGGGGGTCGTGCGTGGCTCCGCACATCATGGAGGCCTGGGTTCCCTTGATGACGCTCTGGTCCTGGGGAGGCTTGGTGATGCGGGTCCGGGCTGAAAGACAGCAGAGATGGCGTGTGACCCCAAGGGCACGGGTGTGTGGAAGGGCACTGTTCGGGATCCGTGGCTTTGTGGCCGGAGGCTAAGCAGATGCAGGCAGGTCGGGCACCTGGACAGCTGTGCTGCAGGGGAGTCCCAGGGCTTCAACGGAACAATGTGCTTCCAAGACAAGGCGACTCTTGGAAGCCACGTTCACAGAGGGGCTCATTTAACTTTGCTCACAAATCATCTGAGGGTCAGAGAAACAGAAACCTGAGGTGGTCAGGGCCCCGGGCCCAGCCTGTCAGTGGCCCGCCAGGGTGAGATGGGTCTGTGGTGTCCAGTTTAGTGCTGCACCCCAGGCCCCCTCTGGGTCTGGGCATGTAGCCCACAGGCACGTGAGTCTCGAGCGTGGATCCCAAGTTGGAGGGTGGCTTGCAAAGTCCCCTTACACTAGGGGTCAGCATGCTGCAGGCTGCGGGCCAAGCGGTGGCCCACGGGGTTGTTAAGCTCTTCCTGGAACCCGGCCACGCCCACTGGGTTAGATACCGTCTGCGGCAGCTCTCTGGACATCAGGGAGGTTACAGGGCAGCTGGGATGGAGACCGTCTGGCCCACAAAGCCCAAAATATTTCCTATCTGGTCCTTTACGGAAAAAAGTCTGCTGGTTTCTGCCCTCAAGTATGTGAAGGCAGCTCTCTGTCACCCCAGCTCAGCCAAGCATGGCCCCCGCTCTCCAGCCTGTGGCCTCATTGTAGAACCTTCATTCATCTCCTGGTCCCTGGCCTCTGAATTAACTCGTCACTGTCCCTCGGATAGGAAGGGCCCTGGCTGGGACAGAGATGCCGGCGTGGAGACACTGCCACTGTGTGAGTCCCATAGGTGTCCCTGTGTTGCGGGCACCCGCAGGGGTGCACACCGTCACGCACAGACCTATAGGCCCTCCGGCCATGGACACTCACCCCACACCACCAGGTCTGCCGAGGCCTCATCGACACCCCGAGAGTTGGTCGCCAAACAGGTGTAGGTCCCCGCGTCGGAGATGTGCGTGGGGCTGATGAGCAGGCTGCCCGACTCCAGCAGCGTGAAGCGGGGCAGCTGGACAGAGCCGCTGGCCAAGATGCGCTCCCCTAGGGGTGACACAGCGGGTGGGGCTCAGCCTGCAGCTCCCAGCCCTGCAGTGGCACATCCCCCAAGCCTGGCTGCTCCAGGTGGCCTTGGGCAGACACCTCGCTCTGGAGATGCTACAAGGGCTGGGAGCAGGGCGGGGGGCCTGCACAGGGCCCGGGGCTACAGGGCAGCACCTGCGGCCCAGCCTCCTGCGTGACTTCACTGCCACAGTCTGCCCTTGGCTAGAGAAGGCCACACACTGTCTCCTGATGGTGGTGAGGGGCAGCTGGGCAGGAGGGTTGGGGAGACAGGTGACAAGTTGGTGATGACATCTTGCGACAGGATGTGTTTGGAGAGTCACCTTTAGCGGAGCAGAGGACAGTGATGGACGGGAGGGCAAGGAGCAGGGAAAGGACAGAGAGACATGGCGTGGGACACAGCCCCTGTCAGACTGACCTGCAGGGGCACTCAGGGGGCCCAGTGCCTGCCCTGGGGTGGGGTGGGGGTTCTGGGCAGAGAGGGAGGTGGGAGGGAGAGAAAGAAAGAAAAAGGCGGCGGGGTGGGGGGAGGCCGAGAGCACGCACAGGTGAGTGCAGGATGGCCTGGAGTACAGGTTCTGTCCCTTTATTTTAGAGAACACCCCGCCTGTCCCCATGGGTGTGTCCATGTGCCCACATGGGCAGGCACCTGAACCAGCTGTGTGCTGGGTGACTGTGCCACATCCACCCACAAGTACTTAGTGGGCACCTGCTGCATGCCAGACTATCCTAGGCCCTGGGGAGACAGCTGCAGAGCAGGGGGTGGGTGCTGGGGACAGGGCCCGGAAGGTCCTGAGCAGGGGCTGGTGTGTGCAGGCGTGTGTGCATGTAATAAGTGTGTGTGTGCACATGTGTGCGTGCCTGTGCAGCGAGAGGTTGATGCTGTGTGTGCCCAGAGGGGAGGAGGAGGGGCACAAGGCAGATGGACATAGTGGACACTCGGGCATTTGGGACCCCTGAGCTGCCTTGGAGGAGGGACAGCCCAGCGCCCACAGCAACAATGTAACTATTAAACACTGCCATTCACCAGCACAACACGGGGCCTCGCATGACATTATCACCTGGTCCTCAGGTCACCCGTGTACTCATGTCATCGTCCCCAGTCCACAGACGGCCCCCCTGAAGCTCGGAAGGAGTAACTGATTCATGTGGAGACGGGACCTGGCCTGAGGCCCAGCAAGGCAGCCTACGGAGCACTGTGAAGTGAGAGGTGCCCTGTGTGGCACAGGGCACAGCCTTTACACTGTCAGAGGGACTCCACGTGGCTGGCTCCAGAACCCAGTTCTGAGGACCCTCCTAGATGATCACACAGCCCCACCTTCTGGAGGTCTGCTCCATGTACCTTTCTGCCAAGTGATAGCCGGCCGGGGGGCCCCCGAGGTCTCACACGTCAGCACCACCGACATGCCGTCGATCACGGTGCTGTCCAGGGGGCCCCTGGTGATGTTGGGGGCGATACCTGTAAGACAGAGACAGTAAAGTCTTCAGCCACACCGGGAGGAGCCCAGCCGGGAAGGGGGCAGGGCTTTGGTGAGGTTCCAGTGTGGGGAAGAAGGATGGAGAGCCAAGGACTCCCTGGGCCACCTGCCACGTGGAGGGACACACCCCGCCTGGGTTCTCGGGCCTCTGTTTAGGGGACCTAGAGAGCAGTTCACACCCTGGTGACAAGGCAAACGGGATGAGCCTCCATTGGACATGAGCGGAGGCTCCCAGAGGACTGTCTCAGCGCTGGTTCTCCTCCTCGGAAGCCAGAGCAGGTCCTCTCCCCAGCTCAGGGGACGTGGGGCCAGCAGAAAGCCCAGAGCTGGGACCTGGATCCAAAGCACCTTCTCTCCCAGAGCCACTGCAGCCACCCTTGGCTCCAGGCCATCAGGGGACCCCGAGGGCCGGGGGGCTTCCTCTGAGTGCTCTCTCCGTCTGCAGAAGCTGTGGGCATAACTGGACCTCACCCCCCAGGCTGCAGCGCCAGGGGCCTTCTGGGATCCCATGGCACGCTGCTCTCTCGAGGCCCTGGCTGGGGCAGGGGCAGGGTCAGGATGGGAGAGGCCCACTCACTGGTGACGGCCAGGTAGGTGGAGGTCTGCACCTCGCCAGCCGCGTTGCGGGCGAAGCACTGGAACATGCCGGTGTCGTCAGGCACCAGGCCGCTGATCTGCAGGCCCCCGTCACCATGTTGCCGGAAGCGGGGCAGCTTCTCCACCTCTACCACCCCAGCGTCCTTGTACCAGGTGATGGACGGCGGAGGCACACCTGTGGGTCAGGGGGGCGGAGTCAGTGCCTCCTGCTGCCTCCCTGGGGGCTGCTGGGCAGAGGCCAGGCTGAAGTGGGCAAGGGGGCCCTGGTGTCTTGGCCTCTAGAACCTTCCCAGAGGCGTCACTTTTGGTTCTAGAGAAGGGAAGGATGCTACCTGAGTGGCAGTTCTCAAATCATTTGGATGTAGTAGGGATTTTAGGAAAATTAAAAGATTGGTTTATCGGGAACAGTCTACTTTGGAAATGTTGGATTGGACAAATGGATTTTTAAACATTTTTTTTTAACTGCAATATTTAGCAGAGGCTTTTATGTCTCTGAGCACCTCCACATTGAGGTTGGGTTCCCAAACCCACCTGAGCACAGAGCCCGTGTGGAGGGCAGGAGAGGGCTGGTGTTCCTCCAGAGGCCCCTGGGGGTGGGCGGGCTTCCCTTATGTGGGTCCCAGAGGGCTCTTCTCAGAGGCTTCCCCATCCCACCCTCCCTCTCTCTGCCTCTCTGCTCAAATGACCTCCCCAGAGGAGCACCCCACAGCTCGGCGCCCCCAGGCCTGGTGTTCCTGGAACCCCACTGAGACAGAGGGGACTCCTCCATTCCAAGACGCACATTCATTCCCTCTGGGAAGTCCTGGAGACCAGGAGGCGTCTGGCATTGACAGCACGTCATCTTTTAATTGGCAGCCTTGTTTCTTTCTTAGTGGTTCATAAAATCATGGGGCATCTTACAACTCACGGCACTTTAGATGGGATGAAACACGGTGTCTTTGTTTATAGCTTTGCTCATCTCCTTCGCAAGAATGTAAGTTCTAGAATAACCCGGAGTTGGCTGTTTGGCTCATTCTGTAAACCCACCCCCTGCCTGAGAACAATCCTGGCCCATGGAAAGCCCCCCATAGATATTCTTTGCCTGGGAGAGTGGCCCCTCCAGGGAGGCTCCTTCCTGCTGGGGTGACACTCTGCCCTGTGACCGGTATTTGGCCATGTCCGCTGGTCCATGGTTTTCTCTCTATCCCCTGGCTGCTGTCCTGGCTGTGGGCTCTTTCAGCTCAGCTGCCGGAGGAGGGAGAGCCAGGATGGGAAAATGGAAATTCTCCCGGAGCCTCCACCAGGGAGCTGGGGGTGGGGGTGAGGGGTGTGGGGGTGACCAGCACAGGCCTCAGCCGTGGGCGGGGCTCTGGGACCCATCTCAAGTGAGAGAAGCCCGGGCCTGCTAGTTCTGAAGTTATGATGATTTGGCATTGTCTACAACTCTCAAATTACGGGCAATTTGGATCTGTCACCTGTGCTGAAATTACGGTAATTTGGGTTCATTTGTAACCCTCAAGTTATGATGACACGGGTTGATTTCCAGCCTGAGATTACGGTAATTTGGCCTGTTTGTTTCCCGGGGCTGCTGCTCACAGCCAGACTGACGCTCCATTCCATGATGTGGCCCCAGAAGGCGGTGGGATTTGGAAATGGTGGCCAGGCAGGGGAGGGGCTGCGGGTCTGGGGTCCTTGTTCCCCCCACCCCCACCCCGTGGTACCTTTGGCGCGACAGGGGATGTCCACCACCTTCTCCATCTCCGCTGTGATGTGTCTCTCTGGCTCCTTGACAAACTGAGGTGGTTCTGCAGGGGGACCAGAGGAGGTGATCAGAGCCGGTCCACTGTGGGGTCACCCTCCCCCAGGCCTAGGCCACGCTGCCCAGGGGAGCCCCGCAGCCCCAGCGCCTCACCCAGCACGGTGAGGTAGGCCCCCCGGGCCGCAGGGGGCACGCTGCTGCTGCGCAGCACGGCCTCGCACTGGTAGTAGCCGGCGTCGCTGACCGTGGGGTTGGGGATGGTGAGCCGCCGGTTGTAGTCGCTGATGCCACCGGAGACCAGCACCCCGTCCTTCTTCCAAACGATGTGCAGCTTGATCAGGGGCCTGCGGGGAGGGGGGCGGTCTTGGTGCTGGACTGCAGGGGGCCTGGGGGCGGGGCGGGGGCGGGGCGGGGGCGGGGGCGGGAGCAGTGGAGTGTCCCGCCCCCTCGTGCCACGCCCGGCCACTCCCCGACGCCCGCACAGGGCGAGCCCCCTCAGTGCTCTGGGCCTGTGTGGGCGCCTGCTGGGCTGGGGGTGAAGAGGTTAGTGAGCTGAGGTGCTTGGGCAGGGCTGGCGACGCTGGGTAGCTGCGCAGGGCAGCCTGGCTGGGCTTCCTTCCGATGGCCCTGCACCTGGCCTTCCCTCTATGAATGAGGTCTGTGCTGGCTGCCCCGGGGCACTCAGGGGGGTCCTGTGAGGTCTGGGGTGCTGTAGTTTGGAAACGCTGGGTCATATGGAGTTGGCCAGGTTCTCTGATGCGGGACTTCTCAGGGCCTTTACTGTGTATCTTGGCCACTGTCCCATACTCGGGTTCTGCACAGCGTTTTTCTAGAACTGTTGCTATAGGGACCAGCCCTCCAGGGACCTTCAGCTGTAGGTGACCTTAGGATGTCATTCAGCTCTTCACCCATCACATTTCAACTCTTCCCATCAGTTTTCGGAGCCCTTAGAAGGTATCAGGTCAGCACCCTACCTGCTTGCCTTACAGTGAGGTTTTCCCCTTTCCTCCCCCTATCCCTCCTCCTCAAGGCCACATCACTGAGTGACGGTCACTTTGCAGATGAGGAGACCAAAGTCCAGAGCAGGGCAGTGAACATGGATTTCGGGGGCAGCATTTCAGTTCTGCTGTTGGCCAGCTGGGTGAGCTTGGGCAGGCTGCTTGCCCTCTCTAGGCTGCTGGTAGTGGCTGGGAGAAAGGAGGTCAAGTAGGAGCACTTAGCAGGGTGTCCTCACCGGGTGAGGCCCCGGAATGATTCTACTCTTCCCAAGTGCGGGAAGTTCAGGCCAGGCTGGCACCTGGTCCCCAGTCTCCCTCCTACAAAGCCCATGTTCTTGACCGCGATGACTCATCTCCCGTGCACCCTTTCCTCTGCTTAGCTGTGCTCGCAAGTAGAGGCCCCCTGCCCTCTCTGTGCTGCTCTAAGTGGTGGAGCATCTCCACCTCCCACTGGCCTGGGCTGAGCTCTGCTTCCTGGTTCTGTTCTCTTCTCTTGGGACCAGAGGAGACAGCCGTGCTCCTACCCGACACCCTGGGCAACAGCTGGAGCATCCACCGGCCGTCTCTCCTCTGCTCTCCTGGTCCTCACCCGACAGAGCTTCCAGAACTTTCTCAATTGCGACTGCGTTCCCCAGAACAGTGGCTTGAGTTAGGAGGGACAAGGAGCAGAAAAGGAAGGTCCACTCACCTGGCATTGGCCACACACTCCATGGTCACCTCCGAGGTCCCGGCCACCACACTGGTGTTCTTGGGAGGGACGATGATGGTTGGCGCGATGGGGTCGGCGGGCCCTCCGACATCTGGGGAGAGGTCGGGGTGAGCTGGGCACAGAGATTGGAAGTTCCGACCCCTCCTGGCCAGGCCATGGGAGATCTCTGTCCCCTGATGGGGGGCAGGTGGCCGCAGAGGCAGTCCAGTGCTGCCCTCTGGACACCGACCCCGGGGACTGTCATTTCCCTTCTTGCTCTGTGATGCACTCTGTGGGTGACCAGGGACAGCCCCCTGAGGACCCTGCTGGCCGCCAAGGCCCTCGGTGCTCCTCCTGGGAAGCAGCCACACCTCACCCCCAGCCCTCCCTACTGCCCTCAGAACCCTTCTCCTGACTCAGTTTCCCTAGTTAGTTTACTTCCTCACTGTCCGTCTCCTCCCCAGATGCAGACTCCACACAGAGTCGAGCCGCGACCCCGCCTCACGGGCAGATGGGAATGCCACTTCCTTTGGAAACGGGGTCTTTGCAGATATAGTTAGCCCTGGCGAGGCCACGCTGGGTTAGAGTGGGCTGTGACCCACAGTGACTGGCGTGCTCCAGGAGGAGGCTCTCCAGACAGGAGCGTGGCTGTCCGCTGCTCAGGGCCCGGGGAGCTTTGTTACAGCAGCGCGAGCTGGCCCAGGGTCCTGCTGGGTCCACTTCTCCAGCACAGAGACCCACTCTGCCACCGAGTAGGGGCTCAGATACGTTCATGTCAGCAATGAGCAGGGCTGCAGCTGTCACTGTGGCACTCCCAGGGTCGAGGACTGAGGGGGCTTTATTGAAGGGAAACAAAAAAAAGAACATGTACACTGGTCTAATAGAGGGGGTAGTGTTTTCTGTCCTGTGTTGTTGTTGTTATTTTTATTATTATTTTGGCACTGGGGATTGAACCCAGGGGTGCTTAACCACTGAGCCACATCCCCAGACTTTTTATTTTTTATTTTGAGACAGGGTCTCACTAAGTTTCTTAGGGCCTTGCTAATATGTTGAGGCTGGCCTCAAACTTGTGATCCTTCTGCCTGAGCCTCCAGAATTGCTGGGATTTCAGGTGTATGCCACCGGGCCCAGTGTGTTTTGGACTCTTTAGGAGGTGGATAGTTCCTCTCTTTGTGGGTCAGTGCAGGCCTAGTATTGGCAGAGACTCCAACATCCTCTGAACCCCTGCTCCAGGGCCCCTGAAACAGCATTTTTTTCTTGCAACAAATCTACCTTGTTAGCCTCCTTCCAGGAGTGCCTGCAGGTATCCAGCCACCACGGCCTGCACGGCCTCAGGTGACAGTGGCAGGACATCCTTTGTGGGGTCAGGAGGAGGGCATGCAATGGCCAACTGCCCCTCTGGGCCACACTGGTCAGCCTTGGCAGTTTTCCCAACTGAACTCTAGGCCTTGCTAGAAGAGGCTCAGGAAGAATGGGAATAAAATGTGAAAATAAAGTAAAATGAAAGGGCCAGGAAAGGGAGCATATAAAGCAGAATAATTGCAACAATATAAAAGTCTCATGTAGGCGCCATAAAGCGCGATCGGATTGAAAGCTGCTGATATAGCTGAATCCATAAAAGTGTGCTCTAAGTTGTTTATTACATGCTGGGGCGCACAGGTACCATGGCCCAGATTAATGGGGCACAAGGAGGAGACAGACAGTTAGAGCCCAAGCTAGAGTGCACACAGCCAGACGCACGGGCTGCCCCGGAGGAAGGCGATCGGCAGGCGGCGGGCAGAGATGAAGGAATGCGGCTGCCCTGGGCGGGGGCTGCCTCCTGGCTCGGGCAGGGAAGGTGGGGAGTGGGACCCAGCAAGGGCCCCTGGGGCGGGTACCCGGGCAGCAACCTGGAGGGATGGAGAGGAGCCATAGTAGCAGAGACGGGGGTCTTGGGTCTCGGAAGCCTGGATTCAAAGCCTCGCCCTGTCTGTGTCCTGGAGTATGACCTCAGTGGGCTACTTCCCTTCACCCTTCTGTTCTCTCGGTGGCAAAAGGGGATAGAACTGCCACCTCGAGGGCTGTGTGCATTCAGCACTGCCCCCTCAACCCATGCTTCCTGGGTGAGCTCTGGCTGCAGGCCAGGAGCCCGAGGTGCCCCACTGAGGTCAGTCCTCTGGGGGACACAGCCTGGGAGGCAGAGTGGGCAGTGCTCACACATCTAAGGGCCCGAAGACGCTGGTGATGGGGGTGAGGAGAGCAGGGGTTGTGTTTCAGCTGGTCGGTAGCGAGTGCAGAGTGCCTGCACACAGTAGGCACTTAATAAATGACACTCCCTGGGGATTTGCCTGCTGGTGCTGGAGAGAGCTCTCCCTACTACCCCGGATCACGCGATGGACCCCAGGGCTCCTGGGGCCTCCAGACCAAGGGAGAGGACAGGCACCTCCTGGCATCTGGGGACATGGTGTGTGGTGGCTTCATGGTAGATGCTGGGACTTGAGTGGGGCTCAGAGGAGCGAGGAGGAGGAGGGTGTTCCAGAATGGGGGCTGCCGGGTGGCCTGCAGAGCTCCAGGGCCCAGCCCTGCTCACTGCCCCTTCCCAGGCCGCTCCTTCCTCTGCGGGAGGAAGTGTAATGGGTTTCAGTGCTTTTCTTAGCTGAGCCCAGATGTGTCCTCAGAATCCTCCTTAACACAGTGCACCCAAGAGGTCAGAGCAAGCATGCGTGATGGTCCCACTCCTGCTCAGGCAGGCAGAGTGGACTGCTGAGGATTAGTGAGCCTGTCTGGACTGGAAGCTGCCCTGGGGAGAGCCCGGCTAGTGAAGGGGAGAACGAAGGCCACAGGGCGTGGCCGTGGTCTGGGGTGGAGGAAGATTGAAGGAGTAATGGTGGTTTAGGGATTGGACGCCTGAGAGGGGGCCCCTTTTGCAGAGCCCAGGAGGAACTGGTTCCCAGGGAGACGGGCCAATTGGATTCTGTCACACTGTCTGAACTGGTGGCGGGGTGGACATGCTAGAGATACAGGGTGGAGGCCTGCTGGAGGGCCATCGGTGCAGGTGTGTGGTGGACACAGCGAGATCCAGGAGCCAGGGACGGGGGAGAACGGGAGGAACAAGAGGCCGCTCGTTGGACACTGGGCTTGCTCATGTCAGGGGAGGCAGAGATGTGACAGCGAGGGAAGAACCAGCAGAGACTCAAAGCAGGGGCAGCAGGTCTAGAGGCTCTGGGAAGGGCACCAGGGAGGGGGCAACCAAGCCTAGTGTCCAGAGGGCGGGGCAGCAAGTGGCGGCTGGGAGCTGGAACAAAGGCTGAGAGGGGGTGGGGACAGCAGGGCGCTTGGGTGACTGCTGCAGTCAGGAGGAGACCCCGCCACCTTTCCAAGGACACAGCCCTACAGGGACATCGGCTCTCCTCCTGGGACTCATCAGAGATGGCCACGGGGGTGGCGGGACACACCTGGCTGTCGGGTGCTCTCTGCTGGGGAGTCCCTCTGTCACCAGGTCTGCAGGGCTGGCTCAGGCACCAAACACAGGGGTGCGCCTCCCCAAACTGCTCCCCAAACACAGGCAGGAGCAGGGACAGCCGGTGAGCCAGAAAGGCCAGGGCGGCTGGGAGCTAAGAGCCTGGGGGTGGGGGGCCTCTCTCTAAACCCATCACATGCCTATTGTGGGGGGGTCCCCTGCCATGACGTGGAGCTGAGGTATGGCACCTGTCCTGACGGGCGTGAGAAGCGGGTGTGGGCTGGTCCTGGGGCAGCGCTAGCTACTGTGGGTGGAGGTGGCTCCAGTCTGAGGGGATACTGGGGTGAGGGGGGCTTTGGAGCCGGTGAAAACCAGGGCAAGCCTCAGCAAGGAGGCGTGGCCATGTGAGCCCCGGACACAGGCGGCCCGTCCTGTACCCAGGACAGGAGGAAGCCGAGGGCTGCCCACGCAGGGGCCACGTTTGGATCCGGCTGCCCCAGAGGATTTCCATAAAGGCCACCACAAACATGGCTCTGCCGAAGAGGAACGAGGCTGGGGACCACACGACTCACCTGGGCCTCCTGCCTCCTGAGCCCCAGAGCACCCAGGCCTTGAAACCCACCCATCCCCCAGCCCCGGGTGCCACTTATGCCTCCAGAGCACCTGAAGTGCGGCTGGTGCCCCTTTGATTTAATGTGATTTAATTTTAACTAATTTACATTTAATTAAAAAAAAACAGATCCCAACTCAGTTATTAGAACACTTAAGTATGTACGGGAACAACTTGGGTATAAGACTCTACCTTTTCAGCTGTAAATTCTACGAAATCTAAATACAGATCACGTATTTTAGGAGAAAATTTAGCATCAGAATGGAGAGGAATTGAGACGGGCTCTAAGTGTAAAATGCACGTGGATTTCAAAGACTTCAGATGCAAGAAAAAAGAAAGTGGAAAATATGCTATATTTCCTATAGGAAGGTGTGTTTAAAAGGTATTTCAGAAATGCTGGGTTAATAAAATATATTAATAAAATCAATTCTGCTTTTTTTTTTTTTTTTTACTTTGCAAAAAATGGGGTTCCCAGAAGATTTAAAATCTTGTGTATGACGCACTATCTTCCATGAGGCTCTGATCCCCAGGTGTGGGGCCCCACACAGGTGGGGGGTTTCAGAGCTGTGACAGTCTGAGCGAAGTCCCTGGGCTACCATGGGCAGGGAAGGACTCCTGGGATCACCAGACTCGCCCTTTCCTTCTCCATTTCCAAGAAGCATGGGCTCCCCACGAGGTCTGCTCTGGGGCTCCTGAGCTGAGGGATGGAGGAGGGGGCTGTGCTGCACTAGAGGGCAGGGGAGCGGAGCTGGTGGTGGGCGAACAGGCTGCTCCTCCTCTCAGACTGGCGGGCAGGCCGGCAGGCGGGCAGGCTGGGGATTTGTGTCAGCGCGAGGAGCAGGGTTTTGAAGTGCAATCACTGGTGGGAGGGGAAATTAGCTAAAAATCAGCCAACTCCGCTCCCGACCCAGCACCAATCACCAGGCGGGAGCAGGAGCAGAGCAGCGGGTGGTGGAGGGGCACTGCCTGCCTCCCCTGGGCCAGCCAAGGGCTGTGGTGGCTGGAGACGGAGCAGAGCGTGGGTGACCCCAACATTCAGCCCAGAGAGCAGCTGTTTGACTCCCTTCAGGAGGGGCTGGGTGCTGGAGAGGGGACCCAGAGTGCAGCCTTCCCGACCTTGGGTGCCAGGGTACCCTGAGTCGCTCGGGAAGATGACCACAAGCCACTCTGTGTCTTTGACCTTGCCTTTGACACATTACCAGGTTTCATGAGAATCCAGGTAACAGGACCACTAGAGAACAGATGGGAAAACATCTCCCTCGAGGGGCGGATTCCTTTTTCCTATAGAAACAGGAAGCCAGCTCTCGCAGCGCAGCCCCAGGCTGTGGGGCTCACTGAGACCTTGGCTCAGGTCAGTGTCAGAGGTCACACTGTGACTCTGGTGGGTCAGCGTGCAGTGGAATTCTCCTCCTGCATCCAGATGTCTTTCTTGGCGTATTGCAACCTCGGGTTGGAGGAAGGAGATTACTGGGAACGTGGGAAGGGGTTCTGCCGGAGCTTGCAAAACCCTAGAATATGGATCGGGAATGTTCTGGGATAACTGAGCACAGGCAGACAGAGGTGGAGATCGGGCAAGGTCCTACGTTGCCCCCACCCTCATCTTGCTGGTGGTGGGTACATGCCGGTGGGACCACGGACGACCAGTGACATTCACTTTGGGAGCAGGAGTGGTACAGCTGTGACGGACGTGAACATCTGGCTCCCCCAGCTTGGGCGGTGCTCAGCTGCTGCCAGAAGTACTGGTTTTGCCCCAGGCTTGGTGACTCCGTGCCCGGGCTGCCCCCTAGCCACTTGCTCTGCTTCTCCACCCTGGGGGTGGAGCCTGGATGGAGGACACCGTGTTGCAGGGGAACCAGGACAGGGACCTGGCTCCACTCTCTGCTGGACACGGATTATTTTGCCAAAGGACCCCGAGGAGTCCCCTTCAAGGGCCCCCGGGTGCATGTGTAGCGGGGGCCTGGGGAGAGCCTGTGTCTCCGTGGTGGGGCGCCTGGCTCCGCCTGGGAGCAGCTCTTCTGCCAGCCGAGCAGAGGCAGCTGGTGTATTTCTTCCCAACGAGCTTCCGATCTCCCGGGTGCTCCTCTGGCAGCACCTGAGCCCGGGCGGCTGTAAGCCACACGTGCTCACCCCCTCTCGCCCTGTCCCCCGCCTCCCTGGCCTCCAGGGACCCTGCTAGCTGCCACACTAGACATCCCTCTCCTGATGCAGGGTCGCAGGCTTCCGGAAGGGAGCAGCCTCTGCCTCTCCCTGGCACTCCCCCCGCCCCCGCGTGCTTCCTCCTCGGGAGGGTCCCTCACTGCCATCCCCAGACACCCCGCTGCCATTCCATCTTCCCAATGACCCTCTGGAGCACCGTTCCCAAGATTTAATGACCCGCTCTGTGCCGGTCCCAGGCCCCGAGCTTACTTACTCTCCACGGCGAGAGTGATGGGCTGGCTGGTCTTGTTATCGCCGTTCTTGTCATTAACAGCCTGCACGTAGTAGCGGCCCGCGTCGGGAGCCACCGTTGACAGGATGACAAGGGTGTTCTCCAGCGTGATGGCTCTGGGAAGAGGAACGGATTCCTTGACAGGGGCCCGAGGGCTCTTGAGGCTCCAGGGACGCAGGGCAGGGACCTGAAGTGGCTGGCCCCACTCTACTATCCCCTCCCCAGCTGGGAAGAGGAGGAAGGATGGCCTCCCGGCCTCCCTGCCTCCTTAGCCACTGTGCAGAGAATCCCAAGGTCAGGCCTGGGGTTCGAGACTGGCTTCAAGAGGCTTCCCCTACCCGACCCCAAGGCGGGGCCCTTTTCCATGGGCCCCAGTGGGATTTTGTCCTTATGGCTTTGAGGGGTCACCTCTGCCGCAGCACAAGCATCTGGGAGCCTCAGTGATGCTCACAGAGTGAGTGAGTGACCAACAAGTAATGAAGTGGAAGTGACCAGGGGCCTTCCAGGATCAGCGCCTCAGCCCTAACCCCTTTTCTGGTAGAAGGAATTGAGCCCAGGGGTCCTCCACCACTGAGCCACATTCCCAGCCCCTCTAGATTTTATTTAGAGACAGTGTCTCCCTAGGTTGCTGAGGCTGGTCTTGAACAATCCTCCTGTCTCAGCCTCCTGAGGAGCCTGGCCTCCTCAACCCTAATCCTAACATTGCCTGGGTGGACTGAAGGCGGGAGGCTGCCTGAAACAGACTTCTGGGGGTCCTGTTCCCCCGGTCCCCTCCTCGGGGGTCAGCTTCCCCCTCCCCACAGCTTGCGAACCCTCCTGGGAGCTACTGGGCTGGGTGACAGGGTGAGAAGGGAGGCAGGCTGTGCTACGGGGGTGGAGAGGGGCCGCAGCCCCCCGGCTGGTGCCTCTGCTGGGCTCCCGTTAGGCAGACCCTCAGCAGGCAGGGTCCCTGAAAGCCAGTCCCTCTCCTGTGCAGATGAAGCGGCGCGGGGAGTGTCGCCCAGGCTGGCTCTGCCCGCTCCCTTCACCCTTTCTCCCGATGACAAACAAACCCATTAGTTTGCCAAGTCTATCTCGGGATTGTAATGTGATGTGCCCGAGACAGCTGTTAAACACCCTTAATGTGAGTTTAACAAGGACAAATCCAGCTGAATTCTTTTCAAATTTTCCCATTAGGTGAATGTTACAGAGTTTTAAACAGGCTCTCAAATAAACATCCTCACTAACGCGTCTCCGGCCCGGCTCTCGCCCAGCCACGGGGTGCTGGGTCCCTGCTCCTGGTTTTGGGGCATCGCATGCTGAGACTCACGCCAGCCGAGGAACTCTGGGCAATAGGGAAGTGAGTCCTCCCGCCCCCAGCGCCTACAAACCCTAACGATGTCCATTTTGTTTTTTGGTTCTGGAGAGTTCTTTTAATCTTCAGCTAATGGGGTGATAGGTGGGCCCAGAGCCAATCTAACATGTTTTAAAGGTGACAACACAGGATGGGGAAGGTGACCCCCCCCACACCTGCTAGTCTCCTGCAGGGACCTTTGTCCTTGGAGCAGCATGTGGGGGTGGCTGAGGTTGGGGGGAGGGAGCCTGGGCTGGGGCCCCCCAGCCTCTGAGGAGCCTGCTGTTCCCCCAGCTGGGCCTCATCTCCCTCCCTGCACACAGGTGGGAGCAAATGCTTGCTAGGATGCCTTCAGCCCGGAGGTGAGGGATTCTGACCCCTGTCTGTGTCTCTGTTTCTTCCCCAGGGGGCCCAAGACAGCCCATGAGACCACCTGCCCCCCACCCGTGACCCTCACCTGGCACAGTCCAGCGTCAGGACTTAGGATCGTTCTGCAGGCCCCAGCTTCCCCAGCCACACCCCCGGCCCCGGCCACTAAGAATGAATTTGGCTTGGACCCCTTGGAGCTAAGGAAAGGGGGTGGACTTGGTGTATGTTATGATGGATCTTTCTAGGTCGGTGGTTCTCCACCTGGGGTGACTCTGCCCTCGGGGGACATTTGAGGACGTCTGCACAAGGCTTGGTTGCCACTCCATGGGTGCTCCTGACAGCTGGTGTGGAGGCCGGGGAGGCAGCTTGGCAGGCATCCTCAAGCCTCACGAGGCGGCCGACTGGGACTAAAGGTGGATGTCTGCAGTATGGATGGTCCCCCAAGGTTCATCTGCTGAGGTTCCACCCCCACTGTGAGAGGTTAAGGGGATGGAAACTTAATCTATGTATCGTGTTCAGAGGTGGGGCCTTGGGGAGGACTGGGAAGAGATACGGTGGTCAGAGTGGGACCCAAGACTGAGTTCCGGTGACTTTATGAGAGGGGGAGAGAGACCAGAAGGCACACACACACACGCACTCCCTGTCTCTTGCTGTGTGGCCCTCCCTGAACCCCCTGGGGACCCTGCCAGCTAGGTCTCCACCAGATGTGCCCTTCCATCTTGCACCTCCAGAATCCTGAGACAAAATAAACCTCTTCCCTTTATAGCTCTCCAGCCTGAGGCGTCATTGGCAACAGAAAGCAGATCAGCACATGTGATAGCCTGTCCTCGCCTGTCCTAGGCGGAGACATGGAGTTGGCAGGGATGGCCGCTGTCCACCTCGGTGCCAGGATTTCCTTCTGGAGATCAGCACAGCTGCCGGGAAGCCAGGGGCACTGTACAGCGTCCTGCCTGGGCAGGCAGGAGGCTGTGTGGAGGGAGGGCCGCAGGGCACGTGTGTGCCTCTAGGCGTGGACCGTGCAGCCCCTGCTCCACCCGGGCCACCCTCTCCCCTCTGTTGGAGCAGGGTGGCTTGAGGGCCTGTGTCAAGGACAGCAGAGCCCCATCAGCCTGGGCTCTGGCCACTGTGGAGGAGGGTACCCTTCCTGTCCCTCATTTGGGCAGGACTTCCTGTAGGGGGGACATCAACTTCCGTGAGGTCAGGTCACTGAGACTGGGGTGTCCGTTACTGCAGCTGGCCTGGCCTGCACCGTCACCTGGCCTGGGGCCCGCCTGTGGGGCCTGGGTTCCGTACTGAATGTGGAGCAGGACAGGAGGCGGACAGGCCTCCTAACCTGCTGCCTGACCCAGCAGGGGGCCAGGAGGGTCCCTGGGCTTCCTGCCCTCTGCTTGGGGACCATGACAGACGTCACAGAATGATGCATGCTCAGTCCCGGGGTGAAAGCTGCTGTTGCACTAGGGAGGGTGTCCCCTCTGCTGGGCCCTGACACACTCATGCTGAAGGATCCCCAGGGGTGGGCGTTTGGGGGGCACTGGACTCTCACTTTCAGACAGGGGCTGGATTGTCCTTTCCAGCCACATCCTGGTTACAATGTCCTGGGCCTTGTCCACTCCTGCCTGCTGGGCCCCACCACATCCTGCCTGCTGCTCCTATTTGGTTACCCCCTTTCCTTATCTCCGAGGGGTTCAAGCCTTAATTCAATTAAGAATAAACCGTCCTAGGCTGTGCCCAAAGCCCCCAGGAGGCATCTCTGTTGGGAATCTTGTCCCGTTTTCAACAGAGCTTGGGGCCTGGTGTGATGGTGCCCAGGCCGGTGGTGGCAGCAGCGTTCCCGGACACCCCACAGACTGACACGGAGCTCTGACGTGCAGACACCAGGCAGCGGCTTCCAGGACCCTCTCTGTTCATGATGGGTGTTAACGTGTGGTAGTTGCCAAGACAGAAGCACCCCAGAGTTCTAGCCTGTGTCTGGCAGGACTGGGTGGTGATGTGTGAGTGTGCGCGTGTGTGTGCAGGTCAGGGAGACTCTGTCCTGGGGCCAGAGGGTTCTGGGAATGGGAAGCGGGTGAGGACAGAGGCCTGGAGTGGGAAAAGGAGGCGGGAAGGTGTTAGGAAAGGGAGGATGGGCGTGAGGGCCTCCTCCAGCACCGCACAGCCCCCTCCCCGCAGCCAGGCAGACATTACCAATCCACCACCGTGCTCTTTCCCACCAGCCTGGGTGGGGCCTCAGAACCCTTTTCCATTCTGTGCTCTGGACAGACACTACCAATCGATTGCTTGCAGGATGTCTTGATATGCCTGGGTGCATGAGATTACCGCATCAAGGGAGCTAGCGTGGCACCGATGCCTCTCCCTGCCCTGCGCCTGGGCTATGCATAGAGCACCCTGTCTACAGCCTGACCCCAGCCTCCATGCTGGGGTGAAAGTTCTGCTGGCTTCATTGAAACTTAGTTCTAAGGGGTGGGCTCTGACCTACGCTGTCAGTCCACCCGGGAACCCAGGCTCCTGCCCCCTTCTCCACCTTGCTCTGAGCCTTGTGACTCTGCCGTCCTCTCAAGGTCCCATGGCACACGCGTGCTTTTGAGTTCTGCCATGTTCTTGTTTTGGCCAATTGGATGTTAGCAGAGACTTAAAAACCCGTGTTTCTGCTTCCTCTCCTGCTTCTCTGCAACTACCAGACAACATGCTAGCTGGCAGGAGGATGACGCCTAGATCAGAGCAGTCACCTGTCGGCCAGCATGAGGCCCTTCGAGGCTAGTCAGTGGCCAGCCAACCCCAGGAAGAAGTGCCAGCCTATACCACCAACCTGTAGATGCCTAAGAAAAATTTTCTAAGTGCTCCTGCTCATTGTTTTAGCCATTGGGATGTTTTGTTACAGAGCACATTGTGGCTGTAGATTGCTGTTACCTACTAGGAGGGGTTCTTGACCCCGGCTGTGCATTAGAATCACCTGGGGAGCTTTTAAAAAATTCCTACTTCCCGATTGCTCTCCATTTCAAATAAATCAGAGTACCTTAGGGCGGAACTCAAGGGTCAGTCTATTTTAGAGCTTCCCAGAGAGTTCCACGGCTAGGTTGAGGACCACTGTGCCAGGACAAGGTCTCCAAAGCGCAGTGGTTTGCGCGTGTCTGTGCCGTTTGCCCTGGTGTCTCACAGAGGGAGGGATGAGCCATCCTGACTCCCTCTGAGACTTGGGAAAGTGGTAATGGTGGGGGCTTCACGGTGCTGTCTGTGCAGTGAGGGAGAGCCAGCCACTTCCTAGGGTCGTGGTGGGATCCTGCATTCAGTAAGTGTTTCTGGAGCATGTGTTCTGGGGGCGGGAGGCTGAGAACACCCGCTACCTCTGGGGTGCAGCAGCCCTGGGGGAATGGGAGTGTGAGCGCACACAGCTGTCCCGTGATAAATGACAGTCACTACTACCACTGTGACATTACTGTTATTGCTACTGTGTTTCCATCGCGGGTCCTTGCGCTCCCCAAAGACGAGAGCCATCCATCTACCCCTCCACTTGCTTCAGGGACCAGGACGGGCTCTGTCCTGTCAGTTTGGCAGCCCGAGCAGATGGGGAGCAGCTGGTCTTCCTGGGAGAGAGGAGAGTTGGCAGCCCAGAGAGGAAAGCCCAAGGGACCTCCTGGAGGCCCGCTGTCCCTCCCGCCTTCGGTGGACCTGAGGGACGTTAGCGGCGTCACTCCCCAGCCAGGGGTGCACAGAAGGTCCTTGTGAGCCCTGAAAGGCCGTGTGTTGGCCTCCCTGCCCGGCCTCCCCGCCACACCAACTTCCTGCAGCCCAAGCAGACACGCCCTCGCACCCAGCAGACACCCAGCCACACCCGTACAACGGAACCGCCCGCCCGCCACCACCCCTGTGCTGGCCTGAGTCCTGGGCCTGTCGCCATGGCGACGCGCCTTGTGCTGCCTGCTTGGGTATTTTAAGTCCTCTGAGAGGCAGAGTTGTCTCCAGCCAAGAGCAGAGACACGCCCTGGGATTCCCTGGGAGCCCCAAGTCCTGGCACAGCAGGTTCCAAGAAAGCCCCTGGCAAACCTAACTTGTGTGGCCATTCAGTGAGGAGCCCAGGCTGGGCACGTCCCAGAAGAGCCGAGGCTTCTGCAGGGCCGGCCCTCCCCGGCGTTTATCTGACCCCCAACCCCCTCCCCCAGGAACAGCTTCCCCCTGCTCCCTCCAGAGTGGGGCCTCACATGCGGCTGCTGGGCGGGATCTTGCGGCCATCGCGGAACCAGGTCACCTGCGGCCGGGGGAAGCTGGCGATGCGTGGGGCGCGGATGACGGCGGCTTCTCCATGGGAGACGCTCTGGCGCTTCTCACCCTCCTCAAAGCTGCCCATGTCTGCAGGGGGAGAGGGAGGCAGGGATCAGGGACTGAAGTCAGCTCGGGGACAGCTGGTGTGACGTGGTGGCCGCAGCAGGATAACATGGGCAGGACGGGAGGAGCACCTCAGAAGGTGACCACCAGGCAGGGGACACCATGCTTGGAGTACCTCAGATCCGCCCGCCCCGTCCTCTAATTCATCAGCGTAATGCGCTCTCTTTATGCATCTGGGTTTTATATCCACTTATATCCGTATATCCTCGAATCGATTTATCCAGCAACCGTGAGAGGTTGATCATTATTTCACATATTTTACAATAAAAAAAAAATACTGCTCAAATGAAAGGTTAATTAACTTGTCCAAGGTCACACAGCTAGGAAGGGACAGAGCCAGGATTTGCACTTGGACCTAAAACTTTGGATTTCGGCTGCCCGCTTTGTGCCTGCTGCTTTGGGCTTGGCAGGGCTTTTAGGCGTAGGTCACAGACCGTGCCCCTAGGGAAAGGGAAGGGTGGGGGTACTGAGAGGAGTGGGGTCTTGGATCCTCATAAACAGCCTCCCTGGGAAGAGGATGCCCCACCTGGGCCCTGGGGGCCGTGAGTGAAGCTGCACGTGTGTGTGCAGGACATAAACCCCGCGCTGTTCTTTTTGAAGCATTCTCTGTGCTTGGCAGATAGGAGAACACTGATCCTGCCTCTGATGTTCTGGCAGCCTGGAGGGGGCAGAGGGCAGAGGGCCAGACGGGAGACCTCGGTTCCCAGCTCATGGACCCACCCACCTGCCTGCCTGCCGGGCTGGGACTGGGCATGGGGGGACTGCTGGGTTTCCACCCCGCCCTTGAAAATGAATGTCCATCCTCCATGCTCCAGGTGTGGTCTGGGGGCCTGCAGTGTAGGTTAGACATGCAGAGTCTCTGCCCCCCAGACCTGCCAATCAGAACCAGCCACCTAGCAGGACGCCCCTGAAGGGTCCATGTTCAGCCAGCAGGAGCGCTGTTTCTCCCCAGGAGCTGTGTCAGGAACCTGCAGAGTTAAAGAGGCCCGATGGGAGTCCCACCCCTGAGCTTCTGATTTCATTGGCGTGGGATGTGGGGGAGGGGGACACCATGCTTGGGGCAGCCCACATCAGCCCACAGCCTCCTCCTCAAACCCTCACTACATCGTGACACACCCTGGGCTCCCCTGGTCAGCAGGCTACGTGCAGGAAGAGCTCAGACCGCGGCCCCGTGGGCCTTGGTTTCTCCAGTGCCCAACGTTCCCCTCTGCACCCAAGGGGCCACATGTCCTAAGCCACCTGAGCTTCTCTTACCAGGGTGGCTGTTATTTCTCAACTCCTTGAACAGCATGGCCTCTTCTTCCTCTGTTTCCAGAGGTGAGACTCTTGTGGGTCTCACCTCTGGCATCCGTATGGGTCTGTGGTGCCCAGGACAAGCCACAGTTGAGAACTGCCGTGGTGACTGAAGACAGCTGGGCTATCCCACCCTGGCAGGTCTCAACGTCACCTGGCACTTGGCAAACCCAGACTCTCCCCGCGTCCCCTCCTCCCCAGGCCGTGGAGGGCCCGGCTGTCACACACCTGGCCTCTGAATTCTTGATTTGCAGCCTGACTTACAGATTCCGCTGCACACCCAAGTTCAAGGCCACTGGCCTGAGCTCTCTTCTTCTCAAGCCCTGGACTTGAGTCTCTTTGGGGCCACGCTGCCACCCCTGGTATCTCACCTGACCTTATGGCTTTGACCATAACCAGTCTACGAATGACCCACGTCCTCTGCCCGAGCTCAGCTCTCCCTGAGCACCAAAGCACTATTCCCAGCGTCTGCTGAGCACTTCTGCCAGGAGGCCCTGCCACCTCGGGCCAACTCTTCTTTTTTGCTATTAGTTCTATCCATGGCTCCCACCACCGCCACCGTGGCCAGTCCCCTGAGCGCAGCCACTTGGAGTCTTTGATGCTGCTTCCCTTCCTGACATCAGAGGTGTTTCCTGGTCCCCTACGAGGTCCCCAGTTCTTCCTCTGGGACACCACTCTCAGGTACCAAGGTACCAGGTCCCCCAAGCCCTGCCAACTAGTGGTCCCCGTTGCTTGACCTCTGGCCTCCCACCTGGGGGGACTCCCCCATGGTTCCTGAAGAAGAGTCTGGCCATGTGGTTGACTGCTTGAGCCTTTGGTATCTCCTCCCTGGCACAGGAAGGTTGACCCCCTTGCCTGGATTCAAGGTCCCTCCCTAAGGGGACCTCAAACAACCTTGCTTGCCGGAATGTCCACACTGTCCTGCCTCCTAGAATTACACACACCCAACTGCCCACTACAGAGCCTCTATTGACTCGCTGGGCACCTGCCTGGATTGCCACAACAAGCCAGGATTCACCAAGGTACCCTGGTTCAACATCATCCTGGGGGAGGTAGCCAATTTAGTGTTTCACAAAATCAAATCTGCTGTTCACAACCTTGTTCTAGATTTGGCAGGCAGTATGTCAATGGTTGGTGGTGGCTTTGGGGACTTTGACACTGAGTTCCAATCCTAGCTCTGATACTTATAGCTGTGATGCTAGCAAAATATTCAACCTTGCTGAGCCTCAATTGCTTCTTGTGTGCAATCAAAAGTTAAGGAGGGTGCCTTCCCCGTGGCTTGCCCTGAGGATGACATGGGATAAGGCATGTGGGCCATGTTGTAACTTTCCAAAGACGGTTGCATCAGTACATCTCTCCCTTCCCACTGCTCTTCTTACACTGTGATTGACTTTCCTCTCCTGGGAGGCAGGGCCAATGTGCCCTCCCCTTGAATCTTGGGAGTTTGTGACTTTTTCACCAATAGAACCTGCTGGAAGGATGCTGTATGACTCTTCCAGGTAGGTCATCCAAAGGATACAGCTTCTACCTGGCTGTCACTCATCAGACACCGGCCCTGGGAGGCAGCTCAGCTAGCCCAAGCAGATGTGGGAACAACCCACCCGGAGAGGGTCTGAGGTTCCAGACAACAGCCAGCTCTACCCCCCAGACACCTGAATGGACAGGTGAGCCCTCAGGTGACTTCAGCCTGTGCCCCCAGGCCTTCCACGGAGACCTCCAACCACACAGAGCAGAGACAGGCCATTCCCCTGGGCCCGGCCCAAATTCCAGAATCACAGAATCTATGAGCTTAATAAATGATTGCTGTATACCATTGTGTTCCGGGTAATTTATCACACATAGAAACTGGAAGGTATGCAAAAGTGTTAAAAATGGTATCCAATATTTTTCAGTATTAAAATATTGGAATCCTACATATTTTTCTTTTAGCGTAAACATCACCTCCTCAACAAAGGATCACCCCGTGCCAAGCAAATAGAAACAGAAAGCAGGCTTGCCGGGCGCTCACCCCATGTGGGTTTTTTTCTAGGTAGGCTTCACATGCATTATCTCATTTAATCTTCCCAATAACACGACAAGCTCAGTTTTAATAAATGTACATTTTTAGTTGTTTATTAATTTCTATTACTTGCCTCTGTCTATAAAAGATTACATCAATAAATCACATTGATTTCAGTTCGTACAATAATTTTATCCATTTAAAAAACTTTTCACAGAACTCAGAAGATATATTTAAACAATTTAAAGCAATTTCATGGCAATCCTGCGGCTTTCTCCTTGCTCTAGTTTTATTAGCTCCATTTGGTCGGTGGGGAGATGGAGGCTGATGGAGACAGAGTGATTCCTCCCGCGTTCAGGCCCCGGCTGAGCTCGGCCTCCCGGGCCTCCCAAGTCGCCTTTTCCTGACTCTGGCCTGCACTGAACTGCTCGCTGCACTTGTCTCCTTCTGCTAGAGGGAGGCCGGGAGGGGAGGCAGCAGATCCCTACCGCCACCAGGCCCGAGCTCTGCGCACAGTAGGTCCTGTCTAAACTCACCCAATGCCATGTTTATCGGCTCTTTATGGAGCTCCTACTGTGGGCCCGGCAGGCCCTGTGGTGGGCGCTGAAGAAAGTCCTGTTCCCTGTCCTCCTGGCGCTTGGTGGCTGGCCTGGGGGGTGGGTGAGCTTCCTTCAGGCTGAGACCAGGGAACTAACTAGCTGGGCGAATTTATGGGGTGGCTGAGGCCAGGAGGTGGAGAGAAGGGTGGCCAGAGGGAAGGAAGGGCCAGTGGGGAAGGGTGGGGTTGTGTAGTCCCTGGAGAGATGTTTGAAAGGGGGGATGGAGGGCCGGGGAATGGAGGGAGGGGGCTGGTAGGCTGGAGGGATGATTTGTCTTTCTCCAACACAGGCTCAGACGGTGGGACAGATGGTTGTAGGATGCGTGTCCATGTGTACGGGGCAGAGTGTGCTGCATGCATGAGTGTGTGGCAGGAGGGGTGCCTGCATACACATGTATGCGTGTGTCACGATTGCATGCATGTATGTTGTGTGTTGGGGTGGATGGTACGTGTGTGTCTTTGTGTGTGTGGAGGATGGATGGCGTATGCCCCTATGTAACATGTATGTTTGCATGTGTGGGGCGGCTGGTTGTATGCTCAGTTATATGGAGGGGTGGTGGCACGGGCAGGTACACACGGGTGATGGGAAGGGTGGAGGGAGGAGGGCTTCGAGGGCCGTGCTCCCATTTCTGTGGTTGATCCTCCTCCGCCTCTCTACCCACCATCTGCCCATCTCACCACGAGCCCTGGATGCCCAGTGTCCTTCCATTCTCCCCTTTCCACCTTGTCAGGTGGGCTTCCTGGGTGTGGCATGTGCACCAGGCGCCTGGCCTGCAGCCCTGCAGCCCGGCAGCCAAGAGGCAGCTTTGAGAAGGAGCCAGACAGCCAGAGGGCAGGTTAGAGGAAGGGAGGGGTTGGGCTCCCGGGTCCAGGAGGAAGCAGACAGCTCCACCCCATGCCCCTTGCAGTGGTGGCTTGCTCATGCGCCAGGGTTGAGGCCACCTTGCCAACCAACTGCCCCAGGCGCAGAGCAGTGTGGGCCCGGGGCACAGCTGGAAGTGGCCTAAGACATCTCCTTGATGTCTTTGTTATGGCTTAACAGGTCCTGTAAAGTGCGCGTTCCACTTCAGAATA